CATGAATCTGTCCAATGCTCTTTCAAAGCCATCTAAGTTAGTGGCCTTTATTACACCATGTGCTACTGAATTCCAGAGTTTGTGTGCTGCCTGCAAAAGTATGTGCTTTTGTTTGTCCTGAATCTTACAACTTCCAGCTTCACTAGATGCATTATGAGAAATACTTATTTCTATCTACTTTCTGCAAACCTTGTATAATTGTATACACCTCTATCATTTCACAACTTACTTGCCCCCCTTTTAAAACTAAAAAGCCCCCAAAGTTTTAACCTTCCTTTCCTCACAAGGGAACTGCTTCATCACTGTGGCTGTCCTTTTCTAAACCGTTCCCTGCTTTATAATTTTATTGGGGGGGGGGGGTAATCAGGACCTTCCAATACGCCACCCCCTTCATAATTTATGGGAAATAAGGTTTCTGTGCATACATGCACACACTTTAGCAAGAAAGGGGATTTGTTCCCACTATTTAATGGGCTTTCGGCGATGGGAAAACCTTACCTGTATATATTTGTACTTTCAACTGGATATTAAGTTATTATTTCCTACTCCTCAGAGGTATGTATGGATGCACATGGAGTCAGAAGACGAAGGCAGTTGTGAGAGCTGAGTTTTGCTCCCAAGCGTTCTGTCCCAACACGTGTACAGCAACACACACACTGTTGTGGCTGCCTTTGTGATTACCGTATTTTTCGCTCCATAGGGCGCACCGGACCATAGGGCGCACCTAGTTTTTAGGGGGGGAATCAAGAAAAAAAAATCTTATTTCCCCCAGCCCCAAAGAGCAGCGTACAAGTTGCGCAACCTCTCCCTTCCGGAGGGGTTGCGCGGGGCTATGGCACAAGCCAAGGCAGTGAGCGGGATGGATCCCTCTCGCTGTTTTGGCTTCCTCTTTAGCCCCGTGTAGCCTCTCCCTGCCGGAGGGGCTGTGCATGGCTATCCCTGAAGCCTGGAGAGCGAGAGGGGTCGGTACGCACTGACGCCTCTCGCTCTCCAGGCTTCAGTGAAAGCAACTCGAAGCCTCCGGAGCGCGGAGGGAGCGCTCCCTCTGCGCTTCGGAGGCTTAGTGTTGCTATCGCTGAAGCCAAGGAGCCTGCATTCGCTCCATAGGATGCACACACATTTCCCCTCAATTTTTGGAGGGGAAAAAGTGAGTCCTATAGAGCGAAAAATACGGTATGTAATCCTTGTCTCTGGGGCAGGAGAGAGCAAAGAGTTTACTGTCACTGCTCTATCACCAGTGGGAGAATGCAAGTAAACAGGGAATGCATCACCTCCCTATCACCCACATTATCTAAGAGGAAAACTTTTCACACAAAATTCAAAAATCCATGCAATACAACATCAACTTCAAAAGACTTCGGAAGGCATTAACAGTTATTTATTTATCATGCTTGTAGACCGCTTTTGTAAAAGGAAGAAAAAGAAAGTCTCAAAGCAGGACAAGCTGGACAGAGGCAAATCATGGGGAAATGTGAATTGTATTAAGTGAAATATATCAGCAGGTAGATTTTTTTTTTTTAATGTAACACATGTTTTGTGTATGATGTTCATCTTCTACAATATATGAGAGATGAGAGGGATGAGAGAGGGGAGAAAAACACTGAAGTAGTAAGAACAACCATGCAGTAATATTGCCTGACAGCCATAAAATTTCACCGCATACTTATCCTGGTAACCAGAGCTGCCAGTCCCCTGAGATAAATTTAAAGCCTGCCAAAGAAGACCAGTTGGAAAGTTCAGCTGCTCTATCTGTGGATCATTAACATTATTTGTTAGGTCAAGCCACATCCCAGAACACCTATAGCTGAAAATTGAAGCATTTGTTCTAAACTAGAAGTGGCATATTAAGTATACCCTGCAGATTTGGGGAATGTTCTGACACGGAAGAAGAATCACAGTTGTTTAATATACAACTGTGGAGAACGGTCATTTTTGTTGATAGATCCTCTTTGTAATAACGTCTAAAATATAAGCATCCTATTAAGGTATGTGTTCCCTCTATGAAACTCACCGAGTCTTTTGGGACAATTAAGAATGTGTGCTCAGATGCACGCCTAAGAGAATAACTATGCAAACTATTTCTACCCCAATATGTATGCAGATGAACATTCAAATAAGCATCCTACTGAAAGGAAGGAAGTGTTGATAGAAGATGTCCACAACTGGAAAAGCGGTAAGATGCACATTTGGATGCACAGAAGATGAACATTATTCCAGTGCCATCATGTAATATACTGATGGACAGTGGCTGACATTTGACTCTCTTTAGCTGGATCAGTTCACGAGGTTTTAAGCGGTGGAGACATTGTACACCATTTCACTGACTACTAACAAATTGCACCTTAAAACTAATGAACTTTATTATGCCATAAGCTATTGTAGACAGGAGCTCATTTCAGTTTCATGATTTTGTTGTTGTTTCTTCCGCAACTGTCTCAGACAAGTAGCCCTGTTTAAACAGATACAATAGGCTGGACCACCACAGGGTTTTAAGGGGTTGGGGGGAGATGGCAAGAACAGCATCATCTCAAAACTCTGATTTAGTTTTAAATCACCTGCTGTTTCACAGGTTCACTGAATTTAAAAGAAAAAGCAACAAAACCCACACAGGGTTTTCAGCCATAACTTTAACAATAAATTTGGTACACTATATAATATTGTTCTAGAAAACTCTGCTTTGGACAGGAGAAGAAATGAGCTGCTTGTTATTTGACACATTATCATTAATAATGAAATAAAAGGTTAGTCTCCAAACTATGAAAATAATAATTATTTTCTCAATTGGGAAACCTTATACATGAAAGAAATCCTTCCTCTTACTTTTCAATCATTCCAACAGAGTTCTGAGACCACCAGTGTTAGAAGACCACTTGGAAAACCATGGGAATAGCCTTGATAATAACACACATACAGTTATTGACGCACAGGAAACAAAACCAGATGGCTCTGCTGAAGAAAGCATTTATATGGCGTGGGGTTTTTTTGCTTTGTAACTCAACAAATGCAACCATCTTTTCTAAAGATGCAGAAACACTGAGATAGATCTGCATAAACAGAGATAGGCTTGGTTTTGTTTTAAATTCCATTATTCACATCTGGGAGAATAACTGCAGAAAAGCAACATGGTACAGTAGCTATGAAACAGATGAGCATAATTTTCCTGAAGAAAAGGAGGCTATTAACAACACTTACTTGTAGACACAACTGTGGTGCTTTGTAAATGAATACCATATGATTTACGTTAGACGGAGCTCCTACACATTATCATTAAAACCACTTTCTTGCCTCAATTATGTACTTTCAAATACAGAACCTATTCATGTCTGAAATAACTATGGGCTACATTCTTCTTCTTTTCCTCTCTTATTGCCAATCACTCACACTTATCCCACATACAAGAGAGTGGCTCCTATAAGCAGTGCATAATTTTTCCTTTATGTTCTGATGAAAAAAAAGCTGAACCCTTGCCCCGCAAATCTTTTTCCTTGCCTCACAAGAAAGAACCTTTCCTTTTTTCTCAGGTGGCACAGAGCCAGAAGTCGCATATATGACTATGAATCACGGAACTGCATTCCGCTATGAAAGAAGTGCTGGTGGCGGCAGGGGCCGTGACTCAAATATTGCATTGGGATTTTTGTTTGCTAAAATGTTGCTGGCACTTAAAACCGGGAAGCTTCTTTTCTGCATGCAGTGCCTCACCTGATTGGATCTCTACCTTCCTGCATTAGTATCAAACCAGACCATTTCCTTTCCTGTCTGCCCTGTCCCTGCATCCATTCCCCAATTCTGATGTGGCCAATGAACTGCCCTTTAGACTGTCCTTCCTGCATGGTACTTTGACCCTTTGCCTAACAGCTGTACGATATCGCTGAGACTGTCAGGCCCCGATCACGCAGATACAGTCTGGGGTAGGGAAAACACAATAGCAGCTTCTATGACATCACACGCAGGAGTAAAATTCATGGATGTGATTAGGAAGCCCACTTACGAATTTAAACGGCTCTCTTTTGTCCGTTTTAAAATAAAACAAAGAAAAGCGGGATTGAAGGAAATAACACTTTACAGGCAACAATATTGACTCGTTTCCAGATTAACGGGATCAGAACTTCAGTCCCATAACAGGGATTTCCCAACCCTTCCTCCTCATTGTAGCTGTTACAACCACCAAAAGTCACTTCACAAGTCCAGGAGCCCTTGAATAATGCGGATTCTGATGTACAGGGAAATTAGTGAAAGCAGAGGCAGGGAGTCATGTATGTTCAGAGAACTTCCATTTGCGCAAGGTTCATCCATCCAGTTTCTGAGCATGTCCGCTTGCTATTGCAGCTATCCGTGTCACACACCACGTCACTAAGAACATAAGAAAAGCCTGCTGTATCAGGCGAATGCCCTATCTAGTTCAGCATACTGTTCTCACAGTGGCCAACCAGATCCCCCTGAGAACCTCACAAGCAGGCCCTGAGTGCAACAATACTCTCCCCAGCAGCTCATATTCATAGGCATACTGCCTACCTCTGACAGCGGTGGAAGAAACAGCCATTGTGGCTAGTAGCCACTGCTAGCATTATCCTCTATCTAATTCATCTAATCCTTTTTAAAAGCATCCAAGTTGGTGGCCACCACTACCTTTCATGGCAGCAAATTCCATAGTTTGCGTGCTATGTGACAAAGTACTTTTGTCTGCCCTAAATCTTCCCACTTTCAGCTGCAATAGATGTCCCCAAGTTATAACAGAGGGAGAAAAACTCTCTCTTTACACCATGCATACTTTTATAAACATCAAGTCTTCTCTTTTTCTTTAAACTAAAAAAGCCCAAATGTTGTACCTGATCTCGTAAGGGGAGTTGCTCCATCGTAATTTTTGTTGCTTTTTTCCAGCTCAACAAGATGCTTTTTGAGAGGAGGCAACTAGAATTGGACACAGCATTCAAAGCGTGGACACATTGTAGATTTGTGTAATGGTATTGTGATATAGGCAGTTCTTTTTTTTTTTTCATTTTCATTACCTTTTCTAGCGATACCTAGACATTGAATTCACCTTTTCCCCCACCTGCTGTACATTGGGCCGACATCTTCATTGAGGTATTCACTTACCACCCTGAGCCCGGCCTTGGCTGGGGAGGGCGGGGTATAAATAAAAAAATATTATTATTATTATTATTACCACCCCAAGATCTCTGCTCAGTGCCAGTTCAGCCCCCATGAAAATGTAAGTGAAATTAAGATTATTATTATTTGCTCCTATGTGTATTCTGGAGAGTCTCCACCTCTCAGGAGTGGCTTTTCAGGGGGTGCAGGGGACTGAAATGGGTAGGAGCAAACGCTGAAACTCCATCATATAGGTAGAGTTCTGCTTGTGCTATTCTAGATCCAAGCCCATACCTAAGAACAGGGACCGAATGAGACTGTAGAAATGTTCGGGGTCCACTTTGCTTTGCTCTTCACAAAAATGGTAGTCTATGACCACATAAGCCAAAAACATGCACACAGCTTGACATTTGGTATTATGTGAACCAATCCTAATGTTTTTCCCACACCAACTTTTTAATAAGACTGCATATTTGAAAACTATCTCATTACAACCAGAAATAAACATGTCCTCAAATTCCATCCATTCATGATTTTTTGGCATTATTTGTATATTTAGTTGTTGAGAAATAAAAAGTTGGTAATGGATTGATACGTAAGTTCTCACTGCTCCAAGTTAAATGTTTGTGGGAATCTATATTAATTTGAAATAGGGCTCTCCTGGGGGTATGCTAGGATTTTTGTAACATGTCTTGCTATTTTTTCTTTACATTGTATAGGAATGAATCACTGACTGCTAAGTGCTTACTGTTGCACTAGTATTAGAACGTATCTAACAGATGGTTTATTGTACTGTCCTTTACCAAATAAAAAGGAATAAATCATCTTCACAGAACAAAACAAGACACAGAAGATTCATATATCAGCACTGCTGATACATTACTTATCCCCCCCATCCCCACCCACAGTGGTACTGACTGCCATCCAAAATATAATCTAAACACACTTACATGCAGGGATCATGTAACCTGCTTGCATCATGTGTAACATCAAAATGTTATGTTGCTTTTAATAGGCAGATTCTGAGATCAATATTACTCATGCAGATGATCATGCAAATATTTAAGTCACCATTGTTTCTAACAGCACCACATTACCTAAGCATTAAAGCTCACTTTCAACCCAAAGTACATTGTTTAAATATTTTTTAAAACAAGCACAAGAGATTCAACCCACAGCATTATTCTTTCTGCATACATATGTGATTGTTAGCTTGAGAAATATTGCACCACTGAAAGGTCAAAAATAATACAGTATATGTTTGATAGAGTTACCATGGGAAGTCAAAATCCCTGTTGTGTATCAACAAGATATAAATGTAGAAGGGGTTCTGAAAGGCCTTCGGTACTAGTAAAAATATTCTAGGAAGCTTCTAAAATGCTCACAAAAATATCTACATTTGCTGCACTCTCCAGTAACTATACAGCAGTGCTAAATCTTGAAGTTTTGCTTTCCAGTCCATTAAATCCTGGAACAGTTGTTTATTTCCGTTTTAAAGTTTCATAGTCCGGAATTGAATGCATTTTGCAAATTCAGTGTCTCCAGGAATTAACAAGGGACCTATTATGCAGGAGTTAATCTCTGGGGAGTGATATATTCAAGATGACCTCTATCACAGTTATGAATTGCTTCAGAACAATTTTGGGATGGCTTCAAATCACGTGAAAGATCTGGAATGTTACTTACATCACCAACATGTGTTACTGGTGGAGACCCCAGCTGAGTGCATTCTATTTGGTGGCCAGCACATTTGGAAACTCACTGGTATTGCTAAATAAACTCCACTCTTATTTCCAGTGCAACTAATATTTGCAGAAGAAGTTGGGCCAGCATTCACACACAGAGAGAAAACTTTAGGTTGAAAAAAATGCCCCAGTAAATTCTGCATTACCAAGGAGGTTTAGACTGAAGGGTGGGGTCAGGTGCAATAGAGAGGCTCATCCTTAAATCTATGCCTATTTCCTTGCAACTGTTTATTGAATCAAACTTGTTGTGTGTCATGCACATCATTTATGTTTTAAATGAAGTATTTCTGCTGGGGAGTTTTCAAAATTCCACTTGAAATGGAAAGATAAGGGCAATTTCACATTGCTACATTTATTGATGTGATCATATATGTGAATACCAACCACAAGGAATAGGTTCTACATGTGGCACTAAACTTTTTTCCAGGAGCCATAATTAAAGATAGTGTGGTTGCCTCCCTCTTTGTGCAGTCTGGCACACTAGGCTTTCTCCATGTGGTCACAGACCTGCACACAACCATGTGGTGGAAATAAAGCTTTTCAAGAGGAACAGAAATCAATTCTGACATTTCTCGTAGTTAGCGACTGTATGATTCTCTCCCCCCCAAAAAAGTCATAATTGCAAAAAACATTGTTTATAAATGTTTGTACAAGTTACATAACGGTAACTGCACTATTTCCTAAACTAATCTCTGCAACAATTATATTCAAATGAGAGAACCAAAATGGCCTTCTGGAATTAAGATGGGAATTGTTTTGTCTCATCACTGCAAGAGGCCATCAAGAAATAGCAGGATTTTGAAAGCTTTCAGCGCAATTGAAATATATCATCTTAAAACTTAACATGACCACAGAAAGAACATTTTGGAGGTGAACAGAGAGATGCTTCATGAATACTAGTTTCCAGCCCCCTTTCAGAAGAATTTAGCAAGGAATGTAAACCTGAAAATCTATTTTTAATATGCACGGGGTAGTCTTCTGCATTACTTCTCTAGATAAGCTGAGAGAAATGTATGGTTAGAGGTATATCTCTGTGTGATGTACATTTTCTCTGAAGCTGTTCCAATAAAACATACAAAAAGCAGTACTTTAAAGTAGACTTTTCACCAACAGCATACCTCAACGTAGTCCTTGGCGTGACCCCAGTCTCTCTTGGCATCCAGATTGCCCAAACTGAAACATTCCAGTTGCCCCAGGTGGATCTTAGCAACGGAACGACTAATTTTTCGAGTTACAAAGTTAGCCCCTAAAATAAAGAGAAAGATAGCATAACGGGATTAGAAACTGTCTGGTAACTGTCTGATAGCTGATCCCAAGAAATACAGTTTATGATAATTTCTTTCAGCCTTCCCTCCTCCTTGTATCAATCACCTAAATTCTGTCATCATTTATCATTTCTGAAAGCCAAGGAGTGCCAACATACATGTCACATTAGCTATAGTCTCTCATCAAATAACTTTCTTTGAAACTCTAAGCATCCCTAATCTGAAGCTTCAGTATTAAATCTGGCACGAAGCCAAGAAAAGCAAATTCAAATAGAGACTTCTGAAAATAAGAAAATAAAAACAAGACTGCAACCCAAACATTAAAGGCTTGGGCCTTTCCAAAAGTTGGGGTGAAATAGAAATTTGCATGCTAAGACGTTTAGCAAGAGAAATGAGATCTCAGTCACCTGTAACTTGTTATCTGAGCGGTCATTTGTGGAGTAGCAAATGTGAAAATTCAGAACCCTTTAGAGCAGGCATGGCCAAATTTGGCCCTCCAGGTGTTTTGGGACTACAACTCCCATCATCCCTAGCTAACAGGACCAGTGGTCAGGGATGATGGGAATTGTAGTCCCCAAACTACAAGGGCCAAGTTTGGCCATGCCTGCTTGGAGGGCCAAGTTTGGCCATGCCTGCTTTAGAGCTCTCAAGAGGGCAAGAAGGAGACACCTCTGCCCTTCATTCATTTGAAGCTCAAGCAGACCCAAATAAAGATGCATGTGCTGAACAGTCCAGAGTCCACTGAAACTTAAGACTATAGAAGTGCTCAGTCCTAAGAATCTGCCCATTATGATGATAATTAACTATGTGAAACTAAACACGTCTGAAGTCTAGGAGCCACAAAACAACTCCAAGGAAGAGGATGTATGCCTCCTAGAACATTCAGAAGGTCTGTGGAGTGTCTGCGAGGGACATTTAAAATCTGAATTCTATATAATTACACAATAAGAGAAATATTGGGAAATTTTTAATGTCTGATGTTTTACAATTTTTTATATGGCTGTAAGCCGCCCAGGGTATAAACTATAAATTATTATTATTAAATATAATACATATTATATATAATAATATAATAGTAATAATAATAAAGCAATAAAATACAATTAAAAGCCACACAGTATATATCACAGCACATTGCAACAGCCACAACAAGCAGGAAAAGAAAATAATTAAACGATCCACCAAGGTTCACAGCAATTTTCAAGTGGTCCATGGGGGGAAAGTTTAGGAACCACTGTCCTAGATCCTTGTACTTATATATGAACAGGGGTATTTCCCCAGAGATTTAGGGCATGGTAAATGCAGCCTAGATGCCCCACAACAGGTTGTGATGTCACTCTTGGGCCACATAGGTGAGCTTTGCCTTTGAACAGGACTGCATAGGCTTTGGGTTGGAATCAACAGCACATCTCCTGCTTCCTCTACTTGTGTGAAGTGGGGCATTAACCTATTATCAAGTGAGTACATTTAGAATATTCCAGTGCTTTTTGGGGGGAGGGGTACACGGGTACGCATAGGAACGCGGGTGGCGCTGTGGGTAAAACCTCAGCGCCTAGGACTTGCCGATCGTATGGTCGGCGGTTCGAATCCCTGCGGCGGGGTGAGCTCCCGTCATTCAGTCCCAGCTCCTGCCCACCTAGCAGTTCGAAAGCACCCCTAAGTGCAAGTAGATAAATAGGGACCGCTTACCTAGCGGGAAGGTAAACGGCGTTTCCGTGTGCTGCGCTGGTGCAGGCTCGCCAGAGCAGCTTCGTCACGCTGGCCACGTGACCCGGAAGTGTCTTCGGACAGCGCTGGCCCCCGGCCTCTTAAGCGAGATGGGCGCGCAACCCCAGAGTCGGTCACGACTGGCCCGTACGGGCAGGGGTACCTTTACCTTTACACGGGTACGCATACCCCTAAACATTTTGTAAATCTAACTTTGGCTTCATTGAGGGGCAGCATTTCAATATGAGAAGGAAAATGAGAGCACCCCTAAAGCACTGGAATATTTGTAACTAATGTTATTTGCCCAAAAATGGAAGGAAGAAGAGGTCCCGACGAGAGAAGAATAGATACAGAAGTTAATGGACTATGCAGAAATGGCGAAACTTACCAGTAGAGTAAGAAATCAGTATAATTTTTTTGAAGAAAGGAATGGAAATGGTTTATTGAGTATTTACAAACAAACTGTAAACAGATCAAGACATTGGCAGAATTAGTGTAAAAACCTGCAGTTACAAAATATATATGGGCTATAATATGGGAATAGATATATAAAAGAATATGTTAAGATAATTTGGAATATGCAGGAAGATGAAAAGAAATGTAAAAAACCACAGAAAGAGTCGGAGTTTGAAATGTTAAAATTATGATTGAATAATTGTTGTGATATATATCAATGAAAATTATAAATAAAAAATTAAAAAATAGAATATTCCCTAACTATCAGTAGATTTATTCTGCAGTAGATCAAAGGTTTTAGCTGCTCAACTGAAAACCTATGATAACAAAAAAGGACCCAAGAGTTCCAAATGTGCAGAGAATATTCTAATCAACACAAGAAATTTTATTATATCTTTTCTGGAAATTACTGTGTCTGCTTTTGAGCTTTGTAGCAGCTTTCTGGCATTCTGGAACACAATCATGCTGCAGTTTGATTACCCAAGAGCTGAAATACTCTTTAGCAACCCTCCCCTCCCCGCCCACAACTCCCCAAGAAAGTAAAAATATACAATCCAGGTTTCAGACTGCAAAAAATCTAGCAAGTGAATCTAATAGCTTTCAGCACTGCATGTCCATACTTTGTATCATCAGCGAGATCTGTAATCATCGTGCGCATTGCAGTGAGTTTTAGTGCCTGACCTACTGGGTTCAATCATGAAAGCTTCCGTTCTGCAATGATTACCTCTTGAGGGAACATTAAATATGTTTGGAAGAATGGCTGAGAGCTACTAATTCCACACACAATTGAAGGACTGCAAATAGTATACAGGAGATGGATGGCCCCAGGTCTCTGCATACCACGCAATTTACTAAATAGGGGAATTAGCTGCCACTGTAATGTATTTCAAGGGCTGTACAGTGTAAATAGATCCACTTCTCCTGGTCCGAACCAGATAATTAAAAAATAGGCTTTTATTTTTTAAAAGAGTAAATAATGGGATGGATCTACAAATGGAGAGGAAGGTGATTTTTGTTTATTCCGCCTTCCCCGTGCCCCCTGGAAAGTTGCTGCAGAGGGATGGGGGACCCCCTCAGACAGCACGTGCGGTGGCACAGTGGGCCACAGAGAGAAATGGTATCAGAAAAAATGTAATAATAATATTTATTACTCATACCCCACCCATCTAGCTGGGCCTCCCCAGCCATTCTGGGCAGCTCCCAACAGAATATTAAAAAACACGATAAAACATCAAACATTAAAAACTTCCCCAAACAAGGCTGCCTTCAGATGTCTTCTGAAAGTTAGATAGTTGTTTATTTCCTTGACATCTGATGGGAGGCCCTACCAAGAAGGCCCTCTGCCTGGTTCCCTGTAACCTCACTTCTCGCAGTGAGGGAACCGCCAGAAGGCCCTTGGCACTGGATCTCAGTGTCCAGGCTGAGCAATGGGGGGTGGAGACGCTCCTTCAGCTATACTGGGCTGAGGCCGTTTAGGGCTTTAAAGGTCAGCACCAACACTTTGAATTGTGCTCGGAAATGTACTGGGAGCCAATGTAGGTCTTTCAGGACCGGTGTTATATGGTCTTGGCGGCTGCCCCCAGTCACCAGTCTAGCTGCCGCATTCTGGATTAGCCCCATGTAGAGCGCATTGCAATAGTCCCAGAGGGAGATAACTAGAGCATGCACCACTCTGGTGAGACAGTCTACAGGTAGGTAGGGTCTCAGCCTGAGTACCAGGCTGAGTTCAATAACTAAAATTTTGTAATTTAAAGGGTAGCATTTTGTAGTCTTAAGTTTTCTTGCTAGAAAAAGAAGAAACCATACACAAGCTTAACATGAATCAACAGGGCGATGAAGCAAAAAAAGAAAGAAAAAGAAAAAGCTTATGCTCTTCTAGGCTGCATCAACAGAAGTATAGTGTCCAGCTCAAGGGAAGTAATAGTCCCACTCTATTCTGCCTTGATCAGACCACACCCAATTCTGGATGCCACAATTTAAGGAAAATATAGACAAGCTGGAACGTGTGCAGAGGAGGGCAACCAAGATGATCAAAGGTCTGGAAACCAAGCCTTATGAGGAATGGTTGAGAGAGCTGGGTATGTTTAGCCTAGAAAAGAGGAGACTGAGAGGAGATATGACAACCATCTTCAAATATCTCAAGGGTTGTCACATGGAAGAGGGAGCAAGCTCATTCTCTCCTGCTCCAGAGAAATGACATAAGAAGTGTCTCTGTTCCTGAAAGTCTGAGGCTGTATTCACATCCCTGTTTACAGTGCACTCACTGCATTTCCAGTGCTGGGTTTTTAATCTCTGTTCACATGATGTTATCTAAAATGCATATGTATCCTGCACTTTGTTTAGGAGGCTGCTGCTGTTTGATCTGTAGCTTCTCAAACAACCTACACACTGACCGGGGTTGTTAAGCCATTCCTAATTCTTCTCTACTCAAGATGTGATGTGTACACAAACAGAAACTAATCTGACACCAGGGAAGCTGTAGGGATGTGAACAGCTGGCGGTGGCGGGAAGGGGCGGCAGCAGGGGAAAGAGCTGTAAAAGGCATTGAGGGAAGCAACTTCACTGGTACAGTGGTACCTCGGGTTAAGTACTTAATTCGTTCCGGAGGTCCATTCTTAACCTGAAACTGTTCTTAACCTGAAGCACCACTTTAGCTAATGGTGCCTCCTGCTGCCGCTGCGCCGCGCCGCCAGAGCACGATTTCTGTTCTCATCCTGAAGCAAAGTTCTTAACCTGAAGCACTATTTATGGGTTAGTGGAGTCTGTAACCTGAAGCGTATGTAACCTGAGGTACCACTGCAATGTGAACACACCCTTAGTTGTTCTATAGGGTTACAATTATGCAGATGACATTCTAACAGGAAATTGGTCACAGGAAAAGGGGACTGTGAACAAACCCACATGTGCTGAAAGATGCTTGGAATATCTCCCAATAAATACACAGGCCTAACTGTTTCACCTGAGAACAATCTTGGAACATAACCGAAGAGTAGAGTTGACGTTCTTTAAGAAACACAATGCAATCTGAACACTGAGAACATGCTTCCTCAACCTCGGCCCTCCAGATGTTTTTGGCCTACAACTCCCATGATCCCTAGCTAGCAGGACCAGTGATCAGGGATGAGGCGAATTGTAATCTCAAAACATCTGGAGGGCCGAGTTTGAGGAAGCCTGATTTAGAAGATTTCAGCAAAATGTCTCTTCATAGATCTCTTCCCTCACGAAAGCACAACTGAATATAAAATATTAAGTGAGCAATAACTTGGTTTCCATTGAACGCAGAAATGAATCTAGAACCACATATCCTAAATTTGGAAGTCACTGCCATTCAGTGGAAAGTCAGTGTTCTCATTAAGTTTTGAAAGCAAAAGAAAACAATTTCCTCTTTGACCTTGTTTCTTATAGAAGGAATCCAGGCCTTGGAGACTTCATATTTTCCAATCTGCTGCCTTGCTGATTGTGGTAATATTTGTGAGCTGTTGGGGCTGGATCTCCCTTCAGGCCTGGTTAAGCAAGACAAGACACTGGGAAATTGTCATGCCTCGTTGCACCACTACGATGGGAGAGCTGATGCCTTATTTGCCCACCAAGCTCTGCCAAAAGCAACATTACTTAAATTGTAGGTACTCAAAACTTTAAGCAAGCTTGCTTGAAGGAATGTTAAACTTTGAAAACCGATCATTTGCAAGCATGCATGTTCTGGGAAAAGGTACTTACAATCTTTTTGCAAGCACTCACCAGCAGCAAGCCTTTTAAAATAAGCTTATTATGATTGCTCTTCAATCATCATAATATTGGGCTCTGGTGTGTGTGGCTGGAGGGACTACCCCAAAATTGGATAGAGGCAGCTGCTATGAGGGGGAGTTACACTAGCAGAAGTTGCCGCCTCATGATTTTTTGTGATGCTCTCAGACCGCAGCACCGCACTGCACCCCATTTAGCAATGTCCCCTTTCTTTCCCTTGGGAAAAACCTTTCAGATGGCTCTGGGGGTTGCCTGAGGGGCAGGGAAGTCAGCTTCTGCCAGTCTCAGCCACACAGTCTTCTCTGAATCCAGCGTATTATTTAGATACATACCTGATTTTTAAACACGAGATTAACAGAATGGCAAAAGTGTTGAACTCCAAAAAGGAAGGAAAGAGTCTCAAATTATAAATACAGGTGAAATGAAGAGCACAGAGAAAACCCAAGATCTAAAGATCTATACTATTTAACTATGGTGGATGTATATCTGTCATGGATGCTTTAGTTAGATTCCTGCATTTCAGGGGGTTGAACTAGATGGCCCTTGGCGTCCCAACTCTACGATTCTGTGATTCTATGTTTCTCCTTAAACTAAACATGCATTCAGACTTTCAGCAGAACACATGAGGGCACAACTGGTGTAGGGGACATGGGAACCATGTATGCCAAATTTCTCTCAACACATCCAAACATCCGATCTCTGTATTCCTGACCAATGTGTGTTCAGCATGAGGGGCTGAAGGGATATTCTAAGTACCGTATTTTTCGCTCTATAAGATGCACCAGACCATAAGACACACCTAGTTTTTGGAGGAGGAAAACAAGAAAAAAAATATTCTGAATCCCAGAAGCCAGAACAGCAAGAGGGATCTGGCTTCTGGGATAGCCCCTTGTTGTCCTGGCTTATGGGATACCCGCACGCAGCCTCTCCCAGGCAGTGGGATGAAGGCTAACCCTGCCTGGAAGAGGCTGCGCATGGCTAAGGCAGAAGCCAGGACAGCAAGCGGGATCGCTGCGCACACACGCTCCACGTGGCTCTTTAAAGGGAGCGCTGAGCAGAGCCTCCCGCCTGCATTCGCTCCTTAAGACACAAACACATTTCCCCTTACTTTTTAGGAGGGGAAAAGTGTGTCTTATAGAGTGAAAAATACGGTACATTCAGAGTAGCATGGCTAGAAGCCCCTGCAATCAGAAATCTTGCATGATTAGCTGAATGTGCTTAGTCTCTTCTTTCAGAGGTGAGCCCTCCCACCGCAGGGTAGCTAGGTCATCTCTACCAAGCCTAAAGAAACAAGATTTTAAGTCAAAGTATGACAGATACTTGTATGAGCTCCTTACACAGCTGAAGGGAAGGGAACAACTGCTCAGCTAATCTTCACCAATAATCTTAACTCTCTCTGAGCAAAGACTCAGACTGGGGAGAGTGGATATGTCCCAGACCACAGAGACATGGTTACCCTTGCCCTTCTACTTTTCAAGACCCAGCAGTATTTCACCTGTCCTGCTTATCACTACATATACTAATCTTGTGTCAGATGTATTGCACAGGCACTCCACAACACAGCAACATCTTAAAGCAAAAGATGTGGCTTAGGAGGTTAACATCTAATATTCTTCTGTCACATATGTTGCTATGTCAGTCTTCACAGAGCATGCTTTTATGAGCTTTATTATTATAAATCTAGTGACAATCAAAGAAGCTATGCAAAGCCAATTTATATAACTTATTATACAAAGCAGCTTTTATACAAAACAGTTACTGGCAGGTAGCCATGTCAGAGAAGGAAAGGCATCGTTATGAGCCGCCCATCGTTAGAACGTTTCTGTTGTTCTCATTACTTGAAAGCAGGAAAGCCTCTTAAAGTTTTTTGATCCAAGCTGTCATTTGTCAGGGAATGGGGACAAGACAAATGACTGTAAAGCAATGCAATTGGGTTTCTTACCTCTGCAATGTCTTACTTGACTCCCATGAAACATTCCCCCCCCCCTCCGTTATTCATTCTTGCCATGTTAAAGTAAACTTATGGACTACCCAGAAACAGATGAATGCAATCAGTCCAGCAGAAATGATATCTTTTCACCAAAGGAAAGCAAATAGCTTTGCCTTCCCTATAACAACTATTTCTGAAACTTAATTCAGTTTTTAAATAGTTTGTACAACATTAAACACAAGGTCAGGCTCAGGGAGCAATAATTATTAAAGATTAAGGAGAATACTGAAGTACTTTGTGTTTTGCTGAACAGTTAAATCAACTGAGAGTTTAGCTTTCTTTTTTGATGTTAAATGATACTATTGATTCCCCCCCCACAATTGACAATGACTGACCTAGGCATCCAAGGAAAGACTGTTCACCAGTCATTTCAAAAGAAAATGGACCAATCAAGGGTCACAGATAGAGTAAGAAGAAGCACTGAGATGCTTGTATTTATTGTCCTTGGTATGGTGGCGCTGTGGTCTAAACCACTGAGCCTCTTGGGCTTGCTGATCAGAAGGTCGGCGGTTCAAATCCACACAACGGGGTGACATCCCATTGCTCTGTCCCAGCTGCTGCCAACCTAACAATTCGAAAGCACACCACAGCAAGTAGATGCTGCGGCAGGAAGGTAAATGGCATTTCCGTGTGCTCTGGTTTCCGTCACGGTGTTCCGCTGCACCAGTAGCAGTTTAGTCATGCTGGCCACATGACTGGAAAGCTGTCTGTGGACAAACACCGGCTCCCTCAGCCTGAAAGCGAGATGAGGGCCGCAACCCCATAGTCACCTTTGACTGGACTTAAACGTCCAGGGGTCCTTTGCCTTTACCTCTGCAGGCCCAAATCTAGTATTTGTGGGATAAACTGTATGTGAAATTAAGCAAATACACTTTTAATTAATCAAACAGTGCTTTAGGACACAATGCTCAACAACATGGGTAGGCAAACTAAGGCCCGGGGGCAGGATCCGGCCCAATCGCCTTCTAAATCTGGCCCGCGGATGGTCCGGAAATCAGCATGTTTTTATATGAGTAGAATGTGTGCTTTTATTTAAAATGCGTCTCTGGGTTATTTGTGGGGCATAGGAATTTGTTCATTTTTGTTCATTTCCCCCTCCTTCCAAAATATAGTCCAGCCCCCCACAAGGTCTGAGGGACTGGCCCCCTGCTGAAAAAGTTTGCTGACCCCTGCTCAGCAACATGCACTGCTATCTAAATGTCCTGAGAACTTTGCTCTAGTGTTAGATATAAGCCAATTTGTTAACTGCAGGGATGTGAATGACACAAACACTCAAAAGCTACTGGATCTTAAAATTTTGAGTTATATGCCATGTTGCACGAATAATGGACATCAGGTATAGCTTGGCTATGATCAGAGGATATCTGAATTGGTCATGATCTTATTACAAAGTTCTAATTACATGATTTTGACAATCTGTCCTTTTATTTCATTCAGAAGTAAGATATGAGATGCCAAACGTCTGATCTGTTTTGGAAGCTCTGACTTTGGAAACCTTGCTCCCTTCCTAACACACACACACACACACACAGAGAGAGAGAGAGAGAGAGAGAGAGAGAGAGAGCAGCTTACAACTCTGACAATGTGTTCGATTATAGCTAGGTTTTTAAATAATAAAAGCATGGGTGCCACAACGGAAAGAGTCTGGCAGTGCTTTTTCTTCATTTGAATAGAATATGACAAAGAATTCCCTGGGAATTACACTACATCATGATGTGTTATTCCCATTCGGGAATTATCTTTCAAAGTGAAGAAGGAACACTGGTTGCTGTTCCTCTGCTAATTGAAAAATTAAGAATGTTGCTGTTGTTTGTTTAGGGGAGGTGACACTCAGCTGCTTCACTGAAACAGTAAGTTCCTCCATTTTTTTCTGTTCTTAGCAGTTCAGTTTGAGGAAGCTCCTAATGGTTTTTTCCTTCTCTAAAAAACAGCAGAAAAGGTCCATTGGATTTTTCTGAATGACTATTGTTGTCAACATGCAGCAGTTCTAAAATCAACTCGGTTATGTTTTAATAGTCATCTAAAAATTAAATCAAAATATTTCATGTTAGTTCACAGAGCAGCAGAAGTTCTGGTTTGTGAAAGTCTCCAATTTCCACCATGGAACCACCTGAATTCACTGTTACAAATTTGAGCAAGAAAACTTATTTTGTCTTAAAGCTTGGGGGGGCACTTATCAAGTATAATGAAATAGTAAACAACTATTCTGCTCAACCCCCCTTTATTTTGACTCCTGAATGACTAAGACTTTACTGAGAACATTCCACCATTTTCAGGACATATGTTACTACCATTTGCTCTTTTTCACATCCCACACTACGTAGGTGTTTTAGTGTTGATAAAGTTATGAAATTGAATAGCTCTTAAGCAATTAAGAAAAACAATGTTTCTCTCCTTTCCAATATTACAAGATATGAATGCATTTCACACTAATTATTTGGGCACAATGGAACCAGTCTCATCCAAAGAGCTCTTCTGACTGCTTTTGTTAATGTTCTAATGGGAGCAGAATTGAATGCATTTTTGGGCAGGAAGTTCTTGTTCATCAGTAAGTGGCACACACACATATACATGTACACACATATTTCTAAAAGAAAAAGGTCTGTAACTTAGAATCTCAGGCTCCCAATCTCCAGTGGGATAATAAATGTATCAGAGAGAACTATAAGACTGGAAACTCAGTGGGAAGTAGTCTTAGAGCTGGGTAGAATGTCAAAGCAGCCTTGCAGATCAAAGGCAGTGATGAATACAGAAATCTTTCTTCTTTCTCAAAACCATAACACACTCTTTAAAGAGGCACCCTGACCTGAAAATTACTCCATATGAAATCCAGGTTACTCCCAATTATAGAAATATCAGAAACCGTGCAGGACATTTTCGGAAAGTTGGATGATTCATATTACAAACATTTTATTTCATTGGAAAGCAAATGTTATAATTAGGCCAACAAACCTCTGTTCTTTTATATAGCAGCAAAGGTCCTAAATGGTTTTCTCACCTTTAAACCTCTAGTATTCTTCACTCTTGCATCAAAATAGACTGCTTGTAAAATGATAGCAGAAGCACCCCTGTCTGACTTTTTGGGAGACAGTCCCCCACTGTCCAGAAATCATTGTGAATCACTCTGAGAACCTTGTGGAAGGATATCTGACTTATTGCTGCCATTCAGAAATGGGAATGGATGGATGGCAGCTGAAATACATTTAAATAGTGTAAAAGTGCCGTGGGAAAGGAGTGGCAGTAGGATGCTACCTTGCCTCGTTTTATTTTATCAATTTTATATCTCTGTTTCCAAAAAGGTTCTACAATAATGAACATTACGCTTCCTCTCTTTCACACGTACACACCGACTCACTATCTCACACACATTTTCCCTATCTACCCCCAGAGCCCTTTCAAACGACGGGGAAAGTGGAACACAGTAATCAATAGTCTACGGGTGTTTTTCTTTTTTTGTACCCTTGATTTGATGGGTATGGATCCTGGCATATTTTTCCTTATAGCCAATGAACAAAAGAGCACAGGAGTGAGGCTGTCAGAGGGCGATCTTAATATGAAACCTGCACTAGGTGAGCTATAGGTGCTGCTATTAGGATAAACTCTATCATTGGGAATTGGTTATTTTATTTCAGTGAAATAGAAAGTTTGCAACTCCATCAATTCTGCTACTGATTTCCCCCCCTACAGAACTATTATATAGTGTTTTGAGCCTGTCCACAAAATGAATAATTATTTTATATGTGAAAGCTTTCATTATGTGGGTTTAGAATTTATCTTGAGACCAGTTACAATGCATTCCTGTTCAGATGTGCACAAGAGAACGCAGAAATTTTCAATATTTTTCTTACCTCTCCTGGGACTCTCATGGTTGAAGAGAATACCATTCACAGCAAAGAGATTGTAGGCCTCCCTGAAGTTCACCACAATCCAATATGCATATAGCTTGGCTGCCCCTATAACAATAATTGTAACTTATTTATTGAAAATGTTAATTTAACCCCTCTCCAAATAAGCGAAACCACATTATTTCCATCTTTCCATTTTTATCTTTATTTCACAAGAGAGAGAATGCTTTAAGGAAAAACAAGTAAGGTTTTTAATGGAAATGGTAGCTTCCATCCAACAAGCAGTGACAGAACACATTCACATTGTAGGATTTGTACTGGGTAAGAAATGTGAAAAGAAAAAAATGCAGAGTAGAATGTAGAAAATGTTACTGCCTTCATTTTAAACTTCGGTACAAAAGCCTTCAGTTTTAGCAGGCCAGCTTGTAAACTGTCGTTCCAGAAAAAAAGTTAAGATCTAAAATTGGTTGCAACCTCAAGATTTGTGATGCCAGACTCCCATTTGCCTCGAACTTTTGTGCCTCCATCAGCACAAGTAACTTTGTGCTTCATGGCAGCTAATTAGGATGCAATATGTAGGCAGGGACAAGCATAGACATAAGCTGACGTACTCACCATATGGTGACCTGGGATAAAAAGGAGTGGTCTCCTTTTGCGGTATTTCTTGCACTTTCCCATAAAGCTCACTTGTTGAAGCTTGGTAGAACTTCACAGAGTCTATGAGGCTGCATGTCTTGATAGCATCAAGTAACCGTAAAGTGCCAATTCCATCAACATCAGCAGTATATTCAGCCAAATCAAAAGATATCTGGGACGGCAGAAAAAAGACAGAACAAACACTAAAATACTAGGCAAAATGTTTCAGCACTTAAGGTTTCAACCATGCTTATTAGCAAAAATGCAAGATCGCATACACACAGATATATATATTTGCCTTAGGCATATGAGGCATTTTTAAATTTAAATTTTTGCAAATTTCATTCTTACATGCATATAGATGCAGAGAGAGATATATGGAGCATCAGATAAATGTGGATCCTTTTCTCATGGATCTTTGTTCTGTCCTATTTCCTGAAGAGAAACTGGTTGAGTGTGTGTTGCTATGCACTTTCACTTCTAATCTATACAAAGTTATTCATTAGACTGATATTCTAATCAGTAAACTTGTTTTAGTGAGTGCTTCAGGTTAACCTACAATGAAAGCCACAAAAGTGTAAAGGAAAGAAGAATGTATTTTGTTTTCTAAATTACCATCACAATCGCAAAAGTTGCTTAACACTGAAACTGAGAAGGCTACTGCAACCACCATTCACATTACACAGGGAATGCATCTTGACATTCAAACTTTCATTTGCAATATGAATTGCTCTGCTTTAGAAGCAGAAACAAAATTTGCCACTTCGATTCAGCAAGTCGGAATACACTTAAATGTACTTTCGTGCAAGTCACACGAATCTTTCTAGAGGTCTCACACGTCTTACGTCTTTTATCACCCGCGTGGCTGTTGGAAAATCGGAAACTAAAGCTTCTTCCACCCCCGCCACTCTGACAGATGGAGCTTTATTTGTTGAATTTTCCCCAATTCTACGACTATTAAAGGCACAGGAACCTTGCCAGAAAAGGTGGCAGCTTTACCCACACCTCAAAATTCCCCGCGGCTACTGAGAGGACTCCCCAAGGACCTAGGTATCTGGATATGTATTAGTAACCTCTCCAGGAGCTAAAGCTTAATATAGACAGCTGAAGGACAAGGGATTGCCTTAAAAAAAAAAAAAGAAGAAGACGACTCAGCTGCAAAAGGAGAAAGATAGGGAAAGCCTGCATAAGGCTGGAAACCCTAAAGCAAATAGAGATTTGTGGGTCTGGTTTCCTGAGAAACTGCTTTTATTACAAGCATATATATATATATAGATATATATAGATATATATATATTATATTGGAAAGGTCCAAAGGTGAAGTCATTCTCTATTCATTGATGGGATAATGAAAGAGATCATTAAGTGGTTGTCATAGCAGGGGCGGCATAGTTGGACAGGATTGGTGGTGCTGGCATGCACGAGATTCCCAAGGGGTGACCATACCACCCTGTCCCCTGCATATTGTTTTCTTTTAAAAGGCTGAGAACAATTACCCCCAAACTTTGCCAGGACTGACAAAATATTGGAGTCAGTATAAGGCAGTTCCTTATAGCCCTATAGAGTTTTACACATTATTTCCTACTGAAATATGTAGATGCTTTTTTTGTGTGGGAAGGTTCATGTTTTTTTCACACCGTGCAAATTTTGGATGTCTTTGCCAAATTACAGCACTGCATATGAGCCCCACAGAAAAGTATTTTTAGGCCGCCTACTCACACGTACCTATTTTATTAATGTTTTGCTTTGCTATAGCCTACAGTCTTGGTTAGTAAAAAAAAGTTTTACATTCACTAACCAAGCACATAGGCTCAAGCAAAGCAAAACGTCAATAAAATAGGTATACAGTGATACCTAGGGTTACATATGCTTCAGGTTACATACGCTTCAGGTTACAGACTCCACTAACCCAGAAATAATACCTCAGGTTAAGAACTTTGCTTCAGGATGAGAACAGAAATTGTGCGGCAGCAACGGGAGGCCCCATTAGCTAAAGTTGTGCTTCAGGTTAAGAACAGTTTCAGGTTAAGAACAGACCTCCAGAACGAATTACGTATGTAACCAGAGGTACCACTGTATGTGAGTAGGTTGCTTTGAGGTAATTCTTAATTACTATAGGTGTTTTCAGATAAATGACAAATTCAAGGCCTCTGTATCTTCCTTCCAGACAGGGATGGAATATTGGCATAACACTATATTTATGTGGACTTCTACTAAAAAGGAAGTATTATCAGTGCGCAAAGGATTTCAATTGAAGAGATGTGTCACTTCTAATTGGGAACTGCAACAAAATGTTGTGATGTATACCTATCGCACTTGATGTCACCCAGGCTCCACATACCAGCATGGCTAGAACTACGGCACTTCTTTTGGGGGTTGGCTTAAATTCCAAACAGCAGTCAAGTTTGAGTCCCCTCAACTATACAGAGGTTTTCTTCAAGGGTCACCTCATGATTCCAACCTCCCTTATTCCATGACCCCTAGGCTGATAGGAAGCAAGATATTTGGTTTCCTTCAGCTTTGCCAGCCAACTGAGGGCAGTACAAATATACAGTCCTCTATTATTGTTATCATGTGGAACCAATATATTTCAACATAGTTTTCTATCACCAACTTTAGAGGAAGTGACGTATGCAAGCAGGAAGTATTCACTAAGATACGGTGTCAATTGAAGCCATGTGGTATAAATGCAATAATATAGAATCATAGAACTGTAGAGTTGGAAGAGATCCCAAGTGTCTTCTAGTCCAACTCCTTGCGATGCAGGAATATACAGGTGGGTCAAACCTGTGACCTTGGTATTAACTGGCCTTTTTTGTTATGATTTAGTTTAACAAAAGGATTCAATGAGCTCAGAAATAGTAGAACCCAGAAATAGTAGCTCGAGGTACGATGCTTCAGAATGAGAACAGAAATCGCGTGGCGGTGGCGTGGCGGCAGCGGGAGGCCCCATTAGTGGTACCTCAGGTTAAGAACAGTTTCAGGTTAAGAACGGACCTCCAGAACGAATTAAGTTCTTAACCCGAGGTACCACTGTATCAGGTTTCTCAAGTCTCCCTTAGCATTCAATTATCCTTGGTACAACTGTCCTAACTCTTCAGTGATATCAGAGCAGCCAAGTCAATAGCAATCAGAAAGGAGCCCTATGTCTATCTGGGCTTATGATGACACTATAGCAGGAGATCTAATGGTAGACAGAGCATTCACAGTTGCTCTGCTTGTCAAAGTTTTCTGTGACATCACAGCAGTTCGGCCATATGACACCTATGCCCGATGAAAATGCTAGTTTGCATATCAGGTGATTAGATAAACGTTATGGGCTCTGGTGGGATTATAACCCCTTCTTATATTTTAAATTTCACTGCATCTATTATGTTTCTGGGTTCACACACACTATCTGTGCACCTTCGCTATTAATCTCTCCATCACAGAAGAGCTTTCATAAAGGAATGAAAAGATTTTACAGCACTAACATACTGGTGTGGAGGAAACAACAAGGAAAAATGTAAGGTGGTATATTAGAGAATGTAAAAACTTCAGAATGGCTATTAACCTTTGTCCCAAGTATGTATTCACACATGCAAAACAATCCTAAGCATGTTTATCCGCAGCAAAATACAGCTGAGTTCAAGAGAATTTACTGCCTAGTAAGGATGTTTAAGATTGCACCCTTTTGCTATTAATTTGAAGGAGCCGAGGAACTATCAGGTTATATAGGGCAAGGAATTAATTTTTTTAAGCAAATTGTTTGAAGCCTCAATTAACATAAATATTTTAACAGTGGGAGAGAGAATGCTAATATTTTTCAACATCATTTTTCAAGAAGCTTATCACTCTCACACACCCAAATTCTGAAGTGCAGCCAGGGAAGGATTTACAGTTTGAAATGTTCCAACATCAATGATCAGTGACACAGTAATGCTCTGAAAGTTTTCTTATATGCAATCCAGCTGTCCTAAAGGCTTTAAACATCTTTCCCCCCTCTTTTTTAAAGCCCCAAAGGGTAGTCTTGCAAAGTCACTAGAGAACTTTAGCAAGGGAGTTGTAAAAGGATAACCAATTCATTTTGCTTTATAGGAGTCATGGGAATCAACGACAACGAATAAAATGTGGGAGGGAAAAGGTGACTTTGAAAATTTCCTTTCAGTGTTTTGTTATTAATTTTTATACAGGCAGCTGAATAAATGGCTGGTTGACATCTAATTCCCTTTTAAAACATTGTGGAAGGAGGGATTCTTGGGTTGTCTTTGTTTTTTATTTTTAGTATGTGTTTTGTGATTTTTTATACAGGTACTGTGATTTTATGTTGTGAACTGCCCTGAGATTGATGGGTATAGGGCAGTATAATAAACAAACAAACAAACAAACAAAATAAATTCTTTTAATCAGTCTTTTTATTTATTTTTTAAAAAAAGGTAGCTTCAAGTATGCAGTATATCATGGTAGTTCTGTAAATTTACCACTATATCTTCAGAGTGGGACTATTTAAACAAAGAAAACTGACAATTTCTGAAGCAATAGACTAGCTTCCTTTGAATTAACCAGACTTAACCACAATCTGCCACTCTGAACAGCATAACAAAGAGTTGTTGACCTAACGAAAAATTTTTTTTTCCAAACTCTTCCTGCCAGTCACATAGGAGGAGGAAAGTGGGAGTATACAAGCCTTGGGAGAGCTAGAGCCATTCACGTTGAAAACCATGACTTAGTGTGGCAACAGAACATTTCTTACATCATCAGTACAGTGGCCCATAGATTTTGTTCAGCTACCTACTTTTTGACTGTGATCTCAGCACTGCACTGGTTCATCCTGCTGCAAATGCCATGAAGGGAAGGCTTGACTATAGTAGTTCACACTGATTTTTTTAATTGTAAGGTTTTGTGGTATTTTTTGTTAATAGTTAAGCTGTGTATTGTATTTATTACTTGCTGTTCACTGCTCTTGGGATGTTCAGTGGTTTATAAATATAATTAAAATGATAGTGAGAGAGAGAGAGAGAATATCCATCATATAGGATGGAACTTGAAAAAGTTAAGTTTAGGAGTTTGAGAGTTTTCTAGTATGTGAGATGAAACTGAAGTTTCCATAAATATATATTTTTTAAGAAGGTAAATAAGGTAATGGAATTCTGCATCAGTACAAGATCTAAAGAAAACACACAGAGTATCTCAGAAAGAAAGGAAACAGGCATGTTACAGATTTGGGTTACAAATTTGAGCACATCATTGTTTTAAGTTTCATTTATCGTGACTCTCCAAAGCAGTTTTATTAAAACTGTCAGTACTTCTGTGCTTTCCTTCTTATTAAAATTGCTGTTAGAAATACAGTGCTCAAAGTAGATATAATTCTTCCATATACTGACAGAGTTTAATACATTTCACAAATGAAACATACACCAAGGTGCAATCCATCGTTGTCTTTAAAGGTTCAGCAAGTACAATGAAAGGAGAGGTTAGGAGAAAGTGAGCAAAGTTTTCCTCAAAAAACCAAAAAAATAATAATATTGCTATATTATCATCTTATTTTTCTGTCAACTTTTAAAGGGAGGAAAGGGATTAAGGAGGAAGGTGGTTAAATGTATTCTACTTATACCCTTGGTCATAAGGAAGAAGATTGCATACGTAAGGACCTAAGAGTCCGCTGGATGAAGCCAATGACCCATCTAATCTATCACCCTATTTACACAGCGGCCAACCAGATGTCTGTGGGAAACCCAGAAGAAGACCCAAGCACAAGAGAACTCTCATTTACTCTGTAGGTTTACAGCAACTGGTATTCAGAAGGATGCTGCCTCTGACCATGGAGATCCAGCATGGTCATCATGGCTAGTAGTCATCCAAGCTGGTGGCCATCGCTGTGTCCTGAGTGAACAAGTCCTCCAGTTTAACTATGCACTGCATGAGGAAGTACTGTCTTTTATCTACCTTGAATCCCCCAAGATTCAACTTCATTGAAAGTCTGTGAGGTCTAGTGTTATGACAGAGAGAAACTTATCTGTCTGCTTTCTCCATTTCATGAATATTTTTTATAAACTTTGATCGTGTCACCTTTACATGCCTTTTCTCTAAACCACCAAGTGAAGTGCTCCCCTTGAACATCATGCTAAATACAGCAAACACTACTAAGTACAGAATGAGTCAATTATACTGCCGCTCTTAAAAATTAGTATTATTTTTCAGTCTTATATATGTGCGAGAGAGAAGCTGAGTGCAATTTTCTGAAAGATTAACTGACTAAAGTGGATCCCATTCTCCGTTCAAAACAGAATGCATGCTCGTTTTGTCTCCATCGGCTCACAGTATGTAATTTAGAAGCAACTGAAGAAACTTTAGCTAAGATATGCAAAAGTAAAATATACCCAAATGCCTTAAATATACACACACATTTAGGAAGGAAGGAAGCCAGCCTGCCTGCCTGCCTGCCCGCAAACTTATGTAATTACTTGTGTGCCTCTTCTACCTATTTTCAAACACTTGTTACCTTCCAATGAGAAATCTCAACTCAGAAACTTAGGGTCTTTTGCTACACCTGTCCAGTTAATGTAAAGAGAAAGTAACGTATGAACTAGGGAGTAGCCCATATTTAGGTATAAGAAGTCTACAAAATATCTATACACAAACACATGGAGTATCTGTTAAGAGAAACAGAAGTATCTGCCTGATGCTCGTACCACCTCACGTTTAATGTTCTGATTATACAAGAATAGGCCTTCCTTCCTTTGGGTCCTAACTGATGTAAAATTGGCAATGTCAGTGTGCATCTTGACAATGACAGCTGCTGCTAGATGCTAATGGAAGCATTTTTCATTTTTTGTTGTGCGTGCTTAGATTTTTTTTTACTTTGCTTTCTTTATTCTTAACAAATAACGTGTACCATTCTGATGAAAGAGTGAATTAAATGCAACAGATTTGTGCTAACCACATCCTGTCTCCTGCATAAAATATGGGAAGGTAAACACATGCAACAACTTTCTATAATTTACAGTGGGTGTTATGAAAACACAGATTGGCTAAAGGATTTAAGAGTTGTATCCAATATTAGTCAAAGCAGACTAACTGAACTTAATGGACTCTACTGACTTAGGTCCCATAATCTTATTGGGTTTGCTCTGAGCAGAACTTTGTTAGATACAGTCCATAAGATATTAGTGGGACAAGTTATGTCATTGGATGTCAATGATTTAAATGGGGATTGAGTACAGCTAACTTAGACCGGATCCAATAATAAACACCATCATATCTTTCAATTTTTGTTTTTATGTAGAAGTCAGTAACTTGGGGGTGTTTTCATTCTTCAGCAATGTAATGTAAAACAAGCAGTGAAGTTTACAAAATTTCCACACATTTCAATATACATTGGCTCTCTGTTTTAAATATAGACACGTCTAAGCATAAATAATTATAGTGTGTTCCAAAATAGCAAGCAGACAAGTTCCATTGAGTCACAGAAAATTAGTGCATCTTGGTATTTTCAGACACCTTTTTTTGGCAACATGAAAGAGGAAAAACCTTCCTAGTAACAAGTATGTAATTCTACAGTGGCTTTAATCCAATCTATTTAAAAACACCATTTCAGTGTTACACAGATCCTGCACAATTTATAGGGAGGTTCTTATGCTACATAACTCAAGTGCATTACAAATTAACAGGCACCCAAGAGCACACAATACAACATGGAGATCATGTAATTTGAGACTAAACCACATAATTAACATAATTGCATTTGTGTATGCTTAAAAGCATTACTGTTCCCTTAAACTATCTATTGACAAGTTTTTAATCTTGCTCCTTTGGAAACCATTGAAAACACTGGTCTCAAGAAAGCACTGAAATGAATTGAAAAGAAAACTATGTACGGTAACGGAAACATTTGCTAAATAGAATTTTTTAAGCACAACTGAGGCTCCAATACTTTGGCCACCTTAAGAGAAGAGAAGACTCCCTGGAAAAGACCCTGTTGTTGGGAAAGATTGAGAGCACAAGGAGAAGGGGACAACAGAGGACGAGATGGTTGGACAGTGTTCTCGAAGCTACCAACATGAGTCTGACCAAACTGCGGGAGGCAGTGGAAGACAGGAGTGCCTGGCGTCCTCTGGTCCATAGGGTCACAAAGAGTTGGACATGACTAAACAACAACAAGAAGACGCACAACTGATGCAAAATAATAAATCCCAATATAGACAAGAAATAACTAATAGTATCTAATTTGCACAGTAGCATTATTAAAACAAAATTCTTACAAAAACATGTTGCTGTTGTTTTTTCAACTCTTGCATATAAATGTATGACTTTTTCTTGACAGCTTTAGAGCACAATTTCATGCATGCTTATTTAGAAGAAAGTCCCACTCAGTCCAATTGGGCTTACTGCCTAGGGCAGGGGTAGGCAACCTAAGGCCCGGGGGCTGGATGCGGCCCAATCGCCTTCTCAATCCGGCTGATGGACGGTCTGGGAATCAGTGTGTTTTTTACATAAGTAGAATGTGTGCTTTTATTTAAAATGCTTCTCTGGGTTATTTGTGGGGCATAGGAATTCGTTCATATTTTTTTTTCAAAATATAGTCCAGCCCACCACATGGTCTGAGGGACGGTAGACCGGCCCACGGCTGAAAAAGGTTGCTGACCCCTGGCTTAGGGAGTGTGTTTAAGATTCCACCCTAAATCTACATACCCTAAAAGTTTGAAGGCAGAGATCCGAACACAACCGTATGAATGTGCTTATGCATAATTGTACTTTAGTTACCAATAAGGGCATTAGCTATCATGACAGTAAAAGCAAAGCTACTTCTTTAAAGGGGTAAAACCTAAATAAGCAATTACAAATGCCTTCGAATCATCTTTTCAAAAAACGAACACCTTATTTCCAGTCAACAAGTAATTCGTGCAATTAGGTGTGTTTCCACTTCATCTTATCAGGGAGAACAATCTTAAGCAGTATTACATTTCATGTAAACAACTGAGTGAACAATAGTGGCACTCAAAGTGCCATGCCACAACAAAAATACATCTCACCAATGTTTTATCATTCAGCTAATAAGATAAGCCTTAAAAGGACCTGTGCTATTAGCTTCAGGTACCCAAAGGCAATTTGGAAACTGTCTTTCTCAAAAGTGAATTTCCAGGCAGACTGTGTCTTATAGTCTTTTCCCCGTCCTCTGCTGCATATTACAGATATCACAATGTATATAGCCTATACACTTCAGAAAGCTTAAGTTGAGAAACAATGGCTTTCTAAAGACGAATACTAATAAAACGCCCCAAACATCACAAGTACGACATGGCTAAAGGTAAGCCTCTGAATCCTTTCTTATAAGAAAAATTACAATAACTGAAATAGAAGAGAAACTTTGAGCTTGGGTGAGTCTCAAGGTTGAAGGAACTCTTACTATTCCACACAATTACATACAACTTACAAACTGTGAAGCTAACCCAAGGAATCATATAGACTAATAGCTAGTAATTTTCTCTGTAGAGAAAAACATAGACCTGAGAACTTGTAAGGAGCCATCAGAATGATCCAGAAGGCAAATTAATCTGAATCTGTTTCTTATTCCTACAAAATTTATGATTTGCAAAAAGGTGGGTGGGCAGCAATCTGAAAGCCTGGCATATGTAGAGACCACAGTAAAAAAAAAACAATTTGGCTATCCAGAAAACGGCTACAATATCAGGGAAAATAAAAAAATTGCCAAGACCAGGCACTTAAAATTCTGCCTTACACTGCACACGGTTTCTTAAAGGTCCAAATACCACAGGAAATAAGTGCTTATCTGTGAGAGCCAGAAAAACAACAAAGGTAAAGGGGTTCTTTTCTATTCTTTTGCTGTCCTACCCCCAACTGTGAAGTGTTTGGCGCTTCCTCTTAGTCCCAGCCATTTCGTAGTGCATTTGGCTTTAATCAGGTGGAGGGCAGGAACTCAACATCCTGCAGCCTTGCTCTGATTAGGAGGAGTCAAATTCTACAAATTGGCAGATTTCTTCCTTTACCCTTGCTTATTTGATGAATCATTTGTTTTAAAGTATTTCAAAAGGAACATTAGAAGAGAAGCAGGCTCGGCTTGTTACCATTTTCAAGTCTATTTATAACTACCCCACTGACAAGAATGCAGACCGTTTCACCTCCATAAACCAATATTTTAACAGCCCTCCTAAATTAATGCCACAGAGCAATTATGCTGCAGAAAAATGTGCTGACTACTGTAACCACCAATCTATGAGATGTCATAAACAGGGTACAAAAAGCTAATACAAGTTAGTGGAGCTCAAAGGCGATTTATTGGTGCAAGGTCTAGTAATTTCAGTGGAACTCCAGCGCTGTGAAAATTATTTCAGGAGGAACCGGCTGATAGTAGCTCTCTAGTGAAATAAGTAACCAAACAAACCTGTGTTGCAAAGAGAACGTCGGCAATATCTAGACAACACGATGACCATGTACATACACAACAGACAAACTTTATAGAATTCCGTAAAACCATAATGAGTCCAAAATGGAATCTCAAAGTCTCTGAAAATCTTAAAATGAAGCGAGATACCAGACTTTGTACGATGAAAGACAAGCTGTGAAGCTTTCTGTATTCAGCAAATATAATGTCCAACACTGAACAGTGATTCCAGATATTGACTACTGTTTCGTAGAATTCCTCGTCAGCGTGGTAGGAGGATATAGAATTGCTTCATAAACCCATCTTATTTCGAATGAACGTATGTAAATGAAAATATCAAATGCTGTGGAACAGTGCTCATGTAATAATGTAGTCACTGCATTCAGCTTGTCTTTCATCGTACAAAGTCTGGTACCTCGCTTCATTTTAAGATTTTCAGAGCCTTTGAGACTAAAGATTCCATTTTGGACTTATTATGGTTTGAAGGAATTCTATAAAGTTTGTCTGTTGTGTATGTACATGCTCTAGTGAAACAGAGCAGCTCTCCAGTGATGCTCTTTAGAAGTGGAGAGAACATCTTCAATCTCCATGGTAGATCACACGCATTACATGCAGGAGGTCTAGGTTCAATCTTTGGAATTCCCAGCAGCATGGCTGAGGGCCGAGACTGAGATCAATGAGTCTAGAAGAGTGGTAGACAACATGGAGCACTCCAGATGTTATGGACTACAACTCTAACCATCCTAGACCATTGCACATACCGACTGGAGATGATAGGAGTTGTAATACATAACATCTGGAGAGCATCTCCTGCACTGGATGATAATAGATGGACCACTGGTCTTATTCAGTATAAGGAAGATCCATTTGTTCATATTCCCATGAGTGCTACTTGAATACACTAGCCACAATAGGATTTTTGAATATAAAAATGGTGTCCTCTTTTATAAAACCATTTTTTTTGGAGGGGGGATCCTTGGAAGTTTCATTCTATTTCTCACCTGCTTATGCCTAACTTAGGACATGAAAAGATAACACTCATTGGGCAGCTTGGCTTTAAATGGAGCTTAATTTATTGGGGGAGGACAGTAAGTTATTGAGGATACAAAATATCAATAATAATAATAATATTAAAACCCCTTGCAAACTTCTGAAATGATTTGAACTTAAAGAAGAAATTAAGACATTACTGTGAACTGTCTCTTATAAAAATTTACAGTAGATGCAATAACAAACCAAAGAGATCTGTATTCTTCCTTAACTCATAAGCACAGTATTTGTATTCAATGCACCACTGAACACACACACACACACACACACTGGCCTGCCTCTAAAATGATCATTTTGCTTTGTATCTTCTGGTATATGCCTTCTGAGAGGGAAAAGCAACCAGTCTCACAGACTTGCATACTTCAAGTTTTTGGTTTTTTTAGTTTAAATCTGGATATGCCTTCTGTAGCTTTCATCAAAATCACGTTAACTCCCACCTCTGGCCAATATTGTCACTGAATGATGAATTAAAAGTTTAACATTTGACATTAAAAAGGGAAATCTCTTCCAACAAAATCAGCTAATTTATATGGCACTCACCTGGGGATTGAGTAGGGATTAAATATTACTAGAAGGGAGAAAAATAAAGGCTTTAATTAAAGTCCATGATAATCTGCAGTAAGGATGAGCAGCAACACTATTTTATTTTTTAAATGTATTTTTTAAATTTATATACCTCCCTTCATCCAAGGATCACAGGGCAGTTTACAATATTAAAAAAACGCAAAAATATAAAAACAAATGAAACAATAATATCCAAATCGGTCAGCCTGGATAGCTCAGCTGACAATAAGACTTTCTATCAGCAGAATGGAGACAAAATAGTTTTCTGGGCAATTCCCCCTCACAACTAAATCTGCTCCAGAGGGTTGGAGTGCCCTCCAGTTGGGAGGTATGGTGGGTAGAACTGAGGGAGACAGGGGTAATGGCTGAAAATTGCTTCCCTCCCATTCTGCTGACAGACTACCATACCATCAACCTAACAGCATCATTGGATACCACCTTAAGGTTTTCTAGACGCTTTCATTTATTTTGTGAGCTGCCAATTACAGAAATGTGCTTCTAATTGATTTTTAATGTGTTATATAACCACATGCCTATTGGCATTATATTCTGAGATGGATCGATGTACAGTGACAAAATACATGCAAGCAAGAAATTTAACTGCAGCATCTCATGTATTTTCCTTTTGTAAATCTGGATGTCAAAGTTATGGTTTCTGACATCTCCAAAAATTATCTCAGCAAGTTATAAAATGCACTACAAGAAATAATATACCGTAATAGCAACCCCGCTTGCCCCCCAAACCCATCCCTTTTCCTGATCTACTATTTATGCTGTATAATAGGAAAAATATGATATTTTCTGAATTTTGAGTTTGTCTTTTCTTGAATATCTTACGCGTGGAACAAGACAGTTGACCGAACAATATAATTTAGTAGCGTGGGACAAAGGTCATTTGGAAGGGATGTGCCTTTAAGAGCTTACAAAGGCCTGCTTCTAACTTCCCTGTTATAAAAGGAAGCATCTCTCAGTAAAGGAAGGATGCTCACTTTAAATAAGGAAATGAGTTTGCAGGATGTGCACATGCTGCTTTCTATTAAGGATCAGCAACTTCTACACACACAAAAGCAAATAGAACTCTTTTATTTTAGGAGATTAAGCCCACTTATGGGCTTACCTGGAAAGATATGAAGGGAACGAAATGAAAGTGATTCAACAAGATCTTTCGTTTGTGAGAATTGTCTCTCATATCTAGCTCCTAATTTTTTAAAAAAAAATTGTCCCAGTAGCACCTTAGAGACCAACTACATTTTTTTCTGGGTATAAGCTTCCGTGTGCATGCACACTTCTTCAGATGCACTTTGTCGATGAACTTCCATTTCATGCGGCTCAATGTGGTGCCTTCCATGGTTCAACTGACGCAGTTGAAATAAAAAAAATAAAAAAATTGTCCAGTAGCACCTTAGAGGCCAACTAAGTTTGTTCTGCGTATAAGCTTTCGTGTGCATCTGAAGTATCTGAAGAAGTGTGCGTGCACACGAAAGCTTATACCCAACTTAGTTGGTCTCTAAGGTGCTACTGGACAATTTTTTAATTTTTTTATTTCGACTGCATCAGACCAACATGGCTACCTACATGAATCTGTATCTAGCTACAGTTAAGTTAAGGTGTTGCATTTTACAATAGACTATGCAGCAGAGAGCGATCACAGAAACGAGATACTGTAAAATGTAATATGAGCTCAGATAATACATTTTGGAATATCTGGGGTGGGGGATCCTCGGCATGATTTACTTTTTGGACCTCTGTATGCTGTGGGTTAAACCACAGAGCCTAGGACTTGCTGATTAGAAGGTCGGCAGTTCGAATCCCTGCAACGGGGTGAGCTCCCGTTGTTCGGTCCCAGCTTCTGCCAACCTAGCGGTTCGAAAGCACGTCAAAGTGCAAGTAGATAAATAGGTACCGCTCCGGCAGGAAGGTAAACGGTGTTTCCATGCGCTGCTCTGGTTCGCCAGAAGTGGCTTAGTCATGCTGGCCACATGACCCGGAACCTGTCTGCAGACAAACACCGGCTCCCTTGGCCAATAAAGCGAGATGAACATTGCAACAGCAGAGTTGGTCACGACTAGACCTAATGGTCAGGGGTACCTTTACCTTTACCTATACATATGCTGGAAAACATCTGCTTCATTCTCTGCTGGGTTGAGGCAAAAATCCAAAGAACCATTAAATAAGTTCTGTTTGCCCAAGTTGGTATGGAATTCGTCTTGAACCACAACTTCCCCTTCCATATGGGGAACTGATTCTAAAACTGAAGTTTGTGATAGGAGATTGGAAAAAGCTATTCAGATTGGGGTGGGGGGAGTCAAAAATGATACTATGCTAGTGCAACTCAGTTGTGTGAGCCCAAGAAGCACTTTGGATCCTGGTTGCGTACTCTTATGAACATGTCTGTATGTAGATTTCCTAGAAGACTAATTGTTTTCAACCATCCATCCTCCATAGTTACAATAAGAGAGGGAGAGAGAACATTGTTTGTTAGTTCTTGGCTCTTGTGAAAGTGTTGGATTCTGTCTATTTTTGAGGTATTGTTCTCGATCATGCAGTTAGGATGCAAACTAACCTAGTTATAACAACATATTTACAACCAGCGTGGCATTTCAGTGCAGAGCTAGATAGAGAAGCATGAAGCATTTTTGCATTTCATATATTCTTATCTATAACCGCCTGTGTGTTTTGAAGCCTTTAAATCTCGAGTGTTTAATCAATAAAATCAACTAATCTGAGCCCTTAAAAGCTCACAGACATGAAAGACAAAGTGTGAAAGAGAATCACGCTTTCAACTTCCTTCTTCAGCTCTATGAACTTTTCAAGGGTGAAAAAGGCATCCATCCTCACCACCTCATGACCAATGGGACAGTTAGTGTCGGCCTCAGAGCCTTTATGAGCACCAGGTGAAGACCTCAAGGCCACCACTGCACCCCCAGGAGATACAATGGTGATGTCTGGTGTATGTGATTTAGCAGTTTGCCTTTATAGCATCTGTATAGATTTCTTGCTCCTGCCAACCTAGCAGTTCGAAAGCATGTCAAAGTGCAAGCAGATAAATAGGTACTGCTCCGGCAGGAAGGTAAACGGTGTTTCCGTGTGCTGCTCTGGTTCACCAGAAGCGGCTTAGTCATGCTGGCCACATGACCCGGAAGCTGTACGCCGGCTCCCTCGGCCAATAAAGCAAGATGAGCGCCACAACCCCAGAGTCGGTCACGACTGGACCTAATGGTCAGGGGTCCCTTTACCTTTTTATAGATTTCTTGATTCACTTTTCAAACAATGAAGCTTTTTCCGACACATTAATACCCTCCAGATACATTTATTTAAAAAGCTAAAGGTGGAAACTGTGGATAGAATGGATTATAAGGAGTCCTTCTTTCTGGGTGTTTGTGTGTGCAATATGTGATATAAATATAATAAATAAAGAAATATTTTACATATTGCACGCTCACCCACTAGTAATGTCTTAATGCAGAAAGATTGACTGGAGGATGAACTGGAGCTTAAACTTACGTTTGACACGTACCAACATAATTCTGGAATTTGAAATGTACAGTATGGCATATATTTTACAACATAGAAAGTATATTGTTAAAAATGATTGCTTCTGAAAATTCACGCAGTGCCAATATTGAATAAATGGATGGCTTGGGCTCAGTTCAGCTGCTTGACTTCTGTTCAAATTCCTTGGGGGTGGGGTGGCACACCCACAAGCTACCCTATGAAAGTGATAGCTGAACAGCTAGCAAGTTGCACATGTAACTGCTTCAATTTACTAGACCATGGTAACAGTTTTTTTGAAGTATTGTAATCGTGAAAATGACGTCCATTGAAAGCCCAAATCCCTAATGGGTTACCAGTTCATCCAATGAGGTTCATCCATGTAGTCCAGGCCAGCTGCAAGTCCACCAGTAGCACCACACCACATGATGACCAAAAACATATCAAGCGGACCACAGTTGTAACGAAATTAACATAAAGATAACAAGAAAAGAAACTGACAAAGCTTTAGAGAGGGAAATAAGTTTTCATCGAGTCTATCTCTTTACTTTCAAAAGAGGCAATGGGAGTACTTCAGTGCAATGATACGTCCAAGCAAAGCCAACCAGCAGAACTATTATATGTTGTGAAGGACCTTTTCTATCATGGTTTACAGAATGGTTTCACATGAAACCACGGAAGCCCTTTGCCACCCATTTGCAAAGCACTTTGCAGAAAAAAAGCACTCAGATCCACTGTGACCTGGACTACTGTTTGTTCCAGAGAAGACCAGGAGTACTGTTTATGCCCTGTTTATTGAATACGCTTCAGTTTGTACCAGTTTGCATTTTGTTTGTCTTCCTGCCTTTCTCCATTTTTATTACTGCTCATTTGCTGCCTTGAGTCTCCTTGAGGAAATAGGTGGGGCGTACAATTTCAACATAAAACAAACATGCACAGCAGATGTAGCTAGCCTGTGTGGCTCTCCAGCTGTTGTCTGACTCCAACTCCCATGCTAGCCGATGGTCAAGAACGATAGGAGTTATAGTCCAGCAACATCTGAAAGATCACAGGTCAGCCATCCCATAGGACTATCTGAATTGGTCCTAAGGGTACCATCCTATAGTTCCTGTGAGGGCATTACAGGGGCCACGGAACTTTTCCGATCTCCCTATGTAGAGAGATGAGTCCACAAACTGACAGAGAGAGAGAGAGAGAGAGAGAGAGAGAGAGAGAGAGAAGGAGATGCGACTTCATGAGCCTCTTCTCCAATGTTGGAACTGAGATGTAGGAGAGAACAAAAAGGGGAGGTATCAGAAAATGCTGTGGCTGTGGATCAGGAGGATGCAAAGTCTACTCATTTCCCCAACACCACCCTTGAGGCAAAGGGAAACTACACCAGCCCTGAAGCTAACCTAGTGTATTTTTCTCCCATTAGTTCCAAAGGAGAAAGAGAGAGAAAATGCTTTTGAAAGGGAAAAAAGCCTTCAAAAGGAGGGGGGAAGAAATGAGGAATGATGCTCTCACACACACACATTTTGCCCTGCTGGCACAAGTCTGCCAGGACTTTGACGGTTCATCTGGCTTTGATTCTCCCTCCTCCAACAGGGTAGGATTGCTCTGCCACTGTAAAACGCAGACACTCAAACACTTACTTATTTTGCTAGGAACTCAGGACTTGCGGATTTTAATGAAACTTGTTTAAAAATCGGTGTGCTTCATGGAAGCAGCCAACATGATCAATCTTTAGAATTTAACTATTTATCTATTCAAGTACTTAACTTTCCTTACTTATAAGATATGAGAAACTGCATACAAGTAATGTGGAAATAAATGCACAACATCTGCACTGAGTTATCTCTGCGATTGCCGAATTGAGGCTAAGAAATTAATCAAAGAATGTTTTGACTGTGAATTTCTTTTTAAAATAGAATTAAGCAGAAATAGATGCCCATGTGTTGCTGTCTTGTGGTTAAAACAGAAAAGCATTTTTTGAACGAAAGACTTCTTTTAAAAGGCTGTATCCCATCCTGCTTCCTTTCCTCTCATCCCCCTTGTCGGCCCAGTAGTGACATAAATCACTTAAGAGATCTATGATTAGAGATGATTAATAAATATTTTAAATACATAAATAAATGCCTACACTAGGGATTATACTAGGAAGATTTAATTCTTCTGCATATTTTAAAAAATCTGTTGCTCTTGCAAGGCATGCCTTTGAAATATTCAGGATTACTTCCACTTCTGTATCCAGCACCGAGTGGGTGGATAAATTGAAGCATACACTGAATATGAAGGAATGAGTAAAAACAAAATGTGGAACAGTATACAAGAGAAGAAGGCTGCCTTTGTCAAACAAGACCTACATTCATTCTAAAAAATCACAATCTTTGGCTCTTTCGCTGGTTTTCACCACTATAGTCTGCTTATCAAAGCACTTTATCAGTGGCAAAGGGATGTGGGCTAACCACTTCACTCAGCTTCAACTTCCCAGCTAGCAGTCTGTCACCAAACAGCTGTTTTTCAATATGTACACTATGTGCTTCAGAGCTTGCTCTGAGCTCCTGACAAGAACAGCATTGTATTATGGAGCTTGTTCATGTTCGGGATTGGTTTACTTTAACCCTCAAGAGGAAAGAATCCAAACGTTACTTGGAGCTTTTAATATTTTAAAGGGGGCCTTCAGCACCCCCAAGCAACCTGTACGTTGCTGCAGTAGTAGTTTCATAGTGCATTATTTGCAGATAAACTTCAAGACTTCTTTAGAATTAATGTATTCATTTCAAAATTAAACAACAACAACACATTTAACCTCCACAGATACATTCAGGTAGTTATCATCCTTATAAGCTGGGAACGGAGCCTGGGCTGATGCTACATGGTAAATTAAATGTGTGTGTGTGTGTGTGTGTGTGTGTGTGTTCCAGATTTGTTTCCAACTATCCATCCCCAAATGATAGTGCAGTCTAAATCCACCTTGTTTTGAATCATCTATATTGGCAGGATGGCACAAATCAGAGGTTTTCAACCATGAGTCCACGGCTCCAACTCCATTCTTTTGTGGCTCCCCTGTGGGGCTCAGGAGCCCAGTTACATCACCCCTTGCCTGCAGAGCTGGCAGCCTCTCACCCTTTTTTAAACACCCTCCCTTGTGGAGTGTTCCCTCAGCCTCCTCTTGTCTCTTCTCTCCTTGAGAGTCCTCTGAGCTGCCCCACCCCACCCCAAAGAGAGGTACCTCCTCACACTGCCCCACAGGGGCCTGGGACTTGTCTGTCCATTCCCAATAGCAAGGGCTGGAGGACTGGCTGGCTGTGCTCCCTCACCCGCTGGCTTACGTACTCCAAGGCCGCCTCAGCTCCTGTCAACCCCTGGCCAGCCCCAGAGGCACCATTTGTCTGGGGAGCTTGTAGCTGGGGCTGCTGCAAAAAGCAGCTGTGCAAGCCTTTGGGAGGCAGAGATGTGAGAGGGCATCAGAGGGGGTAGGGAAGGAAAGAGGGACAGAGGCCAGTGTTGCCCGCAGCACCCCTGACCATCCTTCAAGGCAGCCCAGGGTGCCATGGCACACTGGTTGAAAACCACTGGTATAGATGTTGGGTGAACTGCAGGGCACAGTAGCTGTTAGGAACGTGGAGCAGGGCCTTTTGGGCGAAAGCACTGATTGTGGAATTTCATCCAAAGGGAGTTAAGACTGTCCCTTTCTCTGTTGTTCATGAGAGTAGGGTTAAGACCTTTTTTTGTTCTCCCAGACTTTTAGCGTGTCTTAATTCAATGTGGCCATGGTTTTACCCATTTACTCTGGCTCTGAATGCTCTTTTTAAATGCATTGCCTTTAATTTTAATTTTATTGTTGAAAACTGCAACAGGTATGAAGTTTACGGCATGTAATGCCCTAAGAGAGAATATTATGAAAATGATATACAGGTGGTACATGACCCCAGTCAAGTTTGCAAAAATCTATCATTTGCCCGATAATAAATGCTGGAAATGTAAAGAAACTGAAGGTACATTCTTTCACCTTTGGTGGACGTGCCCAAGGATTAAGGCTTTCTGGGAAATGATATATAATGAACTGAAAAAGGTATTTAAATATACCTTCTTGAAGAAACCAGAGGCCTTTCTTCTGGGCATTGTCGGCCAATTGGTGCCAAAGAAGGACAGAACTTTTTTAATGTATGCAACAACAGCAGCAAGAATACTCATTGCAAAGTATTGGAAGACACAAGATCTACCCACTTTGGAAGAATGGCAGATGAAGGTGATGGACTATATGGAATTGGCAGAAATGACTGGCAGAATCCGAGACCAGGGAGAAGAGTCGGTGGAAGAAGATTGGAAGAAATTCAAAGACTATCTACAGAAATATTGTAAAATTAATGAATGATAGAATGATGTTGGATAGTAATTAAGCGGTTTCCAGCTGTAATGCTCTAAGAGAATATGAAAAAGGGTTATAAATGGGTTAAAATCTAATGGTAAGGATTTGCTGAACCAATAAATTGAAGTGGAATACAAAAAAGGGAGGTATGAGGAGGTCCGGGAAACAAGCTAAAGGAAAATAAGTAATGGAAAATATGTGTGATTTTAACTGTTTTTATTTTGTATTTTTCTTTTGTTTTTCATTTTTACTGTAATATTTCAAAAAATCTCAATAAATATCTTATGAAAACTGCATTAGAGGGTCTTTTCAGAGTGGGAGGTGTCATTTTATAAACAAATAAAAACAAATTAGTATAGGTAAAGATTTCATGTATAAGCTTGAGCCTGTTGTACATAGTATGCTGTGAGCTCATTCATTTCAAAATACTGTTGATTGATTCACTGACTGACACGTGACAGCAGAATACACAAGCAATATACTCTAATACCCTTCAATACACTAACACTTATGATATCCTTCTTAAAAAGTAGGACTCAATTATGAATAGAGTGTAATTTTGGTTAAAGCAACATGCTAATATTTTCACTGCAAAAAGTATTATAATATATCTTTTGATCTTTATCAAATATGGGAATATAATCTAGCTTGAACTTTTGTACAGGTATCTTGGTTAAACATAGAATTTCCTATTCCAGAATTAACATATAGAGGTTTCAGCCAAACGAATTTAGTCAATCATTGTTATTAGCTTTGATATCACCAATACAACTGAATAATCAAGTTCACCTTATTGTACCTGCAGGTATGAAAGAGATTCTTTATTCAACAGAAAAACCCTGTTAAAAATAAATGCAGTTTAATGAAGCAAACTTTGTCACCTTCCCTTTAGGAAGTGCTCTCCAAATAGCTGAAGAGAAACAGAAGAACTCTTTGCTTCAGTTTCTAAATGAAGGCCTTGTTCAAATACCTGGCCCACTTCTCTACAGTTTTTCCCCTCAGTGAAGTTGTCATGATTTACCTGGGATACAGAACAAAAACACCTTCTGACATCTTCTATATCATTAAAAATGATGTGTAATTAAACTCACAGACTCATGCCAAGCTGCACTTTTTGTTTTAAACTTTCACCTGTGCCCTTCTTTTCTGCCAGCCATTTACTGAAGAGCTTTATTGTTTACCAGAAATGTTGCAACTCTTTAAATATATTATTTTGTTAGCCACACACTCTGGGCTGTTTGCAATAGGTGGTGCTCAACTCATCTTTACACTGGACAGATCCATTAAAATTAGTAGACCTTTGTTAAATCATGCACAATCATTTCAATGGGTCTACTCTGAGTAAAATGCAGTTGAATGCCACCCAAAGTTATATATGCTGTGGAGCAGATGATTTTTTCATAATAGTCAAAATGATAAATTCCAATTGCACAAAAAAGCTAACATTTCTAAAAAGCCAATATTTACATTGTGGTTTGGTTGCAATAAAGTTTTAGCATTGTATAAGTGTGTTAGATTCATTCATTACAACTGGTTAATAAAATGTTTATAATTCTACACAGTTTGGCTTCCATTGACAATTGCATCTAGTACACTACTCTAAAATTAATCTCCAGCTTTGCTAATATAAAAATACCATATTCCTCTTTACTGTCATGTCAGGATAAAATTGTATTTTCAAAAATAGGAATTCAGCCACTGTGTATTTCTTTGAGCTAGCATCCCTCAGGTATAATATTATCACCTGATGAAAAGTTCTGCTAAACTTAAGAAGCTTGCACAATATTTTGGATAGTCCTGAATAAAAGCATTGCCTTACTACAGATTTTGGAACAGCGGGAATGCACCAACTATAGGATTCTGATTCCTACAACAAAGGGCCTAATTATTTTGCTCATTGTTCATTTTATATGTTCTATGTCCCATCTTCCTTCCCTGATACCTCTAGAGTCTTCTTCATCTGCTTTCAAGACATCTGAGTGCTTTACCTATAACTGTTGCATCTTCCTTCACATTTCTTGACCGATTTCAGTTAAGGGTGAAGAAAGGAAGAGTGTTAGCTTTCACTAAAGCGAGAAGCTGGCAGTACAGGAGCAGTATAAGCAAAGTTCAGAAATAGGTGGGAGAAGGCCAGAAAAATGGTTTAAAAACAGGAAGCCTGTAAAATGCAGAACACTTGAAAGATGTGACAACATTTACAACCCTGAGGGATTCTAACATCTGTAGCTACTCTATGTGTGCACATGTGTTCAGCTGCTGAGGTGCTGACTGCATGAATATAAGGCTTGAAAAGGATTTGACAGCTCCGGGAGTTGACTGAAAAGTGGCCATAAAATATTCAAATCCTGTCTTAGAACTCCTTGTCTTGTTTCTAATTGCTTGCTTACCGAGCCACCTCAACAGTTTGAAATATCTGTGTAAATATGTGTTGTTGTTGTTAAGGTTGCTTCAATAAACTGTACTGGTTGTGTTTCAGATTTCATTTTGGCTCTCTAGATAAATGGTTTGGGGTTCTTTCCTCTTTTTTGTACACTTATCCAGTTGGCTTTTCGCGATGCACTTCAAACCTCTGGCATGTGTGAAAGTTTTGAAAACATGCATTTATTTACCCGTCTGAAAGTAATGGGTCCTCAGGAGCCATTATGGTCCAACCCATAATTCCTCCTTAGCTCTCTTACGGTGGACCCAACAGCGGCAACTCACAGGGCTGGTTTGCGGTCTACTTATGGTCATTTGATTGCTGTGCAAGTTTATCAAGTGTATATTTGCATGGTTCAAAAAGTGCGCGCAGAAAACAGTCTGTCAATGAAATCCTTTGCTTGCCCATTTACACTGAATGGGTTCTGCATCATCTGGGCACAGTTGCAAAGCTCCATATTCTCATCTGTGTTAATAGGGAAACTTATTACCTGACATACGCATACCATCTCCTACATCCAAATTGGCTTTTGTTAACAATGTGTCCTCTCTTCTTCAATATTGCCTTGATGTTTATTTACTCAATATTTTCATCACTCCTTTTAAATATTTTTACAATTATTTTTATTTATTATATCCCACATTTCTACCATGATGAAACCCAAGGTGGCATACATGCAGTTCCCAGGTGCTCTCCTATCCAGGCACTGACCAGACCCAGATCAGTTCAGCTTCAGTAAAGTGTGCCTTCTGATCGCACCATTTACAATCTCCCACTTACAAGGCATCTTAAAATATTACATGTGCAATGCAGAATATCATATCCCCCAAGGAATCTAATTTTATCTTATAATGAGAAACCTAACACATCAAGGTAGATTCAAACATGAATTATTTGATTTTAATTTCTAATTTTAAAAAAAACCATTCACACTTCTATAATAGTTTCTCTGCAAACTATTAGTATACCAAATAATGGCTCAGTCACCACTTTGGTAATTTATTGTGCTTAAACAGTGCATCCTGCAAATAGGACACTAATGCATTTTAAGCTATGACTTGGGATATGAGATGATACTGCCATGCTGAATATAAAAGGTTGTCACTTTTCCCATCAGATAAGACGAATACCCACACAAGGTGATATTCAACTAAGTTTTACTCAGAGGAGAACCACTGAAATTAGTAGAACTAAGTTAGTCATGTTCATTAATTTCAGTGGGTCTACTCTGAGTAAAACATAGTTAACAATCACCCCAAATATAGCTTCAATATGGAATAAAATTTGACCCTTTATTGTGGATATACAAGTTGAATTGATCCATAAATAAAATATGCTGAATGCATTGAACTTAATTTTGAGCTAAAAAACTATAAGGCTTTTACAAAAACATATGCTGCCCAGGATCCAAATTATCTTGAATTGCTTCACATCAGGGGTTTTATACATGTGACCGCACATGTTCTTTCTAAATCTTAGCCAATGGATTTGGCATTACCTAAATCATAGACTGCCAAACAGGACTGGGTTGCGGACAGCTGAGTATTCCTAACTTGACCAGGATATACAAAGTATTCAAAGCCAGGACTGTGAGAAGTTGGGGGCCAATCTTCATGGTTGATCCAGGAATCAAAACAACCAAGCAATCAAGGTGGAATTAGCACCAAAGGTTTGGTCTGAACAGAGCCAATGCTTGATAGTGACAAAGGTATGCAATATGTATGATAGGAAAGTTAGGTCATTGTAGAGGCAGGATATTGGGAGGAGAACAGAAATATACAGATCCAACAAGAGGATACCTGTTGAATTAACCATGGGACAACTGAAAGTTCTTAATAAAGGCACAGCTATAGTCTACGTAGCAGGACATTGTTACAGTTCATTCAACACAGAAAATGCACACACCTCTAAGGACCCAAATAACATCCTCTTCCTCCTTCTTCTTTATCAGTCTACTGCTACTGGTAACATTTTGCCTCACCACACAATTGTTTCTCACAAATGACTCAACAAAAAACTATAGATGGCCTGACCACATAGAAGTAAAGCAAGAAACACATGTTTAATTCCAATTTCTTGAGTTATGCTGAACAAGAAAAAAACCACACAAGCCCTTGTGGTGCAGTGGTGCTATTCCAGGTTAATATCTCTTTCCCAGGCTGTCTCTCTTACCATCATTCCTTCCAAGCGGCCGAACCACATAACTTGCACCACTTTTCAGGGCGCAATTTGAACATTTATTTAATAAACCTCTCAGTGTTACATTACATTTGTGCCTACAAGAGGAAGTATAGGGAAAGCATGCTGCCTTGCCTGGCCTTGCCCCCATGGAGATGAAAGGGTGCTGGCTGTTGGCTATCTTGCCCAGGCAGATACTTAGGCTCCTGGTTCTAGACTTCCTCTCTGGCCAGAGACAGAGGGAAAAGTGAGGTGGTGGCACAAACAAGAACACCACTTGCGTGACCATCCTTGCAACCACTTCAATTAGGCTTGCATCGTTCAGCTTTATTTTAAAGTGAACAGGTGATGCTTGCAGTTCTTTTTGCAGGAGTATCCTCTAGCAGAAGCATTTGTTGGTGCTAAGATGAGGAGAGGGACGTAGGTGGTGCTGTGGGTTAAACCACAGAGCCTAGGGCTTGCCGATCAGAAGGTCGGCGGTTCGAATCCCCACAACGGGGTGAGCTCCTGTTGCTTGGTCCCTGCTCCTGCCAACCTAGCAGTTCGAAAGCACGTCAAGGGGCAAGTAGATAAATAGGTACTGCTCCGGCAGGAAGGTAAATGGCATTTCCGTGCGCTGCTCTGGTTCGCCAGAAGCGGCTTAGTCATGCTGGCCACATGACCCAGAAGCTGTACGCCAATAAAGCGAGATGAGCGCCGCAACCCCAGAGTCAGTCATGACTGGACCTAATGGTCAGGGGTCCCTTTACCTTTACCTTTAAGAGGAGGAGAGGCTAATTTCTCCCCACTGCAACCATGCCATGCAGCCCACCCCACTTTCCATGCTACACTGGAAGGTCTTCCAATCCTCTAGAACAGACGGGAAGAAGGCATGTGGACCTTCAAACACCTGACCTGAAAAACACTTCCTGGTTTGCCGAGCTACAATTTGTCATGACATCTGTACTGACAGACTGCAGTTTGGGTGATCCTTCCAAACCAAGACTGTAAACCAGGAAGTGTTTATTAAAGAACAGATGCAAGGGGAAGGGATAGCATGTGAGCACACAGCTCATTCCCAGTCTCCTCCAAACCATGAATTGGAAGTTCTGATAATATGATGTCTAAAAGGTAGCCATTATTGACAGTTTTGAAAATTAAAAGCACACATAATTTTGGAAGCAATCAAATAATTGTTGGGATTAGGGGACCAATCTCAAAAGCACGCAAACAAGACCCTTTCACAACTGTTCAAATTCCTGCTATGGTTCACCAATTAACAGAGGTGGCACATAAAAAATCTGCAGAGGTTTCTACCTGCATAATCTTTCACCCTCTCAGAGAGGTACAACCCAACATAACTGCTCCATCGGAAACCAGATGGGGATGAAGTACAATTAATAGTTGTGAATATATGCAGTTAAGAGCTTCACTACAGATTTCTAAACAGAGCAGATTATTTCTGGTACCCAGAATACTAAATGCTGTATTCTTCTGTTTCACTTAGTCTCAATCCTTAGTCTCAAAGACAAACAAAAGCTGCAGTCCTGGACATGCTCACCTGGTAATAAGCCCCACTGAATTCAATGGGACTTAATTTTACGTAGACATGCATAATGATGGGCTGCCTTAAATGTGAAAGTTACTCTCTCCTTTAACAAATTGTTGGGGAATTATCTGATCCAAGGAGATGAAAAGCAACCAGCCGCTTACTCTGGTCAGATGAAAGAACAAAATTTATGTAATTCAGGCAGCACAGCAACATTTGTAGAAATCAGGGAGAAGAGGGCTGCAGGTGAGCTCTGCTTCCACACTTTCACTCCTGTACTGATGCACATTTCTGGCTATGATCCAAAGCTGATTGTCACCTCTCACCCCATGCCTCAGATAGGCTGCCCATTTTTCTTTCCTTATGTTTTGTTTTTTAAAACAATACTAATCTGGTCAAAAGTTTGGAAGCCGCTTTAAGATTACCTTAATGCTTCTCAAAAAAAGTGAATAAAAGATTCCTTACGAGCCCAACTTGGGCAGAAATACATGGGTCAAAAATGTGGTGAATACAATTCCACTGTGGGTTTGTCGCTGAAATTATATATATCGGTACATATATATGTGTTGCCGTGTACACCTATGGATTCTGTGTCTCTGTGTTACAGATGTTTACTCAATATTATAAAATTACTGTACATGATAACTACAGTTCCATTTTTCACGTTAGAGGAAATATCATGCATAATCATCATAAATCCGTTTAAATAATTATGCATTTTTAATGCATATAAGCTTTTGAGCATATAAACTTTAGATACGGGTTGAATCTACAACACTTCATGTAAAAAAAAAAGCTCTAGTGAAATACAGTATTGAAAAGCCTCCTTAAATTAACCTTGCCAGTAAGAATGTACACACACAAACACACGTAGCAATAGAAAAGCCATTCAGCCGCGAGCAACAGCTTACAAACAGGCATGACTGAAGTTACATTTTTAGACTGAAGAGAAGGAAGGAACTGGCTCTATATAAACTATATATAGAATTTGGTCACACAATAATGATTCCTAGTCTGTGGTCATTTTAGGAACCCAAGAAGGTCTTACTTACCAACTTTCCTTTATTGAAAAGAATACTGGCATTCATCGTTCATATTCAATTCAGAGAATGAAAGACATTTCCTCTTTATTCCTGAGGGAAAATACTCCTTGGAGAAAACACTTTTATGGAGGTAATTGAACTTTTAAAATAGATATTTCATTCACATACAGGAGTTAGCATGAATGAAAACTAATTGGAGGTATATATTTCTGGTTTTTCTTACAAATGAATAAAATTCAAGGGTTACATTAAAAAAAGAAGAAGAGGAAGGTAAAAATCAGGGAGTACCTCTAGATTACAGCCCTCAAGCCATTGACACTGGATAGAATCCACTAGGAAGCAGATGCCTTTTAGAATCATGCTTTCACATTTGTGTTAATATAAACAAGTTATGTGACATGTCTAGTTCCTCGCCTCATTGCATTATTCATTCCCACTGTCACCTTCTTGTTTGTGCAGTAATTCCCCCATATCTGTTGACCCCTTGCACTGCCTGTGCACCTGGATTTCCAAGCTTAGGAGATGGAATGGACCATCCTTGATATTAAATTGTCAGTGCTAAAAATAAAGTGATTTTTGAGCACCTGTGTATCTATTTCCATCCATTTTCCATGATGTTAATTAAGCACCACCAAAATTACTCATTCCATGCCCACGTTCAAATGAACTTGCTTGTGTTAAGTCATACACTACCCTTTGACAAAAGAGGGATTGATTTCCAAATAAATCCTTTTTTTCTCTATTTGCACCTGATCTGTAAACATTAAGAATAAACAAACCATTGTACCTACAGCAATGCGCAACAAGAAGAACAACAAGAAGAGGTTTGCAGAGTGGAAAGACTCCGACTGGATCTATAATTCCCTTTGATACTTGAAAACGTTTGACTTACGGGAAATAAATCACTCTGCCCTTGCTTGACTGAAAGGGCACTTAGGATCCAAGCCACTGTGTTTAAATAAATTACTATATTTATGCAGTGCAGATGTGAGTAATTACCGTATAAGACTAGGTTTTCCCCCTTAAAAATAATGTCCAAAATTTGGGGGCGTCTTATATATGGGGTCCAGATCCCCCATTTTCTTAAATCGGAGTCCCCAAAGATAAGGGGCGTTTTATACATGAGGGCGTCTTATAGACAGAAAAATAAGGTAATGTATACAAGTACATATATATGCTACTCATATTATAAGTGACTGTATTCTGCAATGCAAGTCATTCCTCTGAAATCAAGTTCTATGCTACATTAAGAACAGATAATTCCTGACCCAATGTTTCAAATTAATATACCTGGCCTGTTTTAAAAGACACTTTAAAGATGCTGCTGCTAATAATATTAAATATGTGCATTAATCTAAACTATATTAATGCACATATTTAATTATATTAGCAGCAGCATCTCCCGCCTTGGTTATAAACAGCCTTCCAAAGACATCACACTGGTATTATTCACTATTTTTACATTGTCGCCTGTAGCGCACACAGTGTTCATTTAAGATATTTAAGTTCGCACATGTGGGCATTATTGCTGGTACTTCCCAACTGAGCAGAATTAATTTTTAATTTGCACTTTTAAGCTAAATATGAAAGAAGAAGCATGTACATACATGTACAACGGGCAAGTTGCAACTGGAAAATTATATAACAGGAAAACCCTTATACTTCAAGGCAAGTTCCAAATCCAATAAAGGTGAATCCTACATGGCGGCCAAAAACATGCAAGTCAAAACACAATCTAACATGAACAAAGCAGCCATACAGCCAAAATTTCAGCAGCGATAATATCCCACCTGTCATTATGTCAAATAGCTTGGCACGTTTCCACCGCGAGACAAAAGTGACTTTTGTTTGTGTGTCAAATGTGCTCTGAGCAAAAACGAGGAAAGTATGGAGGACAGAACTTGTTCTCAAAGGTGAAAAGAACTGCCTATAAATAACAGTCACTCTTGCCACCTCTGTTTAATACTTTAAAAAAAAAAGTTGTTGCAAATACAGTATAGTTAACCACTCACATAATGAACAAACTTGTTAACGGATTACATTATAGGTAGAGGGTGTCCTATCATTTTGAAACATGATATGTAGTTTACAGAATGGACCTAAAGTAGTACATCTGGCAGAAAATGCCTTTTATTCCACCCGCCAATAAGCATTTTCTACACATTGCATTATAATTTATCAGCAATAGGAGAGAATCTAGGAAAATAACTTCCATAATGTATTTTGTTTTATATCTGAATATGCAGTGCCAATTTATTAAAAAAGTGAACATTAAAAATATTTTCTAAATGATTTTACTACAATGAATAGACATTACTGAGAACTCTCATAGTAACTAAACCAAATTAATACAAACAGCGGCCTATGTCATTGGTTGAGGTCTTCAAAATACCCCTAGACAAGGACAATATTTAGTGCTTTATATTGGGAAAAAGTAGGCATCAAAGGCCAGTATGTCTGTGGAAGTTTATCATAGGAAAAAGGGCAAAAAATTATTACATATATAAATATACTGCACCTACAGCAGTAAACTCAACCCACTCATCTACATCCTAAACACCAACAATAAACTCTAAATGTATCTGATTGAAACAATTCACTGTTTATCGAATCCATTCTACACACCTTTTTCCTTTTACTAATTCTAATGCTATGGGGCCATCATGACTCTAAGCTTTGTAAAACAAACAAAAAAGGTAAAATATCAATTCATCTGCCTGTGACAGATGAACAGTAATTTAGAAAAAGGAAAGACAGCTTATTTTAAACTAAATTCATCTGTATTCTACAAGTCAATATACAGTGATCTCCAAAAGTATCAGATAGATGAATCAGCAGCAACTGTAGTATTAATTGCACAAAAGTCCCTACTGAAATGTTGGTTGCAGCATTATTAAAGAATATTTATAGGATGAAGAAATTCGCAGATATAAAAAAGCAAATTCTTCATAATTCTCAGTATGTTTTCCAAATATCTGTATTTTTTACAGCAATGATTCTGAAAACAGCCAAGCACAAATGCCAAAGTAAATTACTTCATTTCCTGTACAAAGTCAACTGACCCATTATAATCAGAGACAGCCGCCAAATGATCCTTACAACAGCTTTAAGCAAGCAAGAGCAGTAAGCAAATAAAGTGAACTCACTATGTTACACAAGAGGTGTCAGGAATTAATGACTCATTGCTTCCTGCACTATGGATATTAATTCACCCAATTCATAAACAAAATTGTGGCAAGTTAACCATGGTAAGTGAAATTAAAACAGGGTGTGTGTCCCTCTCCCCCCCACCTGGAAATATTTTGATGCTGTAGAAAGACTGTTATATGGGTACAAAATATAGATATTTAGGACTCTACAAATATACACAAAGTCACAGAGCCTATGGGATAACAGCTACCTATACATAGGCTTTCCTTATGCTGTCAGCGGCCATTTGGTGGGAGGGCCAGTAGTGCAGCTCTGCTTATGGTGATTGAGTGATGCTTCAGGAGATTCACACATGAAGAGGGCCAATATGATATTACCATCAATTAATACAGTGGTAACTTGGGTTACAGACGCTTCAGGTTACAGACTCCCAGAAATAGTACCTTGGGTTAAGAACTTTGCTTCAGGATGAGAACAGAAATCGCGCGGCGGCAGTGGGAGGCCCCATTAGCCAAAGTGGTACCTCAGGTTAAGAACAGTTTCAGGTTAAGAACGGACCTCCAGAATGAATTAAGTTCTTAACCCAAGGTACCACTGTAAAGTTGAATGTCCGGTATCTGAGAGTGTGCGCATATCAGAATATATGGGAGGGGGGGTTTACAACTTCCATTACAATGGAGCATATAAATGGAACAGACAAGCGACGGTGCCTCATCTAATCCCCAGTCCCCACCTGGACTGTTTCTGTGCACAGAAAAATGCAGTCATAGCAAGCTGCTCCCCAGGGTTGCCACCACTGCTTTGCTGAAGAGCTGAGATTCAGGGAAATGGGACATGGAGTCCTTCTCCTCATATCTCACCTTGCCTTGTAAGTAAGCAAGGGCCTGTGACATCACCTCACCACTGCAACTGCATACGGAACACACTAGGCAGGAGGCACAGAGCACAGGAGAAGTGACCATCTTCAGGCTGGAGGTCTGGCCCCTTTAAGAGACTCTAGTTCTCCAACAAAGGAGGTGGAGCATAACAGAGATGGCCTGGAGACAGAGGCTCAAAGGCCTACATTTACATCCAGCCATCAGACAAGTTGCTCACAAGGAACTCTCCTTGGTGCTGCAACCACCAGCTGACTGAACGGCGCCATGGGTCACGTCTGTGGAACCAGAACAGGATAGCTTGGTGGACCCTTCTCCCTTTTAAGCTTTTCAATCAGCCTGTGCCATGTCCCCACTTACACTTGGCTCAGACCAAAGACAAGTTTATCTAGCTGCCAATCCATCTCCATTCCTAGCACTCCCACTCCAAGTACATGAGAAGGGGACAGCTCGTTATTCAAATAGGCTATATGCTAATAAACAGATGCTAAGCAGCACAAAGAAAAGTGAGCATGTTAGGATTTGTGATGAACAATCATACATATTTTGATTTAGCTGATTTTCATTTCCTGGAGAATATTAGCTTCTCAAATGGCATATCCAGTTTCTGTAGCATACAAATAGTATTTTAGTACAGTGGTACCTTGGTTCTTGAATTTAATCTGTTCTGGGAGCCCATTCAACTCAAAAACCAAGGCTTCTGATTGGCTGCAGGAGCATCCTGCACTCAATCAGAAGCCGTGTCAGACGTTCAGCTTCCAAAAAATGTTTGCAAACCAGAACACTTACTTCCAGGTTTGCGGCGTTCGGGAGACAAGCTGTTCGAGTACCAAGGTACCACTGTATATTATTGAATTACAGAAGAAAGAAGGTGTGAGAAGACCCTCTCTGTATGTAGGAAACTTGTGAAAGCATTATGGAGGAAAGTAACGGAACAGCATGATGTTTTCCTGCACATCTCCACTTTTATCATTGCATTCACTGTTTTCATTTTGCAAGGAACAGTTGTTACTGGAGTTAGTCCTGTTAATATTTCTATCTCAATTATGTTAAGATGAAAGACAGAACTATCAGATCAAATATACTGTCAAGACAGAAACAAATAGCATGTTAAACACACGTGAGATGAGAGATGTTGGAAAATTCCCATGTGTGGTTTTTTTTTAAAAATTCCCATATTTTTTTTTAAAAAAGAACAATACACCCTGCACAAACTAGCAAGAGGTTTTGCTTGCTTGAATGCATGCATACTTATGCGGCAATCACTGGGCGATGCAACCCTCCACCTACATGTAAATATGAAAAACTGTGCTTAAGTCCTTCAAAAGAAGAAGTTGCAAATTAAGACCTGAACGAGAATGTCCTTAAGCAAATAGAAATCTAGCTATTGGAGAGATTTATGTATGTTGTCTCAAGAGTTCAACTTCCATACACTGTTTAGAAGAAAAAGCAAAGGATTAGGATTGTGCTGAATGTATGCCAGTCTCAATTTTTGGTAGAAATGTTCCTTCAGAGAGTTCCCTCAGAAAACATTACTTCTGAACATTATTATTTCTGTTCCAATTTAGCCATCGTTCCCCAGTGCTGTTTTTCTACCTTGCCGTGTCTCTCATTTGCTGCATGATCTGAGTCAATCAGGGATCATGAAGAAGAGAAGAAAAGGAGTTTGGATTTGATATCCCGCTTTATCACTACCTGAAGGAGTCTCAAAGTGGCTAACATTCTCCTTTCCCTTCCTCCCCCACAACAAACACTCTGTGAGGTGAGTGGGGCTGAGAGACTTCAGAGAAGTGCGACTGGCCCAAGGTCACCCAGCAGCTGCATGTGGAGGAACGGAGAAGCGAACCCGGTTCCCCAGATTACGAGTCTACGGCTCTTAACCACTATACCACACTGGTGTAAACATGATTGTGGCATGGCCACGTTGCATTGCAAAGGGCAAATTAAATCAATTGAGATCAAGAACAATGCTTACTTGTATGGATAGTCACATATAGATCACCCCAGCTAATCCAATCATTTCCCAGCTAATCTAAAGCTATGATCCTGTTGGTGATCATTGGGGAATATCCAACTAAATAGATCTGCTAGTGCAATAATTTCTGCTAGTGCAACAGAAGTCATCATCCCTCCGCCTCTCCTCTGCCCTTGCCTCCCCGATCTGCTGCAGGGGGTTTCCAGGAAGTTTCCTGCACAAGAAGGAAACTTCCACAAACTTCCTTGTGCAAAATACTGACCACTGAAACTGGTAGGGTGTTTTCCCACAACCAAACGTATTTGTGAGTTGTGCTGTTACTGCATAGCTTGGCTGAACCTGCAAATGCACCAAAACTTGATCATTTTTCTTGACACTGAGTAGTGAGAAAGTCCTTGCGGCAGATGAAAGCCTTTAGAGTGCAAGTCCCTGCTGTCCCCCACACATGCCTATAATTCAGCCATTAATCACCCCTCTGGGGCAAATTGATGCAATCCAGTGATCATATCTTGCCTTAAGTAAGCCAAGTGCCCATTTTACATTATCTGAAGAGCTTCAACCCCATCTCCTCTCAAGAGGAGCAAGGCCCCCTTAAGTAAGATTGATGAATATGGGCGCCTTTGGGACTTTGTTTTACGCCCTCTGGCAGGGAGGGCTAATATGACACAGACCTAGGAATATTCATCATGTGCATCTTTTGTAATGAAATGGCGTTTATGCCTATCCCAGAACTTTGTGAAAAGCCCTTTTCAGATTCAGGTTGAAATTCATTGGTAACTAACTGGGTGCACATCCACAATTTGCTCAGCCTTTGGCGACTACACCAGGAAGCTGCTTCACATCACTAGTTTACAAACATGCTATCCCCATAGTTGACTGTGAGAGACGGCACCACTTGCTCTCTTCACTTTAGCTAGCTCCCTTCCTTGCCTTCACTTTTTCTTGTCCTCCTGCTTCTGAGCCATATTTGTTATTTTCTTTGGCGTTAGCCAGGACTCTTCTGTACAGAGGTTCCGAACAGTGCCTATTCAAAGGGAGAAATATTTCTATTGCTGAATTAAACTAGGAGGGTTTCAGCGTAGCCTCAGTGTAGCCTAAGTTTAAGACTTTAAAAGGGGGGGGGGATTATGAGAAAAGGTAAAGGGAATTAGGTCCAGTCGTGACCGACTCTGGGGTTGCGGCACTCATCTCGCTTTACTGGTCAAGGGAGCCAGCATACAGCTTCCGGGTCATGTGGCCAGCATGACTAAGCCACTTCTGGTAAATCAGAGCAGCGCATGGAAACGCCGTTTACCTTCCCGCCGGAGCAGTACCTATTTATCTATTTGCACTTTGACGTGCTTTCAAACTGCTAGGTTGGCAGGAGTAGGGACCGAGCAACGGGAGCTCACCCCGTCACAGGGATTCGAACCGCCAACCTTCTGATCAGCAAGTCCTAGGTTTTGTGGTTTAACCCACAGCGCCACCCGTGTCCCTATGAGTACAGGAACTTCATCATTTAAAAGTTGGGGTGAATGAGAAGTTTCCAAGGTTTTGGAAGACTGCGAAGGATTGTCTCCTTCAATGAGGGAAGAATCAAACATGGATTCTACCCCATTAGAGGTCATCCTCTGTGTTATACAGTATAGTAGAAATCCAGGCTTTTGCCTTACCATAGAACAGCTAAATATTTGCTTAATGTTTGTTTCTACTCCCCCACCCCACCCCAATCTAGCTCTCTACTCAGGCCTCACAATGCCAGGAGAGCTCGTACTTTGCATGTGAATTTTCCCCTTCTTGGTTCTCTCCTCTCCATGATCAGGACCCATGGCTAAATTGGCACCTTAAGACTCCACCTCACCTCTCTGTACTGTATAGTTGATTTACTGCCTTCAGATTATCTCTATGATAGTAACTCAACAGTTACTATGTTCAACCAACATTGGGGTGTGGGATATAGCCTGTGTAGTGTGTTACTGACCCATTTTTACTCTGTATTTCTGTAATGGCTTGAGAAGCCACAAAAGTCATAATTTATACTGTTAATTTATACATTTTATTTTAAAATAAATAAAATATTGCAATTAAAACCCCACTGCTGCTACTGACAGCTCCCCAGAGAAAGAACACATTGATCAGCTGACATTGATCAGCACTAAAATCCGCCGAAGCAAGCAAAGTCTCTGTGGCACGCAGTCGTCTCCAGTACAGATCACAAGAGTAGTATTCCTAATTTGCCAGAATTAGCTTTTCCATGCCTTACACATGTGAGACACATGTTCATGCGCATGTGTGCCCCAGAGCACAGGTAAATTCTGTAACATTAAAAAGAGAGCAAAAAGGTAGGCAAAGGCTCAGGCACCCCCCAAACTCAACCCTCCAGATGTTTTGGGACTACAATTCCCATCTTCCCTGACCACTGGTCCTGTTAGCTAGGGATGATGGGAGTTGTAGTCCCAAAACATCTGGAGGGCTGAGTTTGGGGATGCCTGCTTTAGCTGAAGCATTGGTTCTGCCCAAGAATAAATAAGCATTTATAAATCACAGGTGTACATGCTGGAAAATACTTGAACGTTCTAAGGCTCGGTGCAGGTTTAACATTTTTCAATCTTGTAACCCCAGTTAGGAGAGTAAAAACATCCCTAATATTTAAATACTGTCTCCCACTTAAGCTCACATGCTCCCCCTCACTAAAATTCCTGCCCCTTTCAGCATCAACTATGGTAAGGCTTAGATTTCATCCAAGTCATATTTCACTTCAAACAGTTTCTGTCAAGAATTAGAAGGTTTTAAACACCGATTTAAAGGTAAGTATGGGTAGCATTCAACCTGGAGCAGATCCAACACTAAACTTACGAACCAATGAAAAGGGAACGGAGAAGGAATTTGGACTGGTATAGACAAGGAGCAAATGAGAGCTCTTAAATTACATTTAATGGGGTGGGGCCATGTTTGGGGAGGGGCTATGACTTTCCCCCTCCTCCGTTTGTTATTTCCCTCCTAAATCAATTCAAAATGGCGGCAGGAAAACAAAGGGTGCATCTGAAGCTGCCTTATTTCTACGGTTTCATTAAAAGAAAACATTTTAACTTGCCAGTTTTACTATCAGTAGGAAATCTGGTCCAGCATATCCAGAAGCAAAGAAAAGGTTGCTATAGATCATTCACTTTTGATATCTGCATATTTTCTGTTTTTGCTTTTTATTATTTTTGTAACTACTTGTATCTACTAGTTCCCCTGGGATGTTTGGCCTATTTTTCAAGAACAGCTTGATGATTAAACATTGAAACAGATGGCTCTAGTCAAACTCTTCTAAATATGTTCAAACGTGCAACATTTTAACATACTGTACTCCCCACTCTTATCGCTGATCTAATGTAGGGGAGGGGGAGCTTAAATCAGAATGTGATAAGAGTGAAGGATTTAAACAATCTGTGCTGAGAAAATAGCCCAAAATATACATCTCTCTTACAAAACGTAAATTAAGTTCTAAATTAACATATAAAATATGTTGTTATAAAGCTGATATAATGCTTATAGAGTTCAATGAATGCTGATGAATTTGCACTATTTGATGTAAGAGTGACCTATGAATAAAATAAAAACACAGCTGTATGACTGAAAAGGTTTAAGTATAACGTTTATAAATTTGTGTTACACAGTTTAATTTTTTTTTTAAAAAAATGCTATTTAGATATTGAAATATAATGTCTATCCATGCAAATACCACAATCGTTCTTAAATCACTGTCAAACTTTAAAACACTTCATTATGTTCACAGTCTCATCTTTTTTAAAAAAAAACAACAAAAACTTTTAATCGTTTTTTACTACCCCATCTGAACGACATTTCAAAGGCCAAAAGACATAATAAACCCATTGCACCATAACAAACTTGCTGTTCAGCAAATAAATATCAATTGCTACAGGAATAATAAATAAATACTTTAGAAGCATTTGTTCCCTATCTTAGACAGATGACGTATTATTAAATATGAACCAAAGCTCTATTCTTTGCATTTATGTTTGTTCTTAATCTAATGATCACATTCTTAAATTGAATTCTTTTCTAGAGCTACAGTCAGCCTCTGAAGTCCCCTCAAACTCCTGCTGTCAGAATACTACATGTTATCTTCTGCATATGTCAACATCTTACTTTGTGTGTGTATTCAGATGTACAACATATATAAAATATTTGCATTTATTTCGAGAGACAACATCAGTTTAAACAAGTGCAGAATGACTGCAAAAGAAGCCATAAGGTAAATGGACCAGCATAGTAGAGGCTTGTCTATTTAAAACACAAATTAAAATCTAGGATTTGAAGTTTCAGCTGGAAAACGTGTCTGTGGGAATAGCTGTCTAGGGGAATAGATAAGCACTTTTAACATTACTTACTTCAAATACTTCTCCTGTACTTATAATGCTATATGAGAAGGGTCAAATTGTTTGTACTGATCCTAGTGTTTGTGTTGATCCTAGTGCAAGTTGTTGTAAAAACAACAACAACACGTCATCTCTTTTGTCCTGTCAAACGCCCCCAATGAGGATATCTGAATGACAGAAGCCAGACAAAAAACTTCACCTTAAATTTGCTGACAGCATCAGGAAAACCCAGAACATTCCCAATGTCAGGTGTAGAATAGTTTGTGCTCACCTTTAATAACCTGACAATGTGACAAAGCTGCATGAGCAACTCTCTGGACTGCGGCCACAAGTTTGTTCCCTACAAAATTCTCCCACCATCTTTATAAACATGGCAGAGAACGCGAAGGTCAACAGTGCTTGCATCACCAGTACGGACACCTTCATGGCCTTCATTTCTGCCTAAGTTCCTTTTTCACTCTGCTGCTATAATCACCTGGGAGAAATGTGAATGGCTGTCTTCTCATAATGGAACTCTCTTATCACGTTATTGTTTAATTTCTTTTGCACTGGAGAAAGACCACGTCTAGAAACTAACACTAAAACCTAAACCGCTGGGGACCTGGGGGAGAGGGTTAGGCTAATGGATAATGAGTATTTGAAAACCCAAACTAAAATAAAAGTGGGTTTTCAAATGCAGCTAAGCTTCTCTGCACACAATGTAAAAACAAAAAGAGCTAACTGCATGGGAGGGATGATATAGTTATAATACACCTTCAAATAGCACAGCTTAAATACGAACAATAATAATAATTTTATTATTTATACCCCGCCCATGTAGCTGGGTTTCCCCAGCCACTCTGGGCGGCTCCCGACAGACGACTAAGAACAGAATAGAACTTCAAACATTAAAAACTTCCCTAAACGAACATTTTAAATAGCATACTCATCATACAGTTATGATTAAATGAAGTTACATTGAATTTAATATATGAAGTATGCATGTACTTCAAGTTAATTAATTCATATAGCTGTACAATTATAAAGTTTTGGTTGGGTCACGCCCAAATAGCATTTTTCATTTATATAAATTCACATTCTATGCACAGGCAAGAGAAAATAAATCCTACACCACTGATTTAGTCGCAGCTGTACAATTAACTTTGCTTAAAATGTTCGTATTTCTAGAATACAGTAATAATTTCAGATTTAAATTAAGAAATAACAAAAAGTACATTTGAGTTCTTAATAGTTGTAATCACTGAGTTGAAACACAGATTATTATGCTACGGCCTAAATTGTTACCAAAACACTTTGTCCTATTGAGGATGTTCTTGCAGAGTCTAAAGATACCAGGAAAATTTATAAACATTTTGTATAAAATGTATTCTTATATATCTTAAAAGATTAATATTTTATTTAGTAAAACCTCTTGTAAGGTACTTTGCTACTTTTAACTTATACCGAAAGGAACACAAATATGTATTTCATTTTAGTTGTTAAACAGGAGCCACAGTATGGATGGGGGGAAAACTTTAAAACTCTTGTCAGGAAAAAAAATCCTTATTCCTTAGCAGTGTTCTTAAATAACGTCAGTACAATTTAAGGACTGACATTTCCTTTCTCTGACTGGCTTATCTTTAAAGAGGCATGCAGGCTTATTCCCACAGCACCCCAAGGCAGTAGTTAATTCACTTGAAACTTGTGAACACTTTCTATTTCTCTGTCTATTTATTTTGATGTGCATATTATCTTAGCTGACTTCAATCACATTTCATGAGTTGATGTCATACCTTAAAAGATTAGGTTTTTCCCACCTGGAACTATTCACGAAAGTATAGCAAGGCATAACCTTCTCGGTCTTCTATTCTTGTGCATTATCAATAGTAGCATTCTTTCTTTTTTAATGTACAACTACAACTTCTACAAGGCTGCAGCTGAGAGAAGTCTACTATCTGTCATGCCTCTTTCATTATGGTTAGAGGAACTGAATCGCCTATTGTCTACAACACTCTGCTGCCATCTATTTGACAAAAAGAAAACAACTGTTTCGATGCACTACCAAAAAGGGAGCTTTCTGTTGAATCACTAGCCAAAGCAATACAAAAACATGCAGTGTGTCTTTCACAGTCGACCTGTGTATAAACACATGTAACAGCATATTTCTGACACAGAGGAATATTTTTGTTACATCACCATCATGTTATTTCTCGGTGGCACTGCGCCATTATATCTGGAGGCAAGCAGAGTCCTAAATGTTTATGTAGTGGCACAGCAAATCTTAAGAACTAAGAAACTTTAGAGCTACTTCTTGCTTATTCAATGTAAAAATATACAGCGGTACCTCAGGTTAAGTACTTAATTCGTTCCGGAGGTCCGTTCTTAACCTGAAACTGTTCTTAACCTGAAGCACCACTTTAGCTAATGGGGCCTCCCGCTGCCGCCGCGCCACTGGAGCACGATTTCTGTTCTCATCCTGAAGCAAAGTTCTTAACCTGAAGCACTATTTCTGGGTTAGCGGAGTGTGTAACCTGAAGTGTATGTAACCTGAAGCATATGTAACCCGAGGTACCACTGTACTGTCACTATTAACACATAAATACATACTAACATATGTAATTCCAAATATAATGGCACAATGTACAATTTTAGAAAAGCAAAAACATAGCAGGACACCTTAAAGTCATCTTAAATGTCAGCAAAAGTATGTTAGAGCAGAGGAGAATTCAACTGTCAAGTTAAGAATTATTTGCAGAATTTAGGGAGTAAGATTATCATAGTTCCTCAAAACCTGACCCTTAGAGGCCCTCACTGTGGTTCTGATTTCATCTCCACAAATGATTCAGAGTGACCTAGAGAAAGTCTCCGTTCTTAGCTTTAATTTCCCGTCTTAAAATTAGAACATTAGTAGTGGCTGACCTCAAAGGACTGGGATGGTAGGCTCAACCCAATCCTTTTTTTATTAGAAATCCATTTGGTTAAATGAGAGAGATTTAAGTAAGTGCTAATAAGCCAATCACTTAAACACAGTAATGCTGGCTGTATCTTTTACCTGTACAAAACAGTGTGTGAGAGAGATTCAAACACCCATTTAAAATGAAACTGGTTTCCATGTAAAGAAATATAACCTTCCTGCTATTGCTACCTAGCACATTACTACCCATGTGCATGTATTTATTTAAAAGGAAAATTAAAGAATTAACTGCTTCAATATAAGATGCTTATATTGCCCTACTAAAGTAATATATGATTTATAGGTTTTGTTCAGGCTAGACAATACCTACAGTTATAACTAGTGCTCAGATTTTACACAATGCAAATGGCTACACTTTTGTGTGGTCCACTAATTTTTAAGAGAAATTCCAAACATTATTAGCTGCTATCAAGGTTACAGCTCCTCTTAGATCTAATAAAACAATCTGTTTGGACAGGTATCACCGGACTTTCATACACGGCTCATTCCCACAAAAAAATATTTACACAGTAAAAAAGAGCAGCATGTAACAAAAACCACAGAAAACAGATTTTTTTAAAAACAGCACGTTTCTGCTGTTAACAGGCAGCACTGAGTTTCATTGTGACCTCTGTGCCTCCTGAGTTCTATCCAGAAAATATGTTCAATGTGGTGATGGTGATCCAGAAATGCGCGTGGGCACATGCTTAACATCTGCTACAAGAACAGTGATCAGCTTAAATTTTGCTGGATTTGTCCTACATTCAGCAACTCAGAGGTTATTCCAGTAAAAATGAAATTGGGACAATTCATGGGCCAGGTTAAACTAAACAGTTGTGCTAATGGAAACCAGCACAAGCTGTGCTAGGGCAATTGGTGAGGAGAACCTCCAAAACAGGGTGTGGGGTGGGGCAGGAAGAGAGGAGAGATTGTTTTGCCTGGCAAGAGGAAACGCTTGCACTAGCGAAAGGAATTTAACAGTGCAATGTTGGATTCCGCACTGTATCTACTCAGAGGTAAGCCTCACTGACTTTAATCTCAATCAGACTTACTCCCAGATAAGTATGTGTATGTTCTGAATTATGGTGCTGGAGGAGACTCTTGAGAGTCCCATGGACTGCAAGAAGATCAAACCTCTCCATTCTGAAGGAAATCAGCCCTGAGTGCTCACTGGAAGGACAGATCCCGAAGCTGAGGCTCCAATACTTTGGCCACCTAATGAGAAGAGAAGACTCCCTGGAAAAGACCCTGATGTTGGGAAAGATGGAGGGCACAAGGAGAAGGGGATGACAGAGGATGAGGTGGTTGGACAGTGTTCTCGAAGCTACCAGCATGAGTTTGACCAAACTGCAGGAGGCAGTGGAAGACAGGAGTGCCTGGCGTGCTCTGGTCCATGGGGTCACGAAGAGTCGAACATGACTAAATGACTAAACAACAACAACAACAACAAGTATGTATATGACTGCATCCTGAAATATCACCTCGCAGTTAGTCACATACCAGGAATGCGCACTGGGTTTAGACAAATTTCAAGCTGAACCAAGCCCATTTGGAAAGAGCTGTGGATCTCTCCAAATGCTTCCAAACTGAAGTCAATTGAAGAGGCCTAGTGTGTCTGTAAAAACTGCAGTATTTGTCACCCCAGCTTCTGCACCTGTCCTGAAATCTAGCAGTTTCTTACCAATGATATTATTATTTACATTTGTTAGTCACTTTACTCATGGAAATAAGCTCAAAGCAACTTACAGGCACAACAGAAACACTAAAAACCATTTCAAGAAACACAGTCTATAAAAACCTAAAGATACGACATATGCCATTTTCTATTATGTATTACATTTTCATACAAATTACTCATGGCACAGTAGGAGGACAAGTGAATCTGTTAATCGTTCACATACCGCTAAGGCTGGCCTTGCAGTCAAAATCCCCCTACACCTCCCTTCTGAAATTTGGTAGTATTTATCCACTCTCAAGTGTCTACGATGCCTGCACCGCGCAAAATTCAGCTGGTGCTTCCCTAGCCATTAGCTGCTCCTGCTGCCTATGGCAACACAGCAGTAACACAGAAATCCAAAGATGAGCTTAAGGAAAACAAGCATCCTGTAAACTTAGGATGGCTTCCTATTCCGTTCCCACCTACAGTTATGTATTAGCTACATAGTCCTATGCCTTACAAGTTAGATACTCTTCACAACAATCTACAACTTCTGGAACAAAGAAATCTCTCAAGGGTGCAGCCATTGCTACACAGAGGGAGGAAAGGTATACATTCAATTGGTGGATGAAACTAGCACAATTCCTACTGAACTTACCCCACCTCATACATCCCAAATCCACCACTACCCCACTTCAGGAAACAAAGGTCGCCATACACTTCAGTTTAAAAGCATCCACAACTATCTAAACCAGGCATAGGCAAACTCGGCCCTCCAGATGTTTTTGGGACTACAATTCCCATCATCCCTGACCACTGGTCCTGCTAGCTAGGGATCATGGGAGTTGTAGTCCCAAAACATCTGGAGGGCCGAGTTTGCCTATGCCTGCTAAACACTGCTGGTGGCATGAAGGAATGCTAGACCATCATTCCAACAGCTGATGATATGGAAGAGAAGGCTGAGGAGAACGTGCAGTCCAGGTTTTCCCATGGCGAAGTCCATGCAGGATGCATTTAGCAACTGTTGTGCAGCCAGAGAACTCGTCTTCTCCTTAGAACAAGATTGCCATGGGGATGATGTGCCATAGCTGAAAAACTTCCATACTTGCTACCATACCTACAGGCGATCTGGCCATGCAGAGATGGAGTTTGCCAATAATGGAGGCAGCCTGGCTATCTATACTGCACTTGGGTGAGCGGAGCATGCTCATTTCTGTAGTACTTTTTGGATATCTCAGGACACATTCAAACAAGTGGTTGAGGAGGATCACTAGGATTATGTAATGAAGCGTGGGCAACTATTTCCTTCTAAATAATTGGTCAGTCTTTAGTGTTCCTCAAGACTGGTATTTTGCATTTCAATATTTCTATTAACATTTGATGTAAGAGAAAGTTTATATGTAAAAAACTGGCACATGTTTATTGTCATTAAATGATCTAGTAAGAACTGTGCATTACTAAAGAAACTATTTTTTATGGTTTCTGATATTTTATTCTGTAAGCTGCTTTAGAAATATATAGATGTTTAAATATAAAATACTATTAAAATAAAATATAAATACTATTTCTTTTCATTTTTTTAAGATAATGCTTGGCCTGTAACAGGTGTGGCTATAGAATACAGATATTTCTGTGCAGTATAAAAAAAACAGGCCATGCCCTTACTCTATTAAGTACATACAGCTAAACAAGTTTGTTTTATAGACAATTGCAGAAGATACTTAATATTATTGCTGGCCATATAAAGAGGAGTGGGGGTTTATGTTGTTTAACTGAAATCCAAATATGTACATGAAGCATATTAGATAATTAGTATTTGGTTACAACACTCCGTAAATAGTGTCCATTTTTATCATAACTAAATAACTATTACAAATAAAAGGACTCATGACACTTTCATAGCAAGATTAAATGCAAGATAAGGGACATTAGCATTGCCCCATGAAAAAATAGTGTCACTATGATAGCTGCCTGCCTGGGCAATGAACTAGCAGTAAAAGAGTATAGCTGGCAATAGTTTTCCGTCTCCTAACTAATTACTTGCAGAAGTATAATAAAATAAGAACTGTAAACTGAAGCATCTTCCTTCTCTGATTATATATTCTGGCTCTCTCTGGTCTCAGCCAAACCATGGCTAGGTGTGAACAAACAAGTATGCTGGCACACCGTTAGAAAAGGGTTGTTTCATGCCTGCCTCCAGTTTTGGTTGTTGCCATGCTATCAAGTTAGAATTACCTCTGAGCACGGGCATGCGGTTAGTTTCCCCACAGACGGCAACAAACCATGAGTGGTTAGCCAAAACAAACCTTAGTTACAGCTTGTGGCTTTTCTGGAGCAAGAGAAGTCACAAGCCCAGGTTCAGCTGTAATTTGAAGCCAAACCAATAACATGGCAGCAGCAGGACCAGGGAAGGAGTGAAATGGTCATAATGTTCTATTTCTTTTACCAGCACATTTGCTTGTTCATGCTCATCAATAGAATTAAAGACGGGCAATGAGTACTCCTAAATTATCTATCCTAGAAGTCAAATCCTTTTTATTTATGATTAAGAAGAACATTGCCCATGTTTCCTGGACTTCAATAAAAGGTAAAGGTAAAGGGACCTCTGACCCTCAGGTCCAGTCGTGACTGACTCTGGGGTTGCGGCGCTCATCTTGCTTTATTGGCTGAGGGAGCCGGCATACAGCTTCCGGGTCATGTGGCCAGCATGACAAAGTCGCTTCTGGCGAACCAGAGCAGCGCACGGAAACGCCGTTTACCTTCCCGCCGGAGCGGTACCTATTTATCTACTTGCACTTTGACGTGCTTTCGAAATGCTAGGTTGGCAGGAGCAGGGACCGAGCAACGGGAGCTCACCCCGTCGTGGGGATTCGAACCGCCGACCTAGTCGGCAAGTCCTAGTCTCTGTGGTTTAATCCACAGCACCACCCGCGTCCCTGGATTTCAATAGGTTCAGTCTAATAACCCATTTTAATTTATGTTGGTTTCCTGCAGGAAACTAGACCAACCTCTTCTTTCTTTCTTTTCCTTATTTTTAGTATGGCCAGACAGAAAAATCTTTAGAGCAACAAAATGCCAGCACACAAAACGTGCATCAATCTGAAGAGAAACCAAACATTACATTTGCAACCAACAGTGTATATAATTCAACCTAAAACGTAACATTATCATTCATTAACTTAAAATCATAAGGTTTGGGGATATCTCCTTCCAGGCATCCTGAGATACCTACACAAAGCTAAAATGGGCAATAACTTGACCCATATAGCTTGTTGCCCAAATTAACCAGATTTTGTAATTGTTCTATAAATAATAAAATGGGTCCACGCTGGTGAGGGAGCAGGGAGTGATGAACTGAACCTACTACATAATGGTAAAAACTCAGGAGATTTGCAAAATTCTTGGTTTGCTTATTTATAGCCCCTCTCAGTTAATGCAAAGGCCAAAAAGCAACAACCCCGAACCTCACGGAAAGTTGATGTGCTGCTATGCACACGTGTTGGAGGATGAACAGCAGCAGATGATGACTGTGTGCAGGCACAACAGAAAAGAACACAACTGGTGAACTTTGCTGACGTTCTACGTAGCCTTGATACACTTGGAGAGAGGACAAAGAAGAAATGCAAGCAAGATGAGCATTGCAATCAGCAACTCACCATGTGAGCCAGGCTGTCTTGTGATAATGTAAAAATGCATTTAAGAAAAAGACATGATTTTAAAATGTGCAGCGCATGCATCTCCACGCATGAACATGGACACATTCCCACATATTGGGAGCAGAGGAGAGAAACGTGAGGACGTGTGCAGAAAAAAAGTGGTGGCAGTGAAGATGGAGGAAGAACAGAATATTGGGAAAGTGATGATTTATTTAACAGGTGTATAGTTTTGAAAACCGCTGGAAGACTTTGTGAGAAAAAGGATGATTACAGAAAGAAGTAGAGACAAATTTCAAAGTACACAAGTTGCTAACTTTTCACAAAATCTCTGCTTGTTTGCCACGATTAGAAAAATCCTAGCCGATGTATGCTACTTACTTTGACATGGCTCTGAGCTCCAAGATTGTAAATTTCAGTGGGTTTCACTTGATTAATTATCTTCACTAGGCAAGTACTATCTGTGAGATCGCCATAATGTAACTTCATGTCTTCAGAAGACAAAAGAACATAGTTAGGATAATAGAGATTTGATGCACACATTAATACAGTATGGTGTTTAATGTGCAGTGTCCCAATAATCGTAATTCATTATTTTAAAATATATTTATTATAACCAGATTCCACTGGTGTTTGAAAAAAGAGAGAGGCACAGTTTAGCAAGTATTTTAAGTTGTAGTCATGAAAGCAATAGATCTCTTATTTCCAATAAGATCTTGCACAATGATCTTCACGACTTGACTCTAGTTCAAACATTATTTTCTTGGTCACACAAGTTATATGGTCTGTCTTCAGGTAACTCCTCACATAAACAAAATCAAACATGAATGTTGCCATTTAATCCATCGCTTGTACAGTATGTAGTAAACTTACAAGCTATAATAAATGTACTTTAAAAGCCATATTAGATAAAAGTATTAGATGTGCTACTGGCCAGCTATCTGATAAAAAAAAGAGTAAACTACTCAAAAGAACTATAGGTTTCTTACAAACTCAAAAGAACTATAGGTTTCTTACAAATGCCATGTCAGATGTTCAAAAAATATTAAGATAAAAAAAAAGCTTACCATACCTTTTAAAAAACATGAAAATCAGTACTTCTGAAATCACTACTTTTGCTTGTTATAAACCAACTGACTCACATAACAATTTGTATATGTGACCATGCATATGGGTAACTCAGATAAAGAATAAATACTGTACAGTGTTTTAAATCAGCCTTTGAAAGTTAAAGGCTGAATTAAAACATACTTATTCCTTAACTGTATGGCTAGTTTCAGCAACTACACTTGTCAGCAGCCTGTTTTGTTGAGGTGACTGAGACGTTTCTACTGGCCAGTGTCTGGGATCACGTGAAGACAGATAGCGTCATTTGCATGACCAAGAAGAACATCTGAACTTGTTGTTAGCTAAGAATGAAAATTACTATGCAATATACTGTTAAGACACTTCAGTTAAGTAACCTTGCTGTCCTTGAAAGTCCTTTTATGCAACAGGGTCAAATTGTGGCTCATAACCCAAACAAATTATATTCTAATTCTAAGCCTCACCAGAAAATATTTACACATCAGTCACCATGGCTAACTTTCCACACTGATACAATCTTGTACAACTTTCCAGCCAGACAACATTGCTGATACAAAGAAAAATACACCCATTTCTCCCTATTACACTCTATCCCAACAGTAAGTAAAGTCTTACTTCCTTCTGTGTGAGCCTGTGGGTTCTTGTAAAGATGTTCAATCCGTCCTGTATTAAAAGAGCTAGACCTACGAACAATTCCATGCACCTGTAATAAAATACTTAGTGAATATTTTTATAGGTAATATAGAAAGTAAGTCGTCCCCCCCCCATTGGCCATAACAGCTATAATGTCCTTAAAAAGAACAAAGGAATTGTTATACTGGGATGACAACTAGAAAAATCACAGCTGGGGACAGTGAGAGGACAAAATTTTGCAGTTATTTTGTCAAACCAAACCCAAATACCACAGCATTAAATTCAGATGGGATTAGTGTAGCATTTTGCATTATTTCTTCTTGTTTAACACAGCCTCGTAATCAAAATATCAGACGGCATACTATAGCAACAAGTATAAAATATAGTACATTTATGCTTCATATTTTAAAACCAGCCACACACACAAGCACATACACACAACCCTCACAACATAACATTCCTGCTACAACAAACTGTGGAACAGGAACATGCAGTGAGCTCAAGCATACCCTTCCCCTCTTCTGCCCAGCTTACCAATTTCTGGTGAATCTAACCAGAAAGATATGGGGCAAAACAGAATTGAAGACAGGGATATTTTAGACAGCATTGTGAATAGAATAAAAATGTAAATTAGTCAAAATTACAGTTGGATAGAATAATAAGCCTGTTAGAGAAAATAATGCTAAAATTTGAGGATTAGAATTTTAAAGACCAGCTAATGAGAGTGTAGATGAGATAGAAAATATGTATTTGAACTGCAGCCCCCAGCACTTATATGCAATTTTTATTTTTGTGCTAGTGTGCTAGGTATAGTACAACAAAGTTAGAGTGGCTCACTAGGGAAAACATGAAAACAAATAGGGAAAGTGGAGTATAGGAAAGTCACAGCAGTAGAGAAAAACCAGTGACACTTCAAGAAAGGCGCTACTAAAGAAGTTGTGAAGGATGAGAGGAACACAATTAGACAAATAGTCCAGGTGGACCTTTCAGGAACAGAGTACAGCATGGTTCTGCCTGCATTAATGAGTCACGTGTGCTTTTAAAAAATGGTATGTCTAGTCTTGCAATCTGTAAATGTTTCCCACAGAAGTGCTATGCAACATCACAGTTCCACACTGTTCATCAGAAGAAGGCAGCTCTGCAAAACTTCTAACATTACAGGACTGTGCAAATGGAGCTCAACTTACTACAGTCCAACTCTGAAGAACATAGGTAAAGGTAAAGGGACTCCTGACCATTAGGTCCAGTTGTGGCTGACTCTGGGGTTGCAGCGCTCATCTTGCTTTATTGGCCAAGGGAGCCGGCGTACAGCTTCCAGGTCATGTGGCCAGCATGACTAAGCCGCTTCTGGCAAACCAGAGCAGCGCACGGAAACGCCGTTTACCTTCCTGCTGAAGCAGTACCTATTTATCTACTTGCACTTTGACGTGCTTTTGAACTGCTAGGTTGGCAGGAGCAGGGACCGAGAAACGGGAGCTCACCCCGTCGCGGCGATTCAAACCGCCAACCTTCTGATCGGCAAGCCCTAGGCTCTGTGGTTTAACCCACAGCGCCACCCGCGTCCTGCACAAGGAGCTCAACTTACTACAGTCCAACTCTGAAGAACATAACCAAGAGTAAACAACTTCTTTCAGAGGTGGTTCTGCAGGTTGTTTTCTGCAGAAACAGGAAAAAAAATGAGCATGAAATCCATTTTCCCACAAAAAAGTAGCTATTCCAGGCTTTCCTCCCTTTTTAAATTTTATACATTGCATCACAACACGCTCACTAATGTTCAGCAGCCTTACCTTGCACAGGCTGCTGTTTATCTGAACAAGAGGAAGTGTGCAAAAAACAGCTATACCCTGAGGACGAAAGGGATTCCACCACTGGACAGTCTTTGATAAATAGTACAATAAGCTGGCATGATTACAGACCATGTTGCACATTCTTCTCTAAACTTTTGATTTGTTATCTAAGGCTGAGTGGAAAACATATGCAGAGGGACAGCAGCAAGGAAGCCCTTTCCAAATTATTCCATGAGTCTGCAGTCAGTCACCAAGACGAGTCACTCACCTCATAGCCCTTTTCCAGCAGGAACTCAGCCAAGTATGAGCCATCCTGAAAAGAATAAAGATAGGAAAACGTTATGGAAATGTTAGAACCATTGCATCTGTAGATGGTGGTTATAAGCTCCCTAAGGCCTTAAGAATATTGTAAATCAATACTGAACGGGTGACTAACAGCATATATTTAATGTCCAGTTAAATACAAGTATTTGCATATAAATCCTTGGCATAGCATACACCAAGAAGAGCAACTTAACATGTCAACTCATAAATCATTCTTTTCTGTTTCATATTTTAAATTCTCTCCCCCCCCACTATTTTTTTCAAATGTGCATTACAACAGAACTCATTTGTTCTCTTTGTCCATTTACTGTCATATTGCTTTTAACTGTCTGTTAAAAAAAATTCCAAGGTCATAGGGTCAGTTTATATCACATTTCATAGGAGTATACATGTTTTATAAACTTAAACATATGACATGGAGCTAATTCACATGATCACACTTTAAAAAAAATAAATGCAGCCTGGGATTTCCCCTCCTGCACTTATAAAAGGGGAAATTACGAAAGGAGAGAGGAATACCAACTAGCGCTGGGAAACAGACTCCAAAAGCACAAACGGCTATCCTGTGTACCAGGGACTGTGTGAATGTTCTTACGGCTAGAAATATAAGCCAACAAGTTGTGATTATGGAGGCCAACTGACAGCTTGCCAAGCAAATATTGAGAGGGAGGGAGGAAGAGAGAGGGGGAAAGATAGAGAATATTAAAACACGAACTGTGAATTAGTTCGCAGCAGGGGTAAAGTCACCGAAGGGTATAATTTATTTTCACTTGCACTCCCTCCTTCCAAAAGTGGTTCCCTAAGTCACTGTGTTCACTTGGAACTTGAAAGGCATTATGGGGCTCTGAAGTGGGGGTGGAGAAACCATATGCTCCAGTTGTTGTTATGTTCCAACTCCCATCAGCACAAGCCAGCATGCCAATGGTCAGAGATGATGGGAGATGTAGTTCAGCAACTTTGAGAAGGTTGGTCCCTTCCAACTCTACAATTCTATGATTCTATTCCTCCTTGCTATAAAAGAGTGCCCATGGAACATTCACTGCAACACTGATGAGGAAATGCATAAATCCATGCTGAGTGACAGGGCACGGCGCACATACCGTATTTTTCGCTCTATAAGATGCACCAGACCACAAGACGCACCTAGTTTTTGGAGGAGGAAAACAAGAAAAAAAATATTCTGAATCTCAGAAGCCAAAACAGCAAGAGGGATCGCTGTGCAGTGAAAGCAGCAATCCCTCTTGCTGTTCTGGCTTCTGGGATAGCTGTGCAGCCTGCATTTGCTCCATAAGATGCACACACATTCCCCCTTACTTTTTAGGATGGAAAAAGTGAGTCTTATAGAGCAAAAAATACGGTATGTGATTTCCAATCTTCTCAGCTTTTCTTAAGACTCTTGACACAAATATTGCTTTCTAAGTTTCTGTAAACTAACATGGAAAGAGAAAACAAAAGTATTGGCATATAAACATTTACTCTGCTACATGTGGGGATACTTTGAGTCAGGCAAAATCTGATTACAACCCTGGTTTAGTTTGACAATAACAAACCAGGACTACGATGAAGTCAGTGAAAAGGAAGGGGAAAAATATAAATATGTTACCATTCACTCAATTAAAAAAGAAGGAAAGAAAACGCTGTTGTACTGCTCTGCCTTGGTTGCTTAACACATTAAAATCCAGAGATGAAAGTAAAATCCCAAACGAAGAGCGGAGGATCCCGATTATTCGTAACGTTGATGAGAAACAGATCCAAGTACAACTGAACCCTGTCAATAAGGTCTTGTTCTTCTCACTAGGGCTGTTTCTCAAACTTTCCAGCCACACTGGAACATTTCGAACTAGCAGTGGCATTCACTTCCTTTGTATTTCCTTTCCAGGTCTATCAAGTGATAGAACATGACATGACAATGAATGGGAAACAAGCCACCGCCAGAAGCTACTGCTTTTTGATTCCAGCATAGTACTGCTAATTTGGCTGTCCAGTAATCTCACACAATGCACGCTAGCAAAAGGCTTACTTCAAGATACATTATCATAATCCACTTGTCCCACTTCCCTCTTTTCTTTCAGTGAGGTAGTGGTCAGTGAACATCACACTCAGAAGGCTGATTAAACTGTCAGTCCAAGTTTACAATTTACCTTATTTCTAGACTTTCAGACCATTCAACTGAAAGTCAAGAGAGATATTAATGTAACATTATTATAATGTACATTTACAGTACAATCTCATGCATGCCTACTCAGAAGTGTGTGCAGGATCATCCACACAATCCAAAACTGTAATCCTATACCTGGAAGCAAGCCACATTGAACTCACTAGGACTTACTTTTGAGTAGACATGCATAGGATTATGGTGTAAGGCATTTGTACAGAAACTCACCTACACTCAGTAAATATGTTGTTTTTTAAAAAAATCCAACTGGTTTGGATGCCCGGAGACATAATAATGCTGATTTTAATCACTATAGTTAGCTTTTGGGTTAGAAATCCTAAAGCAAATCAGAAGTATTAGTCAATTTTGGTTCTCTCAGCTTTTAATTTTTTCAACCTTAAATTCAGTTCTCCATGTTTTGAAGTGATTTGTGAGTTTAAAAAAAAATCCTCATCAAAACTCACCAGTTTTCAGTGTAAATTTTTCCTAACACTTTAGTGTGGAGCATAGATGTGTGTTTTCATTGTGTGGTACTAAAAGCATGATCTTTCCCTTGTGATTTCTGCAGAAGCTTAAGGCTCTACTAGGCTGTTCCTGGGAAAGAAAGCAACCACTTTCCCCAGCATCAAGGCTTGATCTACTCCTTTGTGGCCAGTTACTCAAAGGAGGCAAACCAGAGATGAAGGACAAAAGCAACAGGAACCTTGCTTTGTATGAACATATTGCTCCCCAACCCCTTGGGCATCCCAGCCAACCTTCCTGATTGATTGATTGATTGATTGATCAATTGATTTGCTACTTTTCCACAATGAGCTGTGCCCAAAGCAGCTTACAGCAAACAAGCAACACATCAAAATACAAAGCACTGAAAATAAGAGAAACAGAATACAAAACACGTAAGCAAATTAAAAAATGACAAAAACCAACAATTTGGCAAATACAGAATAAACTCTATACAGTATTACAAAAACACCAGCAGCAGCAGCAAACTGAGCTTAAGCACATACAGTGGTACCTCGGGTTACATACGCTTCAGGTTACATACGCTTCAGGTTACAGATTCTGCTAACCCAGAAATAGTACCTCAGGTTAAGAACTTTGCTTCAGGATGAGAACAGAAATCGGGCTCCGGCGGCGCAGCAGCAGCAGGAGGCCCCATTAACTAAAGTGGTACTTCAGGTTAAGAACAGTTTCAGCTTAAGAACGGACCTCCGGAACGAATTAAGTACTTAACCAGAGGCACCACTGTATATATATAGCAAAACAAGCATTAACTGACAACCACGTTTCTGGTACTAGTCTTGCTTTACCCCAAGGAGCCTGGCTTAAATGCAGTTCAGAGGGGAGGTGTCTTCTCACCAGGCTAGATGACATACAGCTGGCTCCTTTAGCCGTACTCCAGAGGAGGCTGACAGCAGCAAAAAGCACATGTCAGGAAGGGCAATGATGACAAGTTTCTTCCCAAGCCTTCTGGAAGTACCAGCGGCTGATGGTGGTGGTCTTACTGCATTTCTTGGGGTATGCAAACTGCAGTCAGTACTTACCCTAATTTTAGAACGACTCCCTTGCGGCTTTCTAAAACTGTTAGCTGGGAGGCTGGGAAGGAGGCCCGAAAGGTGAAGGGCAAGTGGCAAAAGTGTATGGCGAGGGTGATCAGTTCAAAGATTGCAGAGAACTACTTCAGCAGAATGCCAAGGAAGAAAACGCAAGGTGCCATAGTTTCACAACATGTTCTTCTTCTTTCAGCTACCCTCTCTCATAAGTTTCCCATACCCTCCACACACTTCTCTAATATCCTAGCAAACACCAACTGGCAAAATAATGCAAGAATCAGCAAACAGCACCACCTAACAGAACCTTCCCTCCTACATTACCATAACACTACTGTCTGCTACAAGTTGCCACAAAAAACAAGTTTGTTTTACCTGCTTGACTTACTTAAGACCACTTTTTGCCATCAAGTATATGCCATCCAGCCACTCCGTCCTGCACTGTGTTGTACCAGAATGATCTTTCTCCTTTTGTCTGTCTTGTTTAAATAAAACATTTTTTAAAGAAAAACCAAAGCGAAACCCAAATGTTTCTTTCTGAGCTAATTTGCAATTTGTTTTGCTTAGGGGATTTGTAAGGCTGAATGAGTAAGACCGTGACATTGTTCTTTGGCTTAAATTATTTATTCTTTCAACAGTGGATCATTTAGTGTTTGAATAGTTGGTGGAGTACAAGACAGGTTGGTGTTTTTAAGAAACCACTCACTCACACACACACAAATCAAAAGAACTAAACCCCAACAAAAATAGTTATTCGAAGAAATTAAATTGTATATAAAAAGATTAGCCAAATGTGCTTAGTGTCCCACACGCAAGTCAAATGTAGTCACAATCAGGCTGTGAAAAGAAAACACCAAGTACTATAGCACACCGTTCATTAAAAAATATGTGACTTCTATCATTCTTAATGGTTCCATTGTGAAAAAGCTTTTAAAAAGCTCCTTTGTTTGTCCAGCACCTAGAATACCACTGACAAGTAAAAATGTGAAGTAGTTGTAGTTCATAGCTCAATGCAGCCTGTAAGTTATGGTTTTGAAAAGAACTATTCTGGGAATGTTTTAAACTATACCCCTATGTATACCAAATTTTGTATGAGTTCGCTGAGGTTATCTTGCAGCCATAGCCAAAATGGATTGTGACATTTATATTTCGTAACTGTGAAGACTGAAAATATAAATTATTTTAAAATGTAATTTCTAGTAAACTCATGTGCATTCTTAAAACAAATTAAGGTACCTCTACTTGAGGATATCAGTTGCTGGTTAATTTCAGCCAAATTATACTTATTGAGGCATTAGATCCTTTGTTTTTTCATTGTCTTGCTTACCTATTTATTTATTTTTCTCAGATTTACTCATTATCTTAGTAAATGGATATTGTAACATTACTGCAATATAAAGGTGAACCTATTCTAATGTCATAAATAATTACTATGAGTATGTCACTAGAATGTCAGCAAAATACAAGGTGGGACAGTGGGATCACAACTTATGCTGGTTTTACTTACACAATCATATCTTTATGTGGATTGCAAAAAATAAATACAGTGATACCTCAGGTTACATACGCTTCAGGTTACATACGCTTCAGGTTACAGACTCCGCTAACCCAGAAATAGTGCTTCAGGTTAAGAACTTTGCTTCAGGATGAGAACAGAAATCGTGCTCCGGCGGCGCGGCAGCAGCAGGAGGCCCCATTAGCTAAAGTGGTGCTTCAGGTTAAGAACAGTTTCAGGTTAAGAACAGACCTCCAGAACGAATTAAGTACTTAACCAGAGGTACCACTGTAAATAGAAAGGCTTACTTACTAGGCTCTGCATAGCTCCCAGGGCTATCCACAAAGGGAAAACCCTGTACAAAAAGAGCTTTTTACGCCCTCTGCCTTGCTTACTGAGCTCTGGAGACTCGTGGGAGATCTCGGACAACAACAATCTCACCAGATCTCAGGGGACGGTTCAAGAGGTCATTCTGACTTTGCACAACTTTGCCTTTACGTGCAACTCCCATGAACATAGCCCTTACAGAAGTTGCAATCACACTGTATTCAACTCCTTTTTACTCAGAGTACAGCCATTGAAAGTCATGGATTTACTTTGCGTGAAACCTAACTGAATATCACTCATAATATCTGTGAAGTAGGACATCCGAAATGCTATCGCCAGTTGGTCGTGGTGGATTTAGTATGATCACAGCCAAGTCTTTCTTCATGTAGGTAACAATAATATAAAGTTGGTAACATTAAAATGAAGCAAAAACCAATCCCCTCTTCTGAAAGGGCTATGGCTGCTGAGTAAACCTGTTGTCAATTTTATTATGGTTATTCACTTATTTTATTTTTATACCTTTATTTCGCTGGAAACAGCCTAGAGTCTGAACCCCAGTGGCCTAACTCACATAACGTCCACAGATGTTGATACAGGAGCAGTCTGGGAATCAGTGCAATGGCTCTCACGATAGTCTGGTAATTTATACATGAGATCTTAGAAAATATGTATAAATGTAATGTTCAATATTTAATTTTTTTTAAAAAGACTTCTGAAGTACTATCACAAGAGTCACATGCACATTCTGCCATGTTTTACAATTCCAATGCAAAATTAGTTACTTGATAAAGATGAGGATTCATATTCATTATATGACCTCATTTACGCATGTCAACATCTCCCTAATATAGAAAGAAAACATATAAAAGTGCTCTGTTTGTGTGGTTTTATACTGCTTTTCTTCACCAGTGGTAGCTCATGACCTGGAATATGTCTTATTACACCTACCAAGGCAGTACTCGTTTATTGATGTGTCCCTCAGGGAAAAAAATTGGCTTCAAGTTCATGCGACACCTCTGTTTCTGCAACAAAATAACACCTTCTCAATCCAAGATGGAAACAATATGAAAGTTAATTTAAATGTACTTAAAAAAATTAAGCTGCTTTATATTAAAACACATTATCAGCTTGATTAGGGAATACAATGATAAATTTGATTAAAATTTTAATTTGGATTTATATTGTGCAAATCTCTCACACTAGTAATTACTTCTACACAAGGCAATTATTTCTACACATGCATAAACAATTGTTTAGACTCAAAGGCAGGATCTCCAATACATTAGTGGAGATACTATTCTATTTTAAACAAAGATGCAAGATTATTTAAAGGGCTGAATGGTATTTGTGGAAACTATTTAATGTGTCTATTGGAATGGCTGTAAAAGGAAAGCTGGGTTTCCTCTTCTGGCTAAAAGTAATTAAAGGGTAGGGGGATGTCCTGTGTTAGCAAACTCAACCAGCAGTCTAGAATTCATTTTGGAGACATTTCACCAACTACTCCCTCAGTTTTTCAAAGGAAACATCTTATTTCCTCAGTTGTGAGAGAATGGGTTTGACATTCAATACACCTGTGAACCTAACAGCTACAAAAGAAGACAAATTCTTGCGAGGGAAAAGTCCCTCTCGGTGCCACTTGTCTCTGCTGGTTTTGATCTCTAAAACACCAAATTAGGTTTAGCCAGTGATATTTTTCTAGAAAAAGAGGTGCTGGAATTCACCATGAGCACCTCCCTCATTCTCTTGGAATGGCAATGGCGCCCACTTGAAAGGTGTCAGAACTGAGTCCCAGTGAGTTCCAGATGAAAAAATCCCTCCGGAGTTGAGCCAACAGGTTGCCTTCCAGATGCCGTATGGCTACTAATTACATCAGGCCTGGCCGATATGGCCAATCATCAAGGATGATGGGAACTGTAGTGCAGTCTCTGGAGGGTATCACATTGGCTAGCCCTGTCCTGAAAGGGTTCAGGATATATCAAGGTCCCTACTGTGAACGTACCCATATATAAAAAGGCTCTGCTTCAAGGTCCTGCTGCATATTACACTGAGCAACGGTAAACAATTACCTGAGGCAGATCCTTCTCAGCTCTTAGACTGTGGCACTTCCACTCTAGGGATGTTCACCTTGCCTCACCCTTCTTGGCCTTTCGGCAAAGGGTTTTGGCCTAGGACTCGCCAATTGGAAGGTCGGTGGTTTGAATCCCCACAACGGGGTGAGCTCCCGTTGCTCGGTCCCAGCTCCTGCCCACCTAGCAGTTCGAAGCACATCAAAGTGCAAGTAGATAAATAGGTACCACTGTGGCGGGAAGGTAAACGGTGTTTCCGTGCACTGCTCTGGTTTCGCCAGAAGTTGTTTAGTCATGCTGGCCACATGACCCGGAAAAACTGTCTGCAGACAAACGTTGGCTCCCTCGGCCAGTATAGCAAGATGAGCGTCGCAACCCCAGAGTCATTCACGACTGGACTCAACTGTCAGGGGTCCTTTACCTTTTTAAAAGTCCTTTGGTTCCAGCAAGATTTTTAGAGTATTAAGTTTATGTTGCTAAGAATTGTAAACTACCCTGACTACTGCATAGGCACTAAAAGGACGCAACAGAAATGCCTGTCTGTTTCATAAAGCTGGTTGACTGACCAAAGACTGCTCACAAATGGTTCCTCAGCATCCTAGAAAAAAAGTGACAAGGCCCCTTGTTGTTCAATGTCTTTATAAATGACTTGGATAAAGGAATTGAAGGGGTTCTAATCAAATTTGCAGATGACACCAAACTAGGAGGAAGTAGCTAATGCTGCAGAAGACAGAACTGGGATTCAATATGACCTTAACAAATTGGAGAACTGGGCCAAAATTAACAAACGAATTTCAATAGGAATAAATGTCGGCTTCCACACTTAGGCAAGAAAAACCAACTGAACAAATATAAGTTGATGGACACCTGGTTTACCAATAGTACATGTGAAAAGTACTAAGAGTCATAAAGACCACAAGCTTAACATGAGTCATCAGTGTGATGCAGCAGCAAAAAAAAAGGTGATGCTATTCTAGGCTGCATCATCAGAAGTCTAGTGTCCAGATCAAGGGAAGTAATAGTACCACTCTATTCTGCCTTGGTCAGACAACACCTGGAGTACTGTGTCCAGTTCTGGAAGACATGATTTAAGTACAATATTGATAAGCTGGAATGTGCGCAGAGGAGGGCAACCAAGATGATCAAGAAACTAAGCCTGATGAGGAACAGTTAAGAGAGTTGGGTATGTTTAACCTGGGAATGAGGAGACTGTGAGGTGATTTGAGAGTCATCTTCAAATATGAAGGACTATCACATGGAAAATGGAGCAAGCTTGTCTTCTCCTGCTCTGGAGGATAGGACCTGAACCAATGGGTTCAAGTTACAATAAAGTAGGTTCTGTTCTAAACATCAGGAAGAACTTCCTGACAGTAAGAGCTGTTTGACAATGGAGCAGACTCCCTCGGAAGGTGACGGACTCTCCTTCTTGGGAGGTTATTAAGCAGAGGTTGGATGGTCATCTGTTATGGATGCTTTAGTTTAGTTCAGTTTAGTTGCATTGCAGGGGACTGGACTAGATGACCCTCAGGGTCCCTTCCAACTCTATGATTCTATGATGCTATATGTGATAAATAAAACTAGTTTAATACAACAACTCTGAGCTTTACAGACTCTGATGACAGGCATGAATGGGAGAGGCTGCGCTACAGAACCTGAATTATGCTTGCAACTTATATGCATGTAGCAAGGTGGCTGAGACTCCTCTTGACCACGGACCACCTACACTGGGGCCATGCTTGACAGATAGGCAAGCATGCCCACCTGTATATCACCTGGTGTCATTTTGCCTGTGTGGGCTGAAATCAAACTAAAAGGGGAAAAGCACAGCACTTTGCAAGCACTGCGGATCAGCTGATTTTTCAACCCCCCTTTTGACCCAGCTATGATATACAATATCAGCTGTAGGAAAGGTGAGGGTGGCTTGAGCTAAACAGCCTCATGGGCCAAATGGAGAGACTTGGCAGGTCTAATTCAGCCTGCAGGCTGAATGTTCCCCACTGCTGGGCCTACACTTTCCAATTGCTTGTCCATGAACTTAAGAGTTGTTAGGAAACCACTGCCGCACAGCATGAGATGATGATGCAGTCAGGGAATTAATGTGGAAACCTGGAGCACATGCAGAAGCCCCTATGAGTACCTGAAAGGCTCTTCATATCCCTGACTAGGCACTTAGGATACAGACCTGAAGAGCTGCAGAATATTAGCAGACCACAAAAAGAAGGAAAAGTACTGAGGAACAACAAATTCTAATGCACTAGTGACTAGGGCTTGGAGTGAACAGCTACCGACATGTTTAACTGTGTTGTACTCTGGCTTTTATACTGAAATTTACTGACATAGCTTCTCTGTTTAATCTATAGGGTTTTAGATCCCCAGTTACTCAGTTATGTGGTTTAACAAGTTAGCTTTCCTTACCCTTGACAGAAGACCACCCTTCGCTTGGTAATAAATTGTTTTACAAGTCCAACCTCTTGCTCTCCTATCCACTTGCTCACTGTCTGGAATTCCATTAATAAATTTTATCAGTGAACCTCTTCAGACACAAAGCAGTTACAGGAGGTATGTAGTTTCAGCATTCTCAAAGAGCAGAAAATAAATTGTTCAAATGGCAAACAATTCACAGGCTGTGAGTCTATCCAGTTTACTTAACAGGGTAAAGCAATCAAAATATGTTGGAAGGCATCATCATCTCTCAACGGAATTGTACAAGGAATTCATTTATTCCACGCAGCATTGTATGAAGTTTTGCAACACTGTCAAATGTTAGAACTATTTTAAATTGCATCTGCTAGGTTATACTAGAATGCTCGTAATTGGTGATAACCCTTAATATCCTTGTTCACAACCTTACTTAAAAATATTAACGGGTTAACGTATTCTGTATTATAATTATAGATTAATTTATCATGAAAGTTTGATCAATGTTAAGATCAGAATTCTAGGTCCATGACATTAAAAATGCCGAAAGGCACATTTCATCTAAGATATATACAACAGGAGCCACATCTCCCAGCTGAATGTAATATGTGATGTTAAGAAGTCTATGTTAATGAGAAAAATGTGTACTACTTCAGTTATGATCCTGCTAAGAAAGATTACTTTCTTGCTGTTTAATAACAGAAAAGTTGCATCATGGTATGAAATATCAGGCAGCAAGGAAAACAACAATTTCCGAATGCTATGGTTAAAAATATTTACCAATCACAAAGGTCTGGAAATAGCTGGAAATTAACTTTCCATGAACCAGAAGGTAAGCTTAAAATTACACTTATAACCAATGTTAACTACAGCACCAGTTTAGGATATTAATGGAAAAACATCAGAATGTAAGTAGGACCACAGACATTTTCAAGGCAACCTTTTTTGCAGTTCTCTGGATGTGAATAATCTGCACAGATTTGCAAGCTAGCCAAACAGCAACAAGACTTGTCACACAGAGAAGTGTAAATCCTCTAATATCTGATGACAAAACCAAACTACACTTTTCTATTCAGTTGCACCCATGGCTTTCCATACATTCCACACCTGGAAAGTAGTTGAAGCAGCCAATAACTTAGAAACATACTTTGGCAGATGTCTATCTTGGAAACCACCAGAACCATTCATATGCTTCAAGTCAAGCAATGTACTTCAATCATTTGATAATGTTAAAAGAGACTTCAGCTGTTCATGTGCTTTCCCAAGCAACGGCACACAACTCATACAAATAATAGCTATTTTATGAGTTAGATTTCTATCCCATCCCTCTTCCATATATAGTGACATATATAGTTCCCCCCACCCCAATATTCTTTTACCATCACAACAACCCTGGTTAGGCTGGTAGACAGTGAGTGGCTCAATATACTTTGCAGTACAGGGATCTGAATCCATGACTTCTTGAGTCCTAGCCCCATGCATCAACTAGGTGAAGTGGAGCTAAAATTATATAGCAGGTTGATGTGCTTTGGTTAGTAACAGTGCATGCCACTTGTATAACTTCACAAATAATCTACACTGTTGTAGACTAGGTAGAAAGGTATACCTTACCCTTTGAAAATAAGCTTGTTTTTTTCAAAAAAGAGTCCATGTATTTATCTGTAGTACTTATATAATCACCTCTCAAGAAAAAGTTGCCACAAGTGGTGTGTACAAACTATAAAGTAGCTTATGAACATATCAATAACATTGGTGCTACAAAGTCTGCTAAAAGCTCTGGCTGCCTACACAGCATCAAGTCAAGTTAAAGGCTTTATTGTTAGTGTGTAATGCCCCAACCAGCAAGGACCAGCCTACCTGAAGGACTGCCTGTTCCTGTATACACCAACCAGATCGCTGCGATCATCTGGAGCATCCACCTTGGCTGCACCCCAGTGATTTCATATTAGTTTATTTATTTCATAAAGTGTACATACCACCTGACTGTGAAAAACAGTCAAGCGGTTTATGAAAAGAATAATACAATAAAATTATCAGTTTAAAAAAACTACTTAAAACATTCAGACTAATTCATTTCTAAACTAATGCTTTAAGTGCCAGTGCTTTGGAACACTGCTAGTACTCTCATTTGACTTATTGCTTTCTTTTATAATAAGCAACTCAAACAACTTACCAAGAAAAGGACATACATTAAAACCAACTGGAAACTAAAACAGAGTGAAAGCTGGAAGTTCCCACTCAAATCAGACAGGCACTCAAAGTTCTGATACGCAACTGCCTGCTAAAAGTGTTTCTGTTTCACCAAGCATTTTAAGAGAATTAATTTGATCCAGGTGTTGGTCATTTGTTCTGCATTCTATTATTTTATAATAAAGGTTCTATTGTAAACCACCATGCTCTTTTTGAACGAGTTGGCAGTTTTTAAATACATAAATGAAATAAATAAATAGAAAGTCTTCTAGAACAAAGGCCTTCCATCCTAGAACAAAGGAAAAGGTTTCCATGCCTTGTGTCTCCTCGGGTTCAGGCTGGTTTGTCCATGGGCAAAGAGCAACTATTTTATGCGTCTGCAGCTACATATAGCTTTGGACATTTTTATCTTACATTTTGAAGATATTCAATGCTTTCCTAAGCAAGCTTTTAAAAAACCACTTGTAGTGGGAATTTAGCTTTTTTTTTTTTTTGCCTGCAAAGTCTTCCTCCTCTCTCAAAGTGAAAAATTAAGTCAGGAAATCCAGCCATCATCAGAAAGGAAAATACAAGAATGAGTGATTTTGAGGTCATTTTGCAAACTGTTATTATGGGAACCAGACAACTGCCATATTTAGAAACCATATTAGTTGGTCCATAAATGGACAGCATTGGTAGAATGATTTCTGTTCAGGTATGGCTTTGATGAGTTGGTTACCAGTATCTGATGTGGTCAAGGCCAAGGCTAAAAATCAAATCAAGGATTTTAGGCAGAGTTGTGATGTTTATTCAGGTTAACCAATGGGTATCGTTGCACAACTACCCAAAAACCACCATCGTTTTGAAGACTGGGCTTAGTTTATTTTTTGTCTTACACATTCACATCAAGATTTCAGTCCAGTCACAACAGATCTTTATGCATAAGTTTTAATTTAGTCCCCCCACCCATCTGCGGCTTATAGGTTGTGCAGGAAAAATGAACTGAAAATGTAAAATAACTTGTTTTCAAATGGTGTGGTATAATGAAACATATTGTGCAAAACAATAGTTTCTATAATGGTTCAAATATTTAAAGAATGATACAATAATACAAAGTGGAAAGCGAGCTTTCCAACATTTTCCGACCTATATTCTTGAGCCACCTGGTGGCATGTTTGTTTCACTGCAGAGGTATTCAGTATATATTCTTGAACAGGATCTCACCTCTACCCTTCCAGGTGGCAATTTGACATTACAGAATTCACACATAGTAAAATTCAGCAATACTGTGGTAATAAAGCAACATTTCATTTGCTTCTGGAAACCTGCTGTAGGATACAGGTTACACTACGGATGGACTGTTTCAAAAGCTACATTGTGAATCTAAGTGTTTCACAGTAAGCGCTGGATATTACCACCTCTCGCGATCTGCGTGATAAATCTGACCATAAACCTTCCTTCTTGGCCTTCAATACCTATCCCATCTAAACAGAAATAGTATTAGTGATTCATTTCTTAAAGAAATGAGCTCTCATATCCAAGATGTAAAACATAAAATTATTCTCTCTTAAGGGCACGTGAATTATACCATGCCCCAAAAGACTGGATACAGTTCAAAATGCAAAATATAAATTGTTCTCCTGCTGCCAGCGCTTTCAAGAGAACACATGGAGTGCCTTCGCCTATAGTGGTCAAAAGGCCTGCAAAAATTGATAATGGGCATTACACTAAAGTAAAGCCCTGATTTCAAAAGAACTTGCTTCCTATTAAGCTTAGTGTTAAAGGGTATTTAGAAGGGCTGTCTCTAAGAACAATGATATAAATAACCATTATATGATTAAGTAATTTCTTAGAATACTGTAGTACATTATTGAAATCCAGCCTTCAGCCACTTTTTTTTTGTCTTTTGCTCAATGTAAGGCAAGTTAAATACAGAACCTAATCTCCACTAAAGCCTGTAAACAATAAATAAATTTAAACATGTGGGCATCACATGGAGGCCTATTACAGTGGTACCTCTGGTTACAGACGCTTCAGGTTACAGACTCTGCTAACCCAGAAATAATACCTTGAGTTAAGAACTTTGCTTCAGGATGAGAACAGAAAGTGCACGGCAGCAGCACAGTGGCAATGGGAGGCCCTATTAGCTAAAAGTGGTACCTCAGGTTAAGAACAGTTTCAGGTTAAGAATGGACCTCCAGAATGAATACGTTCTTAACCCAAGGTACCACTGTATGTTGGAAGCTAAGGGGCTGACTGAAAGGTAGTTAATAGTTCCAATCTGAAGAAGAAAGCTGCATTAGTGCTGTTGTGTAAACTCTTGCACAATAGTTCTTTCAATGCAATACCACCACATTGGAGTTGCGAACCCGAATTAAAAAAATAATGAAGCTCAAATCAATTCACAAAACAGTTGTGCAAAGACATACACAGGAGATTCTGAAGTGCCAGTCAGAACTTCGCTCGATTTGGGTTCAATTTCCTCACACAGGTTGAAAACAGCTCTTCTGTGATAGGAAGAGCACTTCTGCCAAGGGAAAGGCACATTTGGATTCAAACAGGATCCTCTCTTAAACCCTAATCCTGAAAATATTCACTCGGCTTCCAATATCCCTTTCATAGAAAACATAGTCAAGTGTACAGCAACAGGCTGAACTTCGGGAATTCTTGAAGGGCATTAATTATCCAGTTCCTTGTAGCCAGTCTGGCTACAAGCCTAGTTTTGCAACAGACTACATGAGTTGATTGCAATGTACTGGGAGACTGGCACGGTAGCTATATTTGGATGCAGCATTAAACCATGGTTAGGCACTACCTTCTCCTGAGCTTACACATGCCTCCTTTTTTCCTCCCCTGTGGCTTAGAAGAGGACCTTGAAACTTTCCAGTACTTTCTTAATTGCTTATCACAAACCAAATGAAGTTTGAAGCATATGCATGCACTGTTAGCTAACTCCAGCTTGTTGCTTTAACCAAACCAGGGAGCATCATTTAACAATAGTTAATCTCAACAAGCCAGTTCCATAACCAGTAAGTTGAAGTTGGCTTGTTTTGAACACTCAGCCCCAAATTGGGGGGGGGGGGGGCAGGTTAAAAAAAAGCAAAAGTTTCCAAATTCATCCTCCCAGCCACACTTGATTTATCAGCAGCTCTAGCTTTTAATTACTACAAAAGTTAACAGAAGTTACAAAAATACATAAATATGATTATACAGTTAGACATACCGTATTGGCCTGAATATAAGCCTCACTTTCCCCCCCCCCAAATTCAGACTGTGAAAATTTAAAGTGCGGCTTAAATTTGCAATCTCACAAAAAATGGCTTTTACGATATCGCCGCTGAAACAGACATGCGGTAAAACGGAACAGGTGTGAATGCCTGTGGAATTTTAAGGGAGCAGCTTATATTCGGGTATTGGCTTTTTTCCTTTTTCCCCCTTGAATTTTAAAGGTGCGGCTTATATTCAGGTGTGGCTTATATTTAGGCCAATATGGTAATCACACTTAGACAGTTATGATATAAATTAATATTGATATAATTAATATGACAGGGGAAATCAACCAACAAATGACACCAACCAACAACCCTGGAGGCTTTGGCAGTCACATGGATATAAATTTATATCAAAGAAAATATCCTATATTTATTAACATTTTCTAAATTTTATTCAGTGACTTTAAGAGTCAGTGACTGACACACCCCTCTGAGCTGCTAAAAGTTTAGCTGTAGTTTGCAAATTCCAGACAAGTACTCTTTTCTTACATTGTACCTTGTTAACATTTTAATTACCCAGGCATTTGCCTCTTATTTGAGTGTTGGTACTTCCTGATGATGATTTGAAACAGTTTGATGAGGCTTTTAAAAATGATATAGGATATATTTCTAAACTTTGATACTTATATTGATGTTTGACTTGTATTTTCTTTACTTTGTTAGACCTATGGGTGCTCCTACTGGAAGAAGGGCAAGGGGCAAAAATGATGTGTAAATAAATGTAATAAAATCATTAATGGTTATAGAAATTCCATTGGTTTATAACACAAGTTACATCCTCTTCCAGAAGACTGAGAATTGGACTTTTTCTTATTCTTCTATACATCAATAAAGTCAACCACTGCCCACACCTCTTACCCTTATCTTTGCTTGGATATATTTGACTTAACTGATAGGGAAGTCATATACAATTGTTAAAGTAGTTTAAAATAACTTGCTTTTATAGTAATACATAGACATAAGGTTGACTGAGCCTCATGATAAGATATTTCATTACATGTGGATTAATACTGGGCAACCCAGCGTCTCCCCCCTTGCTTTTCTTCTTGACTAGTGTTAATAGGAGCAAATAACTCGGTGATAACCTTTGTAAAAAAATTGTCACATTGGAAAGAGGTTAATAACAGTTTAATACTTATTTTCATTTGTCAATGATTTTGCTCAGTGGCTTTCAATACCATTCAAAGTGGTCCCTTCTGGACTGTTTGTCTGGATCAGACAATATTTATAGAAGTTACAAATAAATTATGAGAATGAGAGTGATTCTCATGATTTCTTCCTCCTTTGAGAAATCAAACAGCCTGGTGGAAGTCTTCATAATATTTACTAACTACCTAGAAATAGAAAATGTCAGGTACCAGCTGAAATGACTCGTATCTCCAGAAATTGCATGGAATGAAGTGAGACTGGCCTTCTTCATCAGATGTGTCTTCACCATCAGTACTATCAGGGACAGAAAAGTTTGTCCTGGGAGAACATTTGCTTGTAAATTCCTAAAGATATGCAAACACTCTGAATCAGACACAACAAATCTATAGATGGGCAGTTAATAACTTATTTTCTTCACCAATTAAGATGTGTTTTCTCCACCTATATTTTAAATCAGGTGAAGAGCTTCTTTTGGGTCTCTCAATGAAATCTTTCAGAAATAATCAAGCCAAGAGAAACATTTGCTGTTTTCCCTCCTTCCAAGATGCCATGTTATGCATCATACAACAGGTTAGCATTTAGTACATATTACGATTTTGTGATGAACACAGAAGCAAATTGACTAAAATCCTGGAGTCTCAGTGAAACCTTATAGGAAAGGGGGAAAGCAGGATAGATGGGAATTAGTTTGTAACAAGCACTTAAGTACATAGAATTCAAAACTGAAAAAAGGCAAACAGGCAAATACGGTATGTTTCCCCCATGTTTTTTACCCAAAACCACATGCTTTGCTTTAAGTTACAACCCTAACACCATTTTACTAGATGTCCTTCATTTTTCCATAGTTGCTAGTCAGCCAGTAACAGACAATTTTGCTCTCCTTCAATTAGTTTGGAAGTGAGAAGCCATAGGTAAAGTACTTTTAAAAAGCATCTGGTCCTCCTCTGATAGAATATGCATAACTCTTTCTGAACTCAGAATCCAAAACAGGGGTGTCTAGATTTTGAGATGAGAACATTTAAGAATTAGTTCACTGATGAAGAAACTGGAATACAAAAGTTCTTTCCTTCTCATATTGTAGGTATAGAGACTTGTGAGATAAATTGTTTGCAGACTTCATAGGCTACAAACATACAATACCTACACCAGCTTTGGATTTCAGAATAAAGGACACAATTTTGAACCCTATCATCAAAAATTGTAATGAGCTAATGTGTTGCCTTGCCACAAAGCATTAACAGTTTCTATTCAAATACTGTATTTACTCGAGTCTAATGTGCCATAGAATCTAATGCGCACCTCAATTTTCAGAACCTTGAAACCAAAAAAAAGTATTCGCTGAGAAATGTAAATGTGCCATCAAATCTAATGTGCACCTTAATTTTCGCAACATAATTTGGCCAAAAAACGTGAGCATTGAATTCAAGTAAATACGGTATATGAATAAGAAACAAAATATTTTATAGACCAACTATCTTCAACACTTAGAAATTATTTTTACTAATCGTTGTTTTCATTTGATAAATATAATGAGGTATCACTGAAATTCTGGTAAAAATTGTATATTATTTGCATAGGGATAAATCACAACTTGAGCAGTTGAAGAGAAACTATTTTTCAACCTTATTTTTAGATTCCTTGTGTCAGTCAAAACCGAAATTAATTGGTGCAGAGTCACAGCAATCACAGAGAAACCTTAAACTTGGAACAAATATGAGAAAATAGTAAAGCAAGACAAAGCAAAAGAAGTACATAATGTATTCCTTCCACAAGCAAAAAATAATAGTCACAATCTGTAGCCTTAGATTCTCAAATCTAAGAATTAAACATGACTGTAGCCTTCTTTCACCGTATGTTTGTAAGACACCCTTCGGTAACAAACAATATTTATAATCAAATCCTCAAAACTTGGTAGTCTTCCTTCCAGCAGGCAGGCTTCCAATTCCTGGCTAGTACAGACTCACCCATATCAACATGAGTTTCCTAAAATAGTTAACACACACGCACACACACACACACACACCTTCCATTATACACAAACCAGCAAGAAATCCACCTTTGACTTGCATCCTACCTTTCATCTCACCATACTGCAGAAGTTAGATGATGTTATACAGCATATTGTTTAAAAAGTACCAAGATTCTTTAGCACTCCAGGAAAACACTGAAGTAACTGTAGCAGTTCTGTATCCAGCATACCTGAGCAACTCTAAACCAGTTTTAAAGAAATCAAGTTTCATAAAAGGAAGTGTATCTCCCCTGTCTAGACACCAAATTAAGGAACATTCCTCCCATTTCTATTTAAAATATAGGTTATATCTAACACATAGCAAGTATAGTTGTTTACCAAGAAAAAAAAAAACCACCTAACCTAAAACTTTAAACGTTAACTATTTATTTTCCTTAATATGTGGCAGTATTGCAGATATATTCCCTCAAAATAATATTTCTTTCTTTGTTATATTGGTTCCCAGCCCTTTCCCAAAATCTCAAGACTGGACACAGTAAGAATAAAATTAGTCTTAAAAAACAAAAATATTACACACAAACCTAAAATAAAATACAGTGTCAGATACAAAAGGGGAAATTCACATCCATCTATCCCCATTTCAGCCTTGGCACAGCACAGAAATGTGTACAAAGTATGTGCAGGACTCACAATCAAGGGAAATTTTATAACTTGGGAGCCACTACTAAGAAGGCTCTTCCACATGCTGCCACTCCTCAAACCTCCGAGGGTGGCTGAATTGTTAACAGACACCCTATGAGTGAAAGCTTTTTCTGTTTTGGTCTGTGTGGGGTGAGGTGATCTGTCTGGTATACGGGACCGCAGTGGTTAGGGCTTTATATTTCAAAGACCAAGACCTTGACTAGGACCTAAAGTGGACAGGCAGGAAGTGAAGTTCCCTCAGAACAGGTGTTATGTGAGCTCTCCAATTCACACCTGTAAGCACCCTTGCAGCTGAATTCCACACCACCTTGAATGGAAGCCCCATATAGAACGCTCTGCAATTATTCAGAGGAGAAGTTATTACAGCATGGATCACAGTTGCTAAGCCTTCTCTCTCCAGGAAGGGCTATAGCTGGGCATCAAGTGACAGATTGGATCAAGCAGCACAAATTCTTAAAGCTTCCTGGGATATGGTCAGTGGACAGCGCACCCACAAGACTGGTTCTCTATGCCTAAATCTACCCCAAAACCTGTGGTTGTTTAAATAGCAGCTGTTGGTGGTCTATCCAATGGAATAAGATGATCAATCATTGACTGCTTCTAAAAAGATGCTGGACAGGGATCAGTTTACTGGCATGTGGCTGAACCTATATACCAGGCATAGGCAAACTTGGCCCTCCTGATGTTTTGGGACTACAATTCCCATCATCCCTGACCACTGGTCCTGTTAGCTAGGGATGATGGGAGTTGTAGTCCCAAAACCTCTGGAGGGCCAAGTTTGCCTATGCCTGCTATATACCAATAAACAAAGCTAATGCTTAAGTGAACTAAGGAGAGGTCTCTTTCTTAGCTGAAGGAAACTTGAAAGGTGTTTAGGAAATCAGGAAAGAGGGAAGAAATGATAACTTTCTCCCCTATTTTCTAAATATCTGAAAAAAACCTTATTTTCAACTACTCGTAAATGAATTGTAAAGAATATATTCATTCCTTCAAGGGGGAAAAGCATGTTAAGATAGCATGCAAGGCACATGCAGTTCCTTCTTGTTCTTTGAAATATTTCAAGTATTAGTAATAAACTACTTTGATTGCAAAGCAAGTTGCATTTATGGCCTGTTCGACATTTACTTTGTGGCCTCCAGATTTGTTGGACTGCAGCTCCAATAATCATGGCCAGTGGTCAGAAATGATAAAGGTTTTAAGTCCAACAACATCTGGAGGACCACAGGTTCCGCAGCCATACTTTAGGCACTACCAAAACACATTTGCAATGACTTAGAGATCTGCTTTAAAAGGGAAAAAAGGAAATCAGTTAACACATAAATATGATGGAGCAGTTCCATCACTACAAAACTGCTCTTATTCTAACCAGCCAAATCTTCGGCTACAGCACCTAGTTCATTGTACATTTTATTTTGTTATTTAAAATAATATAGGATTAATTTTCTGTTAAAAGTTTCAGTATTCAACATTTTAAAAAAAGAAAAGAAAAAAGAAGATGCATTAGCAAATAAAAAGATGCCCTTGCTACAAGATTAGTTAAATTTGGACATTCTTAGCACATACAAAACACAATTGAGAAGTGAGAAAATAAAGAAAATAAGTATTTAAAACACAAACACAATAATTCAATAGTATACTTATTGTACAAAGCCTAGTGGAAATTTGTCTAGAGTACCTCAATTACAGGAAGTCAGGCATAAAAGCTCTGGTTTCCACCTAGTACTGTAGTTGTACAAATGTAAAAAAATGGCAGAGATTTCAGAAATATATTAAACCCTTCTATCATTTTTCTAACTCAAAAAGTAGTTGTTTACATAAGACACTCATTCCCATTAAAACCTGGTGTAAATGATTGCCCTCAAAGTAAATGGTATTAATATTTGCTCTACTAAAAATCACAATAACCTTTGTGTGTTCACAGATAAGTAGCCACTCCAAATGGCCCATTATACCAGAGCCAACAGAGACACTGCTCTTGCAACAGAAAACAATACTTCATTTTATATTAACACTACACTAAACCTTGAATACCTATTCTTGACTTATTTTCAAAAGAAATTACAAGTAAGATGCTCCACACTAGTAAAAAGGAAACATCAAATTCAAGTCCGGTAGAGAAATAATGGCCTCGCCAAACTTTTCTGTCTCGGCATTTCTCCATTCACAGATCACGAGAAAATTAAGATATGAATTGAATTTCAGTTATCTGAGTGGCTTCAGTTATCTGGAACAACCCAGCCAGATTATAAACACAGCCGGGTTATAAATAATAAAATTATCATCATCATCTGCAGTGACACCAACAGCTTGGTATAATATACAGTAGCACCTCGGCTTATGTTACCCTCGGGTAACATAAACTTTGGGGTGTGATAGCAGCAAACCCAGAAGTGTTTCACTGTGCATGCATGTGCAGAAGCGCTCTACTGCTCCATGTGCATGTACATAAGCGGTCTGCTGCCATGCGCGAATGCACAAAAGTGGTCCCTCTGGTTGTGGAAACCTCAGGATCCAACCGGAGCTCCAGAATGGACCCTGTCCACAACCAGAGGTACCACTATATTCCTATCCAGGAAGTGAAATCTTATTTGACTCTAGGAACCTAAGAAGCTGCCTTGCATTGTGTCAAACCATTGGTCCAGCTAGCTCAGTACTGTCCACACTGACTGGCATCAGCTCTCCAGGGTTTTAGGCAGGAATCTCCTCCAGCCATACCTGGAGATGCCAGGGATTATCCTGGGACCCTCTGCATGCAAGGCAGATGCTCTGCCACTAAGCTACAGCCCTTCCCCATGGTGTGGTGTTTGTACGTAGCCCCTGGTCGTCTCACAGACTATTGACCTGTACACCACTAATCCGCTGCCACCAACCAGCTCCTCCCCAGTAAATCACTTAGTCTCAATCAGGTTCTTAACAAAGAAGAGTGTAGTTTATTGCAAACACAAATAAAATTTAACTGCATTCAAAACGTTGTTACTCTTTACCTTCTTAGTCTTATTTTAGCCTGTCTCTAACTCTTCTACCTCCCCTCACACAAGAACCAACTGCACTAACTGTCTCTCTATTTCCAATTGTCTGCCAACTGCTTTCCCAACCTACCAACCAACTGAAACCAAATAACCCAAATCTCAGGCTAAGCCCTTTTATAAGCAGGTAGGCTCCGCCTCTGGCTTTTCTATTGGTCTACCTATTAACTCTTTCTCTCCCCCTGTACTGACATTTAAAAAAAGAACGGGCAAATGCCACAGTAAGCAATGGTGATCAAAAGTTGATTGCGTTGTGACCAGTACTTGGGCTGCCACAGGAAGAAACAAATCCCTGAATTCGACACAGAAGCAAAGCAGAGCCTTCAGACCAGCCAGCAGCTTAGGTGTGACTCAATGGTGTGCAGTGAAATTTTTCATAGGGGAACAGTTAGGGCCAGAGGTGCCAGCTTGCGAGGCATGGGGCAACGTCACACATGTGAGCATTGTGCCTCCCTCTCTAAGCCAGGCAGAAAACTCCCAGGCTTTGGGAAGGGGGCATCAGGCCTCTGACAGGATGATGGAGCCCTCCTGCCTCCCTCCCAAAGCCAGGTAGGCTTTGGGAAGGTGGCAGAAGGGCTCTTGGACCCCTCAGAGTATCGCATCTCCCTCCGTAAATCAAGCAGAAGATTCCCAGGCTTTGGAAGGAGACACCGCCACCAGGGGAACATTTATGGGACTAGCCTAGTCCCTCTGGTCCACTGACTGCACGCCACTGGGAGACTCTCATATTCCGCATGTACTGTGCATAGTGGCCATCTTTCCAGTGACTGGAGTCCTGGGGTAGGGAAGAAGGGAGTTTTGGAGTCCCTGCTGCACTTTGTGCTTGTCACTGAACAAAAGCTACATTGAGGAACAACGACATTTCCAATCCACAAGTCTAGGAGTTGCATCTTCCCTGCCCCAAATATGCACATTGCCTGGCCATACTAGCTTAACTTTAAACCCAGAATTCTTACTCTCTCCACCACGGCACCACACTTGCTACTACAGTGGTACCTCGGGTTACATACGCTTCAGGTTACATACGCTTCAGGTTACAGACTCCGCTAACTCAGAAATATTACCTCGGGTTAAGAAGTTTGCTTCAGGATGAGAACAGAAATCGTGCTCTGGTGGCGCGGCAGCAACGGGATGCCCCATTAGCTAAAGTGGTGTTTCAGGTTAAGAACAGTTTCAGATTAAGAACGGACCCCCGGAATGAATTAAGTACTTAATCCAAGGTACCACTGTATTCCAGATATTGAAGTGTTTTCAGTTTGTTTTGTGGTAAGCAAAAACTGAGACCAAGGAGCTCAAATACTATACTTCTTAGTACAGTGGTACCTCAGGTTAAGTACAGTGGTGCCTCGCAAGACGAAATTAATCTGTTCCGCGAGTCTCTTTGTCTTGCGGTTTTTTCGTCTTGCGAAGCACGGCTATTAGCGGCTTAGCGGCTATTAATGGCTTAGCGGCTATTAACGGCTTAGCGGCTTTAAGAAAAAGGAAACAAACTCGCAATAACTCGCAAGACGTTTCATCTTGCGAAGCAAGCCCATAGGGAAATTCGTCTTGCGGAACGACTCAAAAAACGGAAAACTCTTTCGTCTAGCGAGTTTTTCGTCTTGCGAGGCATTCGTCTTGCGGGGCACCACTGTACTTAATTCGTTCTGGAGGTGGAGGTGCGTTCTTAACCTGAAACTGTTCTTAACCTGAAGCACCACTTTAGCTAATGGGGCCTCCCACTGCTGCCGCCGCGCAATTTCTGTTCTCATCCTGAAACAAAGTTCTTAACTTGAGGTACTATTTCTGGGTTAGTGGAGTCTGTAACCTGAAGCGTATGTAACCTGAAGCGTATGTAACCCAAGGTACCACTGTATCTACCCAGTAATGCATTCAAAGCCCTTAAAAGAAAATAAAAGAACGTGGGGTGGGGTGAAGTGAAGTAAGACATAAATATTAATATGTTTGGAGTATAGTAGAAGCTTAATGTTTAATACAGTTTTTGACCAAACTGGCTTGTCAACTCCATGAGTGCTCTGGAGTGTCAGTGTTCTTATTGCGACTAGCTGTCAGAGGCTTTCTGTACATTTACGTACGTGATCAAGTCTGATTGCTTACAGTAATGCTGCTTTAGCAAGCCATAGACAGCCAATTTACATGGCAGGTATTAGGAAACCTACTTCTTTGGTAAACTATATCCATCTGTAGAACAGTTACAAATTATGTGCTGTTTGAAAAGCGACTTGATTTGTTAACTGTAACAATGTCCCTTAGTAAATGGAAACAAATGTGTTTTTACCAGTAGCAAAGTTAATATTTTATGTTTTTAAACATATACTGTACAGTACTTGTTGCTAATGTATTGCTTCCTTCTTCTTCATGATCCTAGAAGGCTTCTTCAATATTTTACTGAAATATTATGAATAAACTTTGGTTAGCTTACATTGTATCTAATCCTTTCCAGCAAGTGAAACGCAAGGCTGCTGAATCTCAAGACTAACATTTTAGCACAATGGAGATAAAGGAAAAAGCTTAATCAGCTTGAATGAGAACATTTCATCAAGCATATTCTGTGGCCTGGTTCAGATGATGGTTTAAGTCTTCATAAACCCATCTAGGACACGAGGAGCTAGTGGGGGGGGGGAGTGTTCGTGCTGTCATATGTTAGCTTCAGAATGAAAATCCAGGCAGATTTCCCCCTTTATATCCAAATGTGAACTTTAGCATATTGTCAGTTAACAATTCCGGAAATTACCCCAGGATTGTTTGGGAGAAGCTATCATATAGACTTTGAGCAATCTATTAAAATGTGAAATGCTAGAACAAATATGTAACTTCCTTGTAGGTATAACTATAACCTTGGAGCCCAGAAGAATGTAATACAGTTAGGGGTGGACTAATCTAGTTTCTTGTCATGCACCTTGGAAAAATGCCTTGGTATTTTCCAGGGTGAAATGAGTCTAGGGTTCTCTGCGAAATGATTTGTATGTGGGAAGGGTTTGTAAAAACATTTGAAAGACAGAGAGGTTTAGCTGAAAACTAAAAGGGGAAGCTTGTTCTAGCATAGAAAAAAGTATGAAATATTAAGAGGTTCAGAGTGGTATGAGGCAGCAAATGGGCAAGTAATGTAATTGAAAAAGAGAAAAGTGTGAGTAGAGGGGACAACTAGATACTTGAAGCCAATATGGAAAATGAGTGCCACTCAGAACAGTGTAATATACATCTGAGTAAACATGTAGAAGATGGGAATGACCACGAATCATGGCTCTCTGACGTATTTTCAAATTCATTTGTCACTGTTACACTTCATACTTGTGAGACAGAGCCATAAAATTAAAGTTTTAGTACACGAATTTCTGAATATGTATACTTTTGTGCTTCCAGCAGGTTTACAACACTGATTATAATCTTGTTGAACACTTTATACTGCTGGGCATCCGGTGCATATCCTGTTAAAGGCAAACAGTACCGGTGATAACATATTGTAATCTTGAATATGTCATGAAAGGAACGCTAGCCAGTTTGCATTTCACAATAAGTCACACAATTCTGTCAAGTAAGGAGTGAGTTAGATCCAAAGCATCATCAGCAAGGTTCTGCTGGTGCAGCAGCACTTCTGTTTCCTCTTCTCTCCCCCCAAATCATCTTTGGAGGGTCTCCCAACCCTCTGTAGCTTATTTTGAAGGCACAGGCAGGAGGAAAGGAAGGCAAGGTTCCATCCCGCTAGCACAAGTTGTGTGTGTTAGCAGAACATGAGTGTTGGATACCACACAGTGTATTTTTTTAAAAAGAATTAAGCTGTTGTATGTACTTCCAGCTGGAGACGGCATAACATTACACTCCATTCAGATGGTCTGCAGAGAGATTGTAGAACCGTGAAAATAACTGTGCTTGGCTCTGCATGTGATTTAATATTTATGACAATAGAGATACAGGTCATTTTGATGAGGGTTGGATTATAGATTAACAAAGTATTGGCCTAGGCCTCATGGCTTTGACATGTTGCTGGTGCTGTCTGTTAACATTCCCCTTACAATTAAACAAATAAATAGTTCTCTTTGGGCGCAATTCAACTAACTTACATAGACTGGATTGGATCCAGACTTAGGCTGAAATCCTAACTCCACTTACCAATAGAGTACACCCCATTTAATTCAATAAGATATACTTCTGAGTAGATATGACAAGGATTATACTATAAGTCATACGTAGACTAGACCCATTGAAATCAGTGGGATTTAAGTTAGTCATGACTAACTTAAATCACCTTGATTCAATGGGTCTTCTCTAAGCATGACCAAGAGAGCAATCCAAACTCCTCCCCCATCCAACTAGGAATTTACAGAGTGATGGTCATCATCATATCCACAGCATCAAGCCACCCAACTGGCAAGCAGAAGAGACTGTGTGGAGGAGCACCCCTGCCCAATCCACACACACCCCTCAACTTGGCACAGAAGGGATTCTCAGAACCTGCTAACAAAAACGGGCACATCCATCACATTAGAAATGCAAATTATGGCTATTAAAATATGTCAAAAATGAGTTATTCATATATCTTGACTAACAGAACTAAAGTTTATTAGCAGCAGAGAAAAGGGAGGGAAAGGAAAAATGCTATATATTGTAGTCACTTGCCTTCACTGTAACACCTGCTGATTAGCAGCTTTTCCTTCAAAATAAAAGCAGCAATGTTAAGCACACTTTTTAAAAAGTGTATGTAACATACAACATACTCTGACTATAACAGGCTGCAGACAGTCCAGTTCTTCAGTTCTTGCAACTACTAAAAGAACAAGAGACCAGTGCTACCATAGAAGTGAGTGCACACTTATGATTTATTCCCACATTATGCATTTTTACTCAGAACAAGCTCTTCCACATAGAGACTATAGTGCGATGTATAACAAGACAAGACAAAAAAAGGGGGGGTTGTACATATGCAGTATTTAATACAACATTTTATGAAAGAGGTCACCCACAACTCAGAGCTATAGAATAGAATCATAGAGTTGGAACACAAGGATCATCTAGTCCAACCCCCTACATGGGACTCAAACCCATAACCTTAAGTGTCTCATGAGTCATTCTCTACCAACTGAGCAACCCTTCAGTAATAAAGCACATGTCTTGTATAAGGTCCAGTCACTGGCATCTCCAGTTGAAGGATCTGAAGTAGACTTCTGGTGGCCACTTGACATCTCACATAGCTGCTAACAAACACCTATACGTCTACCACAGAGACATTTAGCCTTGAAACTCGTAACTGCACTGGTGCGATTAGTATTTCAGGTTCAGGTTTCACAAAGGAAACGTATCACGTCGGTTCAGTCAAACTCATTTGCACTGATTTCCCTCTCCCTTTCCTCCCCCAACGCCAAATTCAGTTTTGCTAAGGCAGATGTTCAATGATACCTTCCACAACAGAAATAAACAGGTCAGGTGGGACTAGGCTTCATCATCATCAGTGGTTTTTTCTGGGGGACGCAGGGGTACACACCCCCCCAAACACTTTGTGAATCTTTGTACTTTTGTCCATTTACTGCATGTGTTTTTCCCAATTTGAACTATAAAACTGTGGTTTTCTTGAGTCAAAATGAGAGTACCTCTAAACATATTCTTTTTAGAAAAAAAGCACTGATGATGATGATGATAATTCAGCTTCTGCCTTCTGGAAGAAGGTACAAGGTTATAAAGACTAGGACTAGCTACCTGAGAAACGGTTTCTATTCAAATGCGATTTTGGTTTTAAATGCAGCGTAAGGTAGTCCCTATGGGAGTATATTGTATTTATGGGGTACCAGAGTTTTTAGGGGGCTGACCAGGCTAGGATAGCAGGCTTGTTGGTTTTTGAACGTCTGATGTAGCTTTTTTTCAATTTCGTTGTTCTGTATGGGACAATGACAATAAAGATTATCGTATCGTAATAATAGACTGGGCTGCACTTACCTGGCCCGTGATGCCAGTGACGAGGGCGACTTTCCTGGGGCTCATATCTGCACAGTTCTCTGTCGCCAAGCTCGAGCAGGTGTCTTCCTGCTGCTGGGAATGTGCCATGGCCCTGGCAGGGGAGGGGCTGCAGGAGTTTACAGATGCCGTGGCACCCAAGGGGGAAGGAAGGAGCAGGGTGGCGAGGACGTGTTGAGCTGTTACTGCGGAGAAGGCGTGTCGCCCCACGCGCTCGTTTCGAGGGCAGCAGCAGCAGCAACCAAGTCCCCTCAGCTGCGCTCACAGGGGCGCTTGCAGGCTCCAGGTAGAGGGGGCATCACCTATTACCTGAGGCAGGGTGGGGGGACTTGGCTGGCTTCCACGGCCCGATATTTGCTTTGCTGAGGTGCCCATTGGATACAAAAAGCCACCTCACCTCGACCAAAAAATTAAAGGTTTCTCGTGCAGGGCGGGAAGGTCGGGGCCAACATGCATGGGGAGCCTGTGGTGTGTGTCTTTACACCTGCCCCCCACTCTTTCCCGCCTTTTCTCCCCCTAGGTAAAGGTGAGCGCGCCTCAGGTGCTCCTTTCCTTTTTGCCTCCCCTTTGCGTTTCCCACCCGGAACTCTTGCAGCGGGGTCCCTTTAAGAAAAGCGCGCACACGAGGGGATATAAGGTGTGGGACCGGCCGGCCGGCCTCGTTCTTCTTCCCCCCGCACTCCGTTTCCGCTTCTTGAAAAACAGCGGCAGGCGCCTCCTCCGTCAGCCAATCGCGAGAGGCGCCGCTTTCGCTCCCCCTCCCTCCCGCGAGGCAGGAGGAGGCGGGCGAGTCATCACCGTGCGGCGAAGCGAGCGGTGGGCGGCGATTGGGTGACGTGGCGGAGGAGGTGAAGGGAGGGAGGGGCTGCAGAGGGCTCGCCACAGCCGGCTTTGCTCAGGCTGAGGGAGCGGGGCGGAGCCAGAAGTGGGGACTTCCTGGGTTTCGATGACGCGAAGGGAGAGAAGAGAGTCCGCGCGTCCTTGATGGGTCCAGAACAGGAAGCGTGAGGGAGCTGGGGGAGGGGGACTCAGCGCCCTCTGCGAGCGGAGGAGTAAACTGCAGGCAAGTGAAGTTTTTCATGTTTTTTGAAGTTGCGTCGGGAAGATTTCGGGGTATGACATGGCGGGACAGATTTTGAAGCAAAGGTGTGCGCTCCCAAGCCCGCATTCCCTGCATGTTCACACTCCTGTCTCAGCAACGTCTGCTCTGGCTTGGTCATGTCCACAAAATGGAAAATTGTCGAGCTTTCTTTAAGTTTTGCCCAAAGCCGTTGAGCTTTTGGGGGGCAAAATCGAAAATAAAAATAAAAATGCCGTTTTTGAAATAAATCAGTAAAAATGGCACTGCCAACATGGGCTGCCATATATCCGGGTTCTCCCGGACATATGGTCCATTCCCGTCCGGACACTGCCGCGCTGCTGGGAACAGCATTATTGTCTGCGAAAATCCAGGCATATGGCAACCCTATTTTAGCCAACTTTTGCCCATTTAAGTCTGCTTACCCAACATAGCCCCCCCTTAAGTCCCCTTAGCCCACTTGGCTAAGTTGGCTAAGTGGGGAATTAAGTGGGCTAAGTTGTCTACATTGGGACTTAAGTGGAGGCTTAAGAGGGCTACATGGGGACTTAAGTGGGCTAAGTAGGGACTTAAGACCCCTTTTAGGCAACTTAAGATCCCACTTAACCAACTTTGCCCACTTAGCCAACTTAAGTCCCCTTAACCAATTTAGCCTTAGTGGAGATTTAAATTGGCAAAGTTGGCAACATGGGCTAAGTAGGCTTAGTTTAATCTGAAAGGTGCTTTTTTGTGTGCAAACCATACTCAAATGTCTTTATTCCTTGCATACAAAATTAATGTACTCCCCTTTTTATCCTGTACTTATGTCTTGTTCTATGTTTGTTTCATAAAACTCAGAATGTCTTTGACTACTGACAGCTCTTAAGCCTTTGCAGTTCTCTGGCTTTTTAAGCTCATTTTCAACTTACTGTTCTGAGTCCAAGCTGAAAGTTTCTGTTTGTGTTCCAAGGAACATTCATGGTTTAGTCTAGACATATTCTAGATGCTTGTCCACCTCCCCCAGTGATAATTAGTTATTGGCAAGATTTTATCAGACTTCCTATGTAAAGCTTGTGGACTAGGTCACTTTTGAATGTGAGATCTTCTAAAAAAAGTATCTAATGTTTCATTAATGTCTGCAATACAATGAGAGAGTGGTGGTTCCACCAGACAGGTTATCTTCCATATTTGCTGAGATCATTTTGTTTAATTTTTCATTTCCTACATAAGTGTAGTTTGGTTAAACCCAGTTTCTTTGTATTAGCCCAGCATGCTGAAAACAAGAAATTGTAGTAGGAGGTGGGTGGGGTATGTGAATATAAGAAAGAAGAGGGTGTGTTTATTAAAAGGCACATTAAAAACACTTTCTGCTATTTTATTCAAAGCAAGCAACATTTTACTATTATACCTAGCTTATTTGAGTACAACCGCTGCTACCCCTAGCTGCTCTGCCAAGGCAGGAGTAGTGGAGGGAAACATCAGTGTCTGTGAGAAAACCTCTGCATGGTGCAGCACTGCCACAAATAACTTTATCTGTATTAGAAGAGAGGAATGGTGTTTATTTAAAGGGCTTCCGAGTGTCTTTGTTCACTTAAGTGCTGGCCTGAAATTGTAGTGTTGTGGCTTCCCCATATATTTAGAGGCAATTGTGTGTTTTGCCTGCATGGATCTAATCCATTTGCCTTGCATGAATCGCCTCTGCACGCTTAAATCCTATGATGGACTTGGCTGTCCCAGAATATCTGAGTACAGTGGTACCTCAGGTTACATACGCTTCAGGTTACATACGCTTCAGGATGAGAACAGAAATCGTGCTCCGGCGGCGCGGCAGCAGCAGGAGGCCCCATTAGCTAAAGTGGTGCTTCAGGTTAAGAACAGTTTCAGGTTAAGTACGGACCCCCAGAACGAATTAAGTACTTTACCCGAGGTACCACTGTATAAAGTTTGCATCTCTTGATCACTTATCTTCCTGTAAATGAATCTACACGGGAAAGTTGGAGGAGCCACACACAAAGTCCAACTACTACTTGTCTCCTCAATGGGGAGAGCCAACCATAGGGAGCTTATTAGTTGCTGCTCTGTTATGCATATGTATTCTGCTAGCCTAAAGAGATGAACCTGGGGGATTGGGGAGATGGATTTCTCATATCCCAACTCTTCAGGCAAACAATAGCAAAATTGGCAGGTGCTTATCTAAGTTGATTGGTTGGTTTCCACAATGAAGGCGAATACTTTACAAATTCATATCAAACCATTGGGAATTTCTGAGTGCAATACAGTGGTACCTCGGGTTAAGTACTTAATTCGTTCCGGAGGTCCGTTTTTAACCTGAAACTGTCCTTAACCTGAAGCACCACTTTAGCTAATGGGGCCTCCTGCTGCTGCCGCGCCGCCGGACACGATTTCTGTTCTCATCCTGAAGCAAAGTTCTTAACCTGAGGTAATATTTCTGGGTTAGGAGAGTCTGTAACCTGAAGCGTCTGTAACCTGAAGCGTATGTAACCCGAGGTACCACTGTATTCTTGCCCTACCACGAAGAAGAATAAATCATTATGCATCATCATCATCCTATATATTAATTCAGCCTTCAACTTAAGCATTAGTCTGCTAAGTAATTAAATGCATGTAAGTGTGCCCAGCATACCAAGTGGGCTATCAGAGGATGAATTTGTGCCCCCCAATCATTTCATGCAACAGGCGAGTCTGCCCTTCTGCCAGCCAGCAACACTAGCCTTTTTGTTTTTCAGCAGATTAATAAGTTTTATGGGCTTATTTGCAGTTGCTACAATTTTAGTAGAATTTCAAACAATACTATAGAACCATTAACAAAACCATGTGGATGTTGTGTAACATTACAAAAGACACCCCCACCCCCACTGCTGCTGTGGAACAATGTCAACCCAATGAGCTAGTTCCTAGTAAAACAAGGGTAGGATTTTCACATTTCCATCCTATGAGTGTATCATTTTACTGGCAGAAAGAAGTGTTAATTTAATGCCTTTTTCCAACAATTTGTTAGCTTCCAACAAGGTAATAAAGAGAATGGAAAATGGCAAAATGCATAACAGGAAGTTCTGGGTAACCCAGAGTGTTCAAAATGAGCTTCTTTGCTTGCTTTCACACATAAACCCACAATTGACTGCTTGTTTTCCCAGAAAGACCAATATTTGACTTCGTATTGCTTAAACTTTAAATAGACTATGGAAGCAAACTTATTTCAGTATCTGCTAGGATGAGTGGTTTAGGATCAAGTGGATCTCTGGCTGAACCAGGAGGTTCCTGACGCAGCGGGGCTGTGCTAGTTTAACTCTGTCATCATCAGTTCAGCCAGAGATGTACCAACATATTTCCCTCATCTTGGCTTAGCCACCAAGGCACAAGTTAGTTGAGCCCAGCCCAGTTGGTCTTAAGCTGGTTTAACCCTGAAAAGTGGGTGTTCCAAGAGCATGGCGGGTCTAAAGGGAGGAGATTTAGGCTCAGATTCAGCTCGGTCACATCACCTGGCAACTCAGCATAAATGAAGCTGGGGGGAAAAGGTGGTGTAGCTCAAACACTGTTTTAAAGGCATGTTTCCCTTCTTACCAGGCGCAGACTGGCTCAGCTTGCAGAAGCCCCGCTACAGAACTGAGTTTGGATGTGGTGTAACTTTAGCTTGGCTTAACTTGCACCAGCTTGCTCTATGTCAGTTCCCTGTGCACAAGATTTCTTCCTATGGGTGTTATTCAACAGTCACAAACATGACTAAGCTGTGTTCATTGATTTCAATAGGTCTACTCTGAGTTAAACATAATTGAACACCACCCCATGGTGTTTGGTCCTCAACAGTTTATCTTTCCAAAAATAATGTTTTAGAAGACTGGCAGGAGAATACAGAAATTCTTCATATAGTTCTCATCCAGTAGCTAACTAATTAATAGTTAATATTAATAATTATTAATTAACCACAGTCTGTTGAATGTTGTTTGTTTCACTGCTCATTTATAACCTGTGAAATTAATCCTTTGATCTACTGGTATGGGCAGAGAAACATTTCAAACAATGTTGTTCCCATTTTTAAGCATGGATGTTGATCAAAGAAGTACTGTACAAATCTTGCCTATATCCCCCCCCCCCCAAAGAAAATTTCTTGTGGTGTCAGTTTGACCTCAGCGAAACTAAAGGACTCTTCTGAACTGCTCTTTTAAGCCCTTTTTTGCACCAAAACTCCAGTCCTGTTGTTAAATATGCAAATGTAGTTAGATTTAATTATTAGATCAATTGATTAAAACTTTTTTGATGAGCTGACTGAAATGTCTTTATTTGTCATCTATATCATTTCAAAACCGTTTTTTATAGCTGATGAATAATTGTATAATTCTTAAAACTCATTTGGAATATCAACAGCAATAAAAACAGTGATTTGGTAAATATGTTCTTAAGCACCTTTGGGAATTCGCTTCATATTGTTGGTTTTTGGAATTGGTGTTGCCCTTCTCCTTCCTCTTGACAGACCAAGTTTTAAGATTTGTCTTTCAGCCATCTTGAGGTCAAAGGGTTAAGGAGTGCATTGAATGGTTGGACGCTGAGGAATAGTGAGAGGAAACAGTTGGGGAACCCCCAAGCGAAGAAGCCTCAGAGCCTGGGGATCGGTGATGGGACGACAATAAGTGGTCAGTGGGAGAAGACTGGAAGCAGAAGGTGCCAGAAGCTGAAGACGTATCAGGGTTTAGTGAGCTGGGAGAATCTGCGGCAGAGAGAAGTTCATGATTAGAGGCAGAAGCTGAAGCAGGAGAGGAGGGAGGCCAAGAGGCA